TATAGGAAATCAACTCTACCTTTTTCTATTTCATGGTCTAAGACTTAGCTCAAGAATGAGACGACTGTCTAGACTGTTTAAAAGTTAGTAAATATTCATGAATGTAACTCTATCAGCTTTATTTTCTCGATCATGAAGCATTAAAGCACAATATCTGTTAGAAATCGATGTATATCTTATTTCCATTTTTTGAGTAGACAATCTCGTTTTCTGATTTGGTTTATCATGCATGCGCAAATAAAAAGACTTCATTTAAGATCGCACCACCACCTAAATGAGAAAATACAGTTTAAAGTGACTAATGGGTCCTCAGAATAAAGCAAATCAAAATTCTAATTTCAAATGCGTTCAATAATATTGCGTAATATCCGAAATTTATGAGATCGAGGTAGTGTCCATTTAACATTTAATTTAATATGTCTGATATTGTGCTTAATGCTCAATGGTTGATTTAACAAAGTCTATATGCTGGCATTCAGGAATGTTTACTAGCTTAGACGGTAAGCTACAATCTCATTCTTGAGCTAAGTCTTCGAAGCTCAATCAGTCTGGGCTTAAAGGTAGTAGAAGATATAAGATTTTAGCTATGTTGCACAGAGGTATTTTCTGTACAATCTTCCCATCTACAGTGTACGATTATATGTTGTGCATTTGGTACATTTCCAATTCAATTAGTGTTTAGTGTTTACGATAAGGATTCGTACAAAGGCGTAGATTATGTAATACCTTGATGGATCAAAACGGCTTAAGACATGGACTGTAATATCTTTAACAACAATATAGGCTTTCCAATTTTCTCTATCGCTTTTAGTAACTTAAAGTGATGACATTTCAGAGCTTTATGATCATATGAATATGAATACAGAGACAAGCAGCTCCACCCCGATGACAAGTGCCTGGGTCATAAATCATTTCAAACCTACCACGCTGACCTTTTCTCAACCAATCAGCGAACTGGAAGGAACGCGGGCTAAATGCGTGCTCATTAACTATGCGATGATGTCAGAGAAAATGACCATATAGAAAGTCATCCGTTTTCGACGATGAATTCTCATTGGCTCAGTGAGATCAGAGATTTATTGTAAACTGATCTGAAAGAGTGAAGAAGAAGCTCTCTTTTAAGAAGTGAAGTCGAACGAATGCAAAGGTTAGCATACAATATGTCCCAACACTCATTGCAAATTTATCATCACTTCACTGGGGATGAACTGGAAACGAGGGAGGTTTTGCCTCGTATCAAAATGGGGGCGCGTGAAAAAATTTCATTCTGTAAGATTTTTGTTTTTTACAATTTTCGTGCTTTTATCCTTCAAATTAAAACTTAATATTTGGCAAGTAAATAGTTTATAAGTTCCGGTTTTATAATATGATTGCAAATTAGAAATCAATACAGACATTGCTGAGATATTTACATTTCAATTCTCTCACTTAGGAAACGAGGCACCTGTCTACATTTTGTAACAATGAAACGAGGCAATGTTTGACTTGCAACGAGGCAACTATTCTTTCTGTGATAGTGTCTACATTTAATGATCTTATTTCCACCGTTCTGGTCACATACGACCGATTACGTTTTACACGATATACTTAGGTGGTTCAAAAAGTTTTGCATTTGATGTCATAACTTCAAGGAAAATAGTATTATTGCAATGAAACTTGGTACACATGTGTGTTATATATTCATACATTATATGGTAAAATTTGGGACCTCAATTTTGATTGGTTCTTGAGATATGGTTGCTATGGTAACCAGAGTGGTGGGTACCATGTTCAACCCGAAATTACGTTTTTCCAAACAGTTTCTTGCTTGAATAAACTCTTTGTAAAATGGCAATTAGCAGGTGTAAGTGTCTTTGGGTGGCTATTTTTCTTCAAATTCTTCAATTTTTCTAATTGTCTCTATGACATCACAATAGACAAGTGACACGATAGTTCCTTTGTGATGTATACTGACCAAAACGCCAAAAAAACGTACGAATTCCGTTCGGACTTTTCACGCGAATTACGTATATGTCACGCATTCCGTTCGAAATTTTTCGTACCTAAATATTTCGAAAACGTTAAATAGCATTGTTTTGAGTGTCAATTCCAATAAACGAGCCAGCTATCCGAGCTATCAATGGTAGCGCATATATCGTCAAAATGTTCTCTCAAATAAGAAAAATCTCGTTCAAAGAAGTGCTATTTTAATAGGGAGCTTAAGCTACACGTATTTTAGAAATGGCGAACGTAAACGTGAAATGACCCCTGGGAACTATAGTTCCGTTCTGGATTGACTTATACAAAGACCCAATTAAAACAGTTTAACTGATACCTTTGTAATCATTCATGCAAATAAAGACGTTGAAGACAAGAACTAGTTCTCTGAAGATTGCAATTTTACACGTTTACGTACACTTCTCTTTAAAACATGTGTCGTTAAACCTCCCTACTAATCGTACGCAAATGGGGCATTGTTGTTGCTCGAGATGGCTATATTTGATAGAATATAATTCCAGATACGATAAAAAAAATATGACCATGGTAATAATTAAATGACTCGCCTATATTACAAAAATAGCAGAGTCAAGGAGCACACTGGCATTGTTTCATTGGTGTTCATTGGATTTTACTGTTTGTATTCTTTAATGTCTGTATGTTCCTTATTATGTCACTATCAATTATGTTATTCTGCATATAGTCCAACGAAATGTGGAAATGTTCGGCGTCTGACGTCTGGAGTTCGGCGTCTGGCGTTTTGCGTCAATAGCAAATTCTTTAGCAATTTTAGCAACTTTCAAAAACTGGACAAATGCGTACCGCTTAGACTGACATCATATTTTACTGTGAACATTATTATAAACTTATTATGACTTTCAAGTATTTCTTAGAACATATGTTACCATGGTAGCAGATAAATGGACTTATTTGTTATTACTAAGTTACAACATGTGTCATATGTTAATGCCTTGTATTTTCTTAAATGCTAGAAATGGTAATGCATTTGTAAATGAAATATTCATAAATTTTCTAGATTATTAGACATATGAAAAATGTTAATGGTCGATGGCATAAATATTATGATGTCGCTATCGTGAATTAAAATAAATGATGTTTCAAGGTAGAATAAAAGCAAGCTTTGTTCACTGTCTGTATCTGTCTATATCTGCTTCCCTATTCAACATAACATTTTTGCTTTTTAGGAAGCTTCAACATAACAATATCAGCAACGTTGTCGTTTCCTGTTACAGAAATAGCATTTGAACAGGGATGCTTCTTTTTGTAGGCCCCGTTCTGTAATAAAAACAAAACATTTTTAATTAAATATGGTTGCCTCGTTTCATTCTTAAGAATGCTATATAGCTGCCTCGTTTCCTTGAGAAACATGCCTCGTTTCCTAAGTGAGAGAATTGATATGTAAATATCTCAGCAATGCCAGTATTGATTTCTAATTTGTAATCATATTATAAAACCGGAACTTATGAACTATTTACTTGCCAAATATTAAGTTTTAATTTGAAGGATAAAAGCACGAAAATTGTAAAAAACAAAAATCTTACCGAATGAAATTTTTTCACGCGCCGCCATTTTGATACGAGGCAAAACCTCCCTCGTTTCCAGTTCATCCCCAGTGCACTTGTAGAACCCATTACTCTATGTCCTCTATTTCTCTTTATATTAAGTCGTGAAATTCAATAGCTGTATAAAAAAAATTGTTGTTCATATACAATACACTAATCATTTCATATAAAAAGTGCCAGATAAAGATCTGTCAGGGATTTATTTACAATGACACTGACAATAATAATTATAAATAAATATTATTCAAGTATCATTTTCTGGAAAGGTTACAGTTAATCCTGAGATTATTAGTCTAGCTACAAGCCCTTGTATTTTGTGAGGCACAGGGACTTTTAGCTAGACTAGAGACAATAGCCAGGACTGCAGCTTATAAAGGAATCTGCTTATAAAATATGGTAAAAAGGGAATCTGGAAGAATTATTCATCCTTGGTTCAAGGGTATTTCAATTCTTTTGTTGCTGCGATAGAATCCTGATCTTGAAGGATGGAAATATTTCCAGTATAGTATGATTTGCGGTTTAATTTTGGCGTTCTAGTCATTACTCATTACATATTATTTCCCAATATCTACTTTATTTCTACTCTATCAGATTTTGTAATCTTACGATTCTTAGAAGTATTTTAGCAATGTAGGTTAAATGTAATAAAATATATCAATATGTTAAATAGGATTACCAATTGTTTTTTATTTAAAAGGTTCAAAAAATAACTTCGATTTCTGTCAGGGTCTTTTAAGATGTACTTTACATGAATTAATTCAGAGCTAATCCTAGATTCACATCCAGAAGTAGTATTTATTATATCGTATTGATTGCGAAAGACAAACAAATCCATGACTGTGAATCAGTGATGAATATTGAATGGAAAATACTCCAGTTGAAGTATATAACATAGGGACCTTTCAATAGAGTAAGTGCTTTAACCAAGAGTTCTTGACTAGACTGGAAAGTAACTCCCGAAGTAACTAAATGGAATATATGTATGTAATTGTAAAGCCATATAGTTATTAAATAGAAGAGATACAGAATAGTCACTAGAGTATAGTAGAATAGTCATTGATAGATATAATCTTTAAAAGAAATGGAATAGTCTTTAAATATTATAGTTATTAAGTATATCACCTATGATTTTGAGTGATATCATTTTTATCCACGAATTGACATCAATATCTGGATGAGTGAGCGTGGCGAATGCAACAATTACAGCAATTCTTGGAGGGCAAAATTGACAGGCTTTTGTAAAAATTGCATCTTTCAATTATAAAAGTTTGCATGCTCTTTTATAAATGTGGTCAATGATATTAGTACATGTATATATATGATGAATAAACTTTATTTTTTATTTTTTTATTTACAGGTACGACATTGTATAATATGATGAGTGATGTTGCGAAGTTTACATAAACACTGTAAATAGATCGAAGTTTACATAAACACTGTAAATAATAGATCGAAGTTTACATAAACACTGTTAATAGATCGTCCTACAAATAACAATTGGATTACATCTAAGGAATAGCATGACAAAATAAATAAACAAACAAACAAATGAACAATTGGGTATCTAATTAAAGATAAATGGAGAACTAATGTATTGATGCTGAAATCTGATAGATGTATAGATTACCATAACACTTCAGAGATTATACCAGTACTCATCATGATTCGATCAATATTTCCGCCATACAGATATTCTAAATAAAAAGTACTGCTACCTGTTTGCATATAACTTGAGTAAATAGCCATAGTTTAGTGCCTGTGACACTATATCTTTGGAAAAAGTTTGAGGCGAATATTTTGGATATATAAGAAAACAGTCCCAGTTACAATTTTTGAAGATGGGAAAGTTACGCCTATTTGACATCATCTTGGACAAGCCGCAGACAGTTTACCAAGCGGGTGAACTTATAACAGGACGTGTGGTTTTGGAACTAGATGAGCCAATGAAAATGAGAGGTAAGATTGATTGTATATTGTCATTTTTTTTTATTTATTTATTTATCAATTATCATCATTAGTTACATTTACAAAATTATAGAAGACATTGATGCGTTTTTGAATATAATATAAGGAGCAATGTTAAAAGTAGTTTTGGGTTTTTTAAATGGACAATACGAAAAATGTGGAATCAGCAAAGAATGAAAGTCAAGGTCAAGGTCATAAAATAAGAATTATAGTTAATTATAAAAATTGAGAGATAATGGGAATGTCTTTTATCTTATGAAAAATATTTCTTGGTAAAGTGCTAGAGCAGATAATGGCTGCAAGGCTGTACCAAGAAATATTTTTGAATATCTGTTTTATGTGGAATTCTTGTTATTTCTTGGTTGACTAGCATGCTCTCTTGCTTTGCCAAAATAAGACTTTCCCTACCCCCGGGGTATCATAGGGCAGGACCCCCTGATCAGAAGATGTGTCCGCAATGGTTCATTAGGCCATTAGAAGTAGATTCTTTGTTTTGCGTCCCCTTGCTTGCACGATTTTGAGTAAATCAGAAAAAACAAACACATTCAAATAGCAATCACAAGGTTCTGAAAGTACATTGTACCATCGCATTTCATTCAATCAGAATCAGACGAAATGGCGGATAATTTGATGTGTGTCAAAATTTACAGTGTTATTCGATACTTTGGCATGCATTGTGTATTTTGTTATTTTCTACCCTTGAATAATAACTATGTTTAAATATATTGTTTCTCTAAATGTATAGATATGTGTTTGTAATCACTGCAACTTGATGTCATCCCTTTTTATGCCCATAAAATGTCCATTTCTCAGCAAACAAGTTTGTGTTTTTTCTTGAGTTTGTGTTTGTTTTTCTTGTACTCTTGTATGATATGGATTTTGCCAGGACGCAAAACAAAGAATCTTCTTCTTATGGCCTTATATACTGCATTATGAATGAAACATCTGATATAAAAATTAATGATTATGAGGTTTAGCTCAATCCCACAGATGACATATCTACTGATTCCCACCCCATGAGTTCAAGGTTGTAGTTTAAATGTCTGATATCGTAGACTTATCAGGCACCACAGATGGAATAACTCGATATGTTTTGTTGACCAGAGTGCCAACTAATCTGTTTTAGATAGCATAATTCTGAGACCAAAATCAATGCTAGATCATTTATAAAGAAGTTTGACATAGCAATAGTTATCAGTTTAACTTATCCAATGGTTAAAATCCATTAGTTATCAGTTCAATTATCCCATGCTTAAAATCCAGTAGTTATCAGTTCCATTCATCCCATGCTTAAAATCCAACAATCAGTTTAATTTACCCCATGTTTAAAATCCAATAGTTATCAGTTTAATTTATCCCATGCTTAAAATCCGACAGTTATCTGTTTAATTTATCCCATGTTTAAAATCCAATAGTTATCAGTTCAATTCATCCCATGATTAAAATCCAATAGTTATCAGTTTAACTTATCCCATGCTTAAAATCCAATAGTTATCAGTTCAATTCATCCCATGCTTAAAATCCAATAGTTATCAGTTCAATTTATCCCATGCTTAAAATCAATCAATAGTTGTCAGTTCAATTTATCCCATGCTTAAAATCCAATAGTTATCAGTTTAATTTATCCCATGCTTAAAATCAATAGTTGTCGGTTCAATTTATCCCATGCTTAAAATCCCATCAATCCTCTTCAACATTTTATTTCATTTCTACCTAATTCAAAGTATTGATGCCATGCCTGTTTACTAATTCCTATCTTGATTACCTGTTTCGCTACCCTGCGCGCAGTCTAGTTTATATAAACTACCCTCTGCCTAGTATAGACTCTTTTACAGTTTAGCAGCCCCGCCCCCACGACCGATGCCCATGACAGCTCGGATTATGAATCATTTCAAATCGACCACGCTGACCTTTTTATCAACCATCAGCGAGCTGGAAGGAACACATGCTAAATGCATGCACAATAATGTGATTACGTCATTGAAAATGACCATAGAAATTCAAAGTCATGCTTAGTACGACGACGAACTCTGATTAGCTCGGTTAGTTCAGAGATTTATTGAAAACTGAAGAGTGAAGACGAAGGTCTCTTTTGAGAAGCGAAATTGAACGAATGCAAACGGTACTGTTAAAATAAAATATATATAACTATTCCAGTATTTTATTTCCAGAAAGATTTAACAAAGACTGTGTCAGGTTATTCAAGCCGCAGTCTTTGATTGAATCTTGCAATGATCACTTTTTTTTAAAACACTCTTACATTAAAAAGAGAGAAATAAGCAGGAAATAAAGTAAATAGGCATAGAGATAAAACTCTAAATTGTATAGAAATGTGAAAAAGTATGACATTTTGATCAAATTTTAGTGAGAAATAGAGTTGTAAAACGTTTGAGCAGATGGATTGTTCAAGTGCAGGTATATATTTTTTATTCATAATGTGTCATGATTTATGTGATATCTTTGTTTACAGTTAGCATCATCTAAGGCTTAATATGCTCTTTTATGTTTGAAATGGAAGAAATTTCCCGATTTCTCTTCAGTTTAGATATGTTATTTCATGCCTAAATGCTCATTTTTTGCACGTCGTTACATTCTGTTCAGTATTGTTCATTGTTTGAAAATAGGTACACTACAATTTTTAAATTAGGAGGATTATCTCTTATTTTCTTTAAACTTAATAAATCATAGATTTGTAGTTTATTGAGGATTGCTAATAATTGTCTCTTTGCAGGTTCACTCCTATTTCTTGTCATTTCTCTCTAAAATTTGAATGAAGTGTCTGATTTTCTTTCATTTCTATACAATTTAGAGAGTTAACTAAATGCCTATTCACTTTATTCCTTTCTAATTTTACTCTTTTGAACTTAATTTTACATTATAAAAATGACTATCATGATACTTGTGTTCTTTCCTTGCTAATTCCACTCCTTTCGTCCTTCTTAGCATTAATGAAATATTTATACAATAATCGTGTATGTATAACCTTCGTGAATTCATGACATTTTCTTTTGGATTAAAAGATTTCCATATATAGTTGCTTATAAGTGCTCCATGCAATATTAATGAGAACATAATGTATAATGGGGGTAATATAATATTTACAACAAGAAAAAACAATCCGTCTCAATCTCAATCTATCACTGTACCACCATCGAAGCTACCTGCGGATTATTAATTTCACATTTGTAGTTGATTTATAGACAAAGTATGAGAAATGTGATTGGAAAATGATCTGAAATGTCAAAGATTATTAATCGAGAACAAAAGGGAAATTATCAGATATTACAGTTCTACTTCACTTTTCTAGTGTTGTGTATCATCCTGTGCATAAAAGATGGTTGTCATGGTTATAGATTACTTTTGATTAAGTTGGTAGTAATGATAGGTACAATTCAATGGGGTGCAGAATCCATATTGCATGAATGCATACGGACCACAGACTAATACTCTGATGTTGTGACATTGATTCATTTTGTTACCAAAAACTCGAAAAATATTTTCTTTCTGTTCTTATCTTATAAAACATTGATGTATTTTATTTTCATGCTTGGATACTCAAAACATTATTCCACGAAATTGAAACCTATTTGCAATTTACTTGATAACAGTATATTGCGCTTTATTATTCTCATAAATACAATAACAATGAAGGTTTGACTCTCCTATTGGGAGGAATCTAATACTCCCTCATGAAAAATGTCCGTCTGCTCATGCTTATTCCACTCATTTCTCTTAAAAATCTGAATAAACTGTCTGATTTTGTTGCATTTCTATATAATTTAGAGTGTTAACTACATGCCTGTTTACTTTATTCCTTGCTAATTCCATTCTTTTTTACTCTATTTTTGTGTTTAAAACATGACCATTGGAAAATTATTGCTCCACAGACGGAATGGGGTTTTTATGACCAGGAAATTCTGATTCAGAGTCCGACTCTTTCATACGAGAATTAAACAAGATTCAAACTGGGAAATGCTGTCATTTTTTAAGGATATGATTTTTATCCATGATTGAATATCAATATCTACATCCGTCTTGTCTGACACTCAAGATGGCTTAATCAATAAGGGACTATTAATGATGTGGAAATTGAGCTTTGCCATACATATAGAAACCTAAGTAGGGACAGTATGTTTACGTCTATTTTTCTGATTGTTAAGTTATGATCTTCAGAAATACAACTAATTGATCATTGATCATTGAGCCATTGTGTGATTCCAGCCATTGTGTGATTCCAGCCCTACCCGCCTAACATGCCCTCTGTTTCTTTAATGTTGCCTTGTTTTACCACTTTTTCCCACATTTTCCTTAGTGTTATCAGTGTTATTCCCAAAATATTATCCTTAATATTATCATATTTCCCATGGTTTTATCCAATTTTGCCAAAATGTTATAATTTTCTCCAAAATATTATCCTGTTTTATCATAACGTCATATCTATTTTATATAATGATTAAAAAAATGATATTCCATTTCATCTTTATATTACCCTATTTTTCAGGTCTGCGAGTATTATTTCATGGTGCAGCTAATGTTCATTGGACAGAATCACATAGTACCGGATCGGGAAAGAATCGACGTACAACAACAGTACATTACAATGCCCATGAGAGCTACTTCGAACACATCATAGTATTATATGGGAAAGGTTAGTATTGAAACCAGTTTGTATTTTAAAAATGCATATTTGAATCTATGATATTTGCTAATTGCCACAAAATGGTGGCATAGCCACTATTAAAGTCACCATTTTTATTTGTGGGAGGATTTGCATTTTGCAGTATCATTTCATTTGGTAGACTATCTTGGTGTTAAACTTTTGTAACTGTTCGCATTCGCAATGATTTGACATTTCTTCTTTTACCATTTCCAGTACAGACTCTGTGAAAGATATTTCGTATTTCGGGCACTTGTATCTGATCATTTGAATCAAATGAAATAATGCTTTATTAGTACTATTATATATTTATTGTTTTTTCGACAGCCCCTGGAGAAAGTGGCGATAATCCCAGTCATCCCCAGGGTCAGTTCACCTACCAGTTCCAGTTTCTTCTCCCCCCAGGATTACCCTCCTCGTTTGAAGGTGCGTGGGGTCAAGTACGATATTGGGTCAAAGGAACAATTGATCGCCCTTGGAGATTTGACCATAATTGTAAACGACCTTTCACGGTATTGAGCCATTTGGATTTGAATACTTACCAACCTAATCCATCGGTAAGTCTATTATACATAGGGACAAGGTCCACAGAAGATATGGTCTATTGGTGTCACCTCTCTCAGTTGCACAATATCCCGAGCACAATATTGATAAAATGTATTGCTTCCAATTTGCTTTGTGCATCTTTCAATGTTTTGAATGTTATACTCTTCAATTTTAACTTCATCAATTATATATTTCATGAATATTTCAAAACAGTTCAAATTCATAAGTCTTTTACTTAGCCAATAATTTTTGAGTATTTAGCAATGTTTACTCATGACCCTCCCTACAATGTACAGGTATTGTTTACAGTACTATCAGTATCTTGACAGAACTTGAAGGTCAATCCTATCCATTCTAGATTCTGCCATCCTCCTAATCAGGTATCCAGAATCCGTACCTCCTTCCCCCTGCTATAACCAATTTGGAAGCGCCCGATTAAACGGAATCACGTGAGCCAATCAGATTGCGAGTTCTTAATCGGGGAAAGGCTAACTGCTTATTGCAGGGGGTAAAAAGAAAGAATATATTCTGGATTTTGAAGCCCTGTGATCGGAGGATGAGATTCTGCAGGCTGAATATATCTTGGAATATACTGACAAGCTTTTAATGAACCATCTTCTTCTAAAGAGGAAATATTTAAAGTAGACCTTGAGTTATCTTAATAAATATACTATTTTTTTTTAGCAAGGGTTGGAAGGGAAAAATGAAAAGACATTATGTTGCTGGTGTTGCGCTAGTGGCCCTATCTCCGCAACATTTAGAATCGCAAAACAAGGTTACGTCCCTGGAGAGCCAATATACATTAATGCAGAAATAGAAAATAATGCTTCTAGAAAAATGAAAGCTTCACGAGTAGAATTCAAACAGGTAAGAGATTAGTTTGAATTTGAATTATCTGCTATTATACAAACAAGAAATCCTGAATAGCTTTTTTTTGGAATTGTTTTGAATCATCTGTTTGCATTTTTGATTTGCATAAGTTCCCTTATGCCACTTAGACCCTTTTAACCTTAAGTCTAAACTTCTCACTTCAATTTATGTAGATTCTATCACTGTAACTTAAAATTTTATTTTATATTCCAGATAATAGCCTTCCATGCAACTCGTAAGACACGGCATTCAACAAACACCATCCAGACTTTACAAAAAGGAGAAATTGACGCAGGAGGGACTGAATCCTGGGAAAATGTCCAGCTTGTTGTGCCTCCGCTTCCACCGTCCCATCTTGTTGGCTGTAGAATCATTGACATTAGATATATTCTAAATGTAAATATAATATTTTTTGCTAAAATATGTTATATTCTGATAAAAACGTTAGTTAACGGAGGAAGTGTGTTATTAAGTGTGATATTAGTTAAAATCTGATATCTGATTTGAACAGAGGAAGTGTGTTATTTAAAAGTGTGATATTAGTTAAAATCTGATATCTGATTTAAACAGGAAGTGTGTTATTAAGTGTGATATTAGTTAAAATCTGATATCGGATTTGAACAGAGGAAGTGTGTTATTTAAAAGTGTGATATTAGTTAAAATCTGATATCTGATTTAAACAGGAAGTGTGTTATTAAGTGTGATATTAGTTAAAATCTGATATCTGATTTGAACAGAGGAAGTGTGTTATTTAAAAGTGTGATATTAGTTAAAATCTGATATCTGATTTAAACAGGAAGTGTGTTATTAAGTGTGATATTAGTTAAAATCTGATATCGGATTTGAACAGAAGAAATGTGTTATTAAGTGTCTGATTTAACATAGGAAGCATGTTATTAAGTGTGATATTAGTTAAAATCTGATATCTGATTTGAACCTTGTAAAATGTATGCTAAGGGGAAGAGGGGAAGAGATGAGATCCAAAATGGTAATTATGCAAAAGATAATCACTTGAAACATTGTTGCCTATTAAAGCAATACTTATAGCCAAAAGAGCGTCCTGCCTTTTTAAACCCTGGATTGTTTATAGAGCTCTCGCAAGGTTTGCTATGTGTATCATAATATGGAGCGATTGTCGTTAAAATTAACATGCAAATATATAATTTGATTATGGCACATCACAAGAACATAAAAAGAACATCACAAGAACATAAGAATATTTTGACCTTTAACCTCGTTTGTATTTGATTTTAAATCTAACTTCAGTGCACTCTATACATTGAAAATATTTTTGCAGAATATATGGAAGCATGTTGATATGGATTTTTTTTTTATTTCAGTTTGTAGTTGACCCCTCTGGACCAGCATTTGATCTTGAAGTGCCTTTAGAAGTAATAATAGGGACAATACCTCTACAACAAATGTGGTCAAACTTCTCCACCAATATGAACTACAATACGGCATATGGAATGGGTACTGAGCCAACACCCATGGTTGCTATGCCAACAGCACCCCCTCAAGGCCCCCCTCCTACCAACCCTTCAGCCCCAGGAGGTAATTAACTAATATTGAAATTTTGTTTCATTTTTCCATATTTTGTTTGCATTTTTATGTCAAACAAGTGGTGACGTATTGTTATAGTCTCCAACTTTTTTTGCGGATGGTATTTGGCAATCAGCATCTGTAACAGCTGTTGGCAATTGTAGCAGTGCTCGGTGGTCAACATCTGTAACAAATGGTAAATGGTGAAATTGTGTTAATGCCTTGTGTAGTGTTAAACTTGCAACTTGCTGTTTTATTACCTGAGATTTATGCATCAACAAGGGTTCCATTTGAATTATGTGTGTGGATTTGATTCATAGAACTAAGTATCAGTATTCATTTATAACAGCCTTTTTAGCTCATATTTGTTATCCTAATGTTGAGAGCCTATGAGAGCAAAAAATTCAGTGTATGCTATTTCGATTGGTTAAAGCTAGAATAAAGGAATCAGAATGCTGATGAATCTCACTTTTAAGAAGCAAATCAAACTATTATAAATAGTGCCTGTTTATCAAAGGACCAAATTATTGTTGACCACGCATCAGTGATAACAGAGAATACCTTGATGAAATCCTGTTTCCTAAGCCATCAGTAAACAAAGAAAGTCAGCTTGATACTAAAAGAGCCGGCAATAATACTATAAAAAGCAATTAATGAGTCTTTTCACAGAAGATCCGTCTTATAATGCATCATTAATGAAGTGTCTGACGCGTGAACTATAACTACAAAAGACATTTATAACAGTTTATGCGAGCTGGGGACAATGTTATTATTCCTAGGGAAACAATCTAAGTATGTACAAATCTCGTAAATAAGTACCTCAGTGGTGTATGAGCGATGTCATGGCAGCCTTGTTGTCAAATGCAGCGAAGATGTTAGAAATTAGCATGGATATTGGATAAGCAATGATCATGGTAGAATTTCTAGCGATCTATTTGGTCGATTTAACGTTGACGTAACCTGTGTTTTTGTGATGAAGAATCTTAAATACACTCTGGAGCATGACAGTCATCAGCCATCACTTTCTCTTGTAAAATTATTTATTTACTCCATTTCATTGAATATAAACAAGTTATCAATGATTAAGAGCAGGTTAAGATTAAGCAAGCAATTTATCTCGTAAATAATTGTTATTTTAATTTAAGAATATCTTGGGTTCACATCAACTATTACCATATCTATGTCCAAAGACAATTTATACAATTTTGCATTTGAATCTTAAACAACCTCATCACTTATATTAATACTGTAACATATTTTGGAGGTATTATTTGATGGAACAGATCATATTAGTAACTGGTTATTGTCATTAACTTGTAAAGGCCTTGTATAAAGTTTCAGCCACTTTACACTGAGCCTTTAATCTCTGATTCATACAGGAGTATTGTGTTCCCTAAAGTATCAAACAAGTGTCAATAATAATACCATATATTAGAGAACTAAATAGCTGGTAATATACAAACATCGGGTTTGCTTAAGGAGCTGATAATATAAACTAGCTGATAATATATTTTTTATTGCAATAATTTGAGAAACATACATGGTTCCCCAGAGAGGACAGTGGGGTACAAACATCGGGTTTGCTTAAGGAGCTGATAATATATAATAATATAATAACTGATAATATGATGTTAGGATATTGGTTGCTTAATGTAGCTGAGCTTGAATAAAGACAGGAGCTGACATCTATTTAATAGTGGAAAAATAATATCATACTGACTTTGATCTTAACCAATCAGAATACTGAGATTATGGTTGATAAAAATTCAACTATCCAATCAAAATAGTATTCACTGAATTTTATGTGTTCGTGAAGGCTTTTATGTCTACCTTTGGGGTCATTTTGATTCTGAAAAGTGTATATTATTTATCATATTCCTATAGAGAAAGTACTTGCCCAAAAAACGAGGGGTCATTGGTTCATGGGTTCGATCCCCACTGGGATGGACTGACCTTTTCACATTAGCCCTTATCGCAGGCTTTCTTTCTTCTGTGTTTTCATTAAATGGCCCATATACAGTTTTAACCACTTTGACTTATATTCTGGTCTTACCCAATGTTATCAATATTTTTTTCCGTGAAAAATAGTAAATGAATGATAAAATAGTTTTTATACTTTTCATGGATCCTTTAACCAATATAGCCTAATATACAAGTCTCTGACGCTCAGGATAAATAAGTAGAATAAAATATCTGATGAAGATTTCTGTTTTCCAGCACCTCCGCCCACTTATGCTGAGTGTGTATTTGGAAAGTCCAGGATTGCAGACGATCAGGATAATCAGTACACTAGAGGAGAGCTGGATTACGCACCAATATATACATACTACAATTTCAACCAAGGCGCGGACCAGGGACAAGGCCAGCAGCCACCTCAAGCTTGGACTTCATAGAACACAATTTGTGAATGATTAGGCACAAATTTATTTTTGGTCATTTTTGGGATATTAGCAGCTGTATAACATGAACCAGAGATTGTAACATGGACCTATAGAACATTTAACTCTAAGGTCTCATAGGAAGTTACACTCTTAAGAGAAAGAATTAAAAGTGTAACTCAGTCAGACTATTTTTTTTAGTCTAGTAATGGAGTAAAGTGGACTGCAAATAATAGAGTGTAATGTGGACTTCATAGAATAATTGACCAAGTATTATGGGAACCAAAAGAATAAAGATTGTATCTTGGACTTCAGACTTGTCTCACAGGGGGACATTCTAAAGTTGACTGCAAATAATAAAGTGTACATGGACTTCATAGAATAATTGACTAAGTGTCATAGAAACCAAAGAATAAAGATTGTAACTTGGACTTCAGATTCATCTTACAAGGGCACATTCTAAAGTGGACAGCAAATAATAAAGTGTTCATGGACTTCATAGAATAATTGACTAAGTGTCATAGGAACCAAAGAATAAAGATTGTAACTTCACTTCAGATTCATCTTACAAGGGCACATTCTAAAGTGGACAGCAAATAATAAAGTGTACATTGACTTCATAGAATAATTGACTAAGTGTCATAGGAACCAAAGAATAAAGATTGTAACTTGGACTTCAGACTTGTCTCACAGGGGCATATTCTGAACCATATTTGTGAACCTTTGGTGTTTAGGAAGTCAATTTGACTCATAAATGTCCCATCACTTAAACAAAGACAACAGATGCAATTAATTCTGCTTCTCCTTGGATTTTAAGAGATATACAAATGTAGTACTCATAAACAGATATATACAATACAATTAATAATATAGTGTTAAAAGAATCTAGATAGAGTTTATGGATGACGATTATGTTAACAATATATATTATTATCTATATTAAGGGTGCAGCAGGGACCTTCTCAAGCACAAACTTCACAGTGTGATTTTGATACTGTCCCTATTTCTGAACATATGTATTTTATATGAGAAATTTATTTTATTTGTATATAGCCTTTTCTTATTCAGATCTTCACATCTGCGGACATCGTTATTTTCATGTAAAGCAAATGTTTATGAATATTTACATGTATAATTTGTACTGTATATTGTTTTAATTTGGAGAATTTGTAATTTTGCCGATATTTAAGAAATGAATATAGCAAAATGGTGAACTAGTCATTGACTAAATTTCAAATCGGTGAATTTTAACAGATTTGAGGAACTTCCAAATTAAAGTAGCCTTCATATCACAGTAATGTGAAGAATTATCTTTTCAAAACCTCACATTTTGAAGTAACATTTGAGTAAAGTTATAGATGCTACTAGTTTATCATATGTTATTATGTCACCATTAAAAAGTTTTTTTGTGGCTAGGTGGTGACATTTTGTCATGTTAATGCCTTGTTACAATACTGCAGTATTATTCCAGATCATTTAATAGTTACGCAAAGTTTATTTTGACTCAGAGTTACACTATTGCCCTCAATGGCAGTCACTATTTGTATACTGTAAATGAACTGTCTATAACATACTGTTAATGTTTATTGTTTACTGTTAATGAACTAATGTATACTGTTTGTGAATTATAGTTCACTGTAAATGAGCTATTGTATACTGTTTACATGTATGAAGTATACTTTGCTGTAAATGAGCTATTGTATACTGTTTACATGTATGAAGTATACTTTGCTGTAAATGAGCTATTGTATACTGTTTACATGTATGAAGTATACTTTGCTGTAAATGAGCTATTGTATACTGTTTACATGTTTGAAGTATACTTTGCTGTAAATGAGCTATTGTATACTGTTTACATGTATGAAGTATACTTTGCTGTAAATGAGCTATTGTATACTGTTTACATGTATGAAGTATACTTTGCTGTAAATTAGCTATTGTATACTGTTTACATGTATGAAGTATACTTTGCTGTAAATTAGCTATTGTATACTGTTTACATGTATGACGTATACTTTGCTGTAAATGAGCTATTGTATACTGTTTACATGTATGAAGTATACTTTGCTGTAAATGAGCTATTGTATACTGTTTACATGTATGAAGTATACTTTGCTGTAAATGAGCTATTGTATACTGTTTACATGTATGAAGTATACTTTGCTGTAAATGAGCTATTGTATACTGTTTACATGTATGAAGTATACTTTGCTGTAAATGAGCTATTGTATACTGTTTACATGTATGAAGTATACTTTGCTGTAAATGAGCTATTGTATACTGTTTACATGTATGAAGTATACTTTGCTGTAAATGAGCTATTGTATACTGTTTATGAATTTTAGTTTACTGTAAATGAGCTATTGTATACTGTTTACATGTATGAAGTATACTTTGCTGTAAATGAGCTATTGTATACTGTTTACATGTATGAAGTATACTTTGCTGTAAATGAGCTATTGTATACTGTTTACATGTATGAAGTATACTTTGCTGTAAATTAGCTATTGTATACTGTTTACATGTATGAAGTATACTTTGCTGTAAATGAGCTATTGTATACTGTTTACATGTATGAAGTATACTTTGCTGTAAATGAGCTATTGTATACTGTTTACATGTATGAAGTATACTTTGCTGTAAATGAGCTATTGTATACTGTTTATGAATTTTAGTTTACTGTAAATGAGCCATTCTTGTAAGTATATTCAGTGATGACTTTTGATAAATGGAATACATGTACAGGTAAAGAAGAAAAGGGAATTCAACTTGTAACATTATATACAGAATACTAACATATATTTTCCAAATATTTATGTAGTCATAAATATATTAAATACACATATTGACATACAATAAACCATCTGAAGGGATAAAAATGATATATTTGATACTGTTATGTCTTATGTGATGCAAATGTGTTCTCCCGTCTTGCTATTTTGTTGAACTGTCACGTTATTATGTTCATCTATCATGTCATTTTTGTTCAACTTTTTATCAAGCGATTTCGTTGAACTGTCACCCTATTTATCACGCAGTTATGTTCAATTATCATGCCATTTTTGTTCAACTTTTCATCATTTCAATCCAGATTCAACTTAGTTTAGCTAAAATCGAAAGTTTATCTAAAACGAAAGAATTTTGGCCATCATCTTGAATGATACTAACAGCATTCAGAGTTATTCAGGTGTGGAACAGTGATCATGCGATTTCCCTAAACTGTCACGCCATTATGATGGACTATCATGCCATTGTTGTTCAACTTTTCATCTAGCGATTTCGTTGTACTGTCACGCCATTATGTTCGACTAACAATTTTGTACAATCGACCTCTCATTTTGTTCAGCATTCAATTGATTTTATGCGATATTGATTAACTTACATTCCATTTTCCCGGGGATTCTCTTTCAGTGGCTTTTCTATGTATATTACGTTGCACGATGAAACTGGCGAATTACTGGAAAAACATAGATAGAGTACAAATATTTCATGAATTTCTTCATTTTAAGATTGCAAAATCTTTTTTTGTGAATTGTGACATCGCATTAAAAATTGTGACAATTTCTACAACACTGAAAATAAGTTGCACAAAATATCTAATTAAACCTGATTAATTCTCCATCTTTTGATATATAACCTGTGCTTTATCTGTGTGATACTATATACATTTGAGAATTATACAATGCCCCGTTTTTATGCCCACTCTGTACTAACTGACATTCAGTTTGATGGAAAAAATATTTACATATTGTTTTACGTTTTTAGTTGGTTTTCCACAATAATATTGATACTTTTTGAGCATTTCAATTATAATTGTCAAACAATGACGTTCACAGTATCTGCCTCAAAAGCTATTAACTTGTTATCCCAACGAACGAAGTTCTGTAGGGATATAGTGAAGCCCTCCGTCCGTCCGTCAGTCAGTCAGTCGGTCAGTCGGTCAGTCGGTCAGTCAGTCAGTCAGTCAGTCCGTCTGTCCGGAAGATAACTCAAATATTAGTTGACCGATTTTCTTCATATTTGGTGGAAAGATGTATATTGATAAATAGTTTTACGCAAAAAAAATTTTTTCAAGATGGCCGCCACTTTAAAAATGACGGGACTTTTTCGCAAAAATCATAAATTTTTCATTCTAAACCAAAGTAATTAATATTATTGTTTGAAATTTTGGTAGTATATTCACAACATCTATCTTTTTCACATATATTCCGTGTTTTTCATCCTGACCCCAGGGGCCGTATATGGGGGGTCAGGAAAACAGAGATTTTCGCTAATTCTTAGATCTTTCTCAAGTATAGCTTTATTATACTCAAATGAAAGGCAATTAAGAGTAGATTGCAAATATTGTATCTTTTTTCTGATTTGAGCCTCGTAAAATTCAAAATGGCCGTCTAATGTACGATTTCGCAATACTTTTTCGATCCCTTCAAAGTATGGCTATATTATACTCAAATTGAAGGAATTTTGGAGTAGATCACAATTATGGTATTATTTTTCAGATTTGTACCTCAGAAAATTCAAAATGGCTGTTTTGCAGGAATTCGCAATTCTAAAATCTAAATTTTCCAATTTTAATCAAAGTAATGAGTATAATTGATTGGAATTCGGTAATTGATATTTTGTTCGTTGGGATTTGCTACTCCGCTGAGTTGCCGTTATCTAGTTAATAGGTGCGTAACCATGGGAATGGAACAATACAGAGCGACCAAAAAGAGTTGGCAAGTCATCCATCCAAATACTCCTCACACAGTTAACTTTTCAAAACGTAAACGGATGTCACTAACTATGATGATGACACGTGATACGATAATAACGATGATTACCAATACCTCATCGCTCTACTCTCCAGACTTAGATGTGGATCTCTACAACTCAGTATTGAAACTGGACGTGTAACAAACACACCCCTCCCACAACGTATATGTCAAGTATGCTCAGACAGTGGTTCTCCAGTTGAAACAGAAAAACATTTCCTTTTAGAATGCCATGCATGCACAAACATTAGAGATTGTTTCTTAGATAGTATTAAAAACCTGCTCCCTTTTAATTTCAAATATATGTCACAAGACATTAAATGCTTACACTTATGAACACTGCCAGCATCCAAAATAAACTTGCATCAACTGTTTTTAAATTTTGGTCCAGGAGAAAACGTATTATTAATACATAATTAATCACTGTGCAATAACAATTCATATTTTTTATATATTTATATTGATCTGAACTGATGGTGTCTCATAAGCCAATGCCGGCTGGCTGTGATTTTTATACTTCTATTTAATGTTTTTAATACTATGTTGTATTTAATTGTATATGTCACAGGTGACACTTTAATAAATTATTATACGCAAAGTCATTTTTGACATGATAAGAGCAAATGCAGTGATGGGTCGCTGACTTACTATAAAAAGGTAAGTCACAAAATCCGAATGGGTTTTTACTGAGCAATATCCTGGTCTCATTCTGCAATTTGATTGGTTGCAATATCCTGGTCTCATTCTGCAATTGGATTGGTTGGTATTGACCATGAACTTAATAACCTCCGAGTGATACTACTAGTAATATTATAAAGAAAGAGGATACGATTCAATCTAACATAATCTGTAGGACATTTGAGGTACAGCGAGGGTGTTAGGAATACTAGCAGAGTACTCGTGAACAGCTAGTAATCAGTTTCAGGGACCCTTTATATTCGTTCGACTTCTTAAAAGAGAGCTAGTAACTATTCGGCGCAGGGTAAGTTTCAGCATGGGCTAAAGCCCAAGGTTTCAGGTAAACTTCTTACTCTGCAAAGGGTTCTTCAGAACTTTTTGACTCTCACATAGATTGCATGAGTTTTGGCTAAATTGTTAAAACAACAGGTGTTGTGTTTACAACTTATTATCCCAAGAACGAAGTTCAGGGGACATAGAGAACGGCTTCGTCCGTACGTCCATCCGTCCGGGCGATAAGTAAAATAGTACCATTGAACCAATAGTATGCCATTTGAGTTTCAGACAGATTCAAGCAACACTTTTTCATAAATCATTAAATTAAGTGACTATTGCAAACTTATAGCATGGACAGCTATGGCAGTCTGGTCCAAGCAAAATTTCAGTTTTCTCTGTGTACGGAATGAAAGATGAAATTTTGGATCCTTCCACCCCTACGAAAATAATACAAAAACCCATCTGAGTCGCCTGCCAACCTGCCTGCAAAATACAGAGTGCCGACTCACCACAAAATTTGTTTGGTTTTCACATCTCCAATTGCGTCTCATTGCACTTCAATTTCCTCACTTGAGAATTAATGAAAGCTATACTATTAAAATACATTCTAACGTACACCACACGCCTTTTTACTCAAACCATTTTTGAGCACCCTGTAGACCCCACGCCTAACGCCCAGCGTCTTTTTACCCAAACCATTTTTGAGCACCTGTAGACACCACGCCCAACGCCTAACGTCCAATGTCTTTGTTCCCAAACCCATTGAACGATTAATCCGTAGTGAATCTTCCATAAAATGATAAATCTTGCATTTGTTGAATTTTGTAACAGATATCAGCCCCTCCCCACCCTCCCCTCCCTTCAATTTGTCCTATTAACGCTCGTGAATTTAAAAACGTTTTTTTGGATATAGCCATGAGATAAAAGTTACAGTTTCAGAGATGGCAAAGCTACGCCAATTTGAAATCTTCTTTGACAAGCCGATGCCAATTTACCAAGCGGGCGAACTTGTAACTGGGGCTGTAGTCTTAGGTCTAGATGAACCGATGAAGATGAGAGGTACGATCAACTGATTATACAGTGATACCTGTAAAGTGGAACACCTCTAGAATTAGGCGAGTGGGAGATCCAGCCAAAAGGCCTTATGTGTTGACCTTAATTAAGATAGCTTGCAACCGCATGAATCATACCTGACTTTCATAATATGAATATGTAGATTTAAAAATGACAATAATAAAAATTGAAAAATGGCCGATCACTATGGAAACGGGACACAAAGGCCAAGCCCACTTTTTAAATTTCTTACTTGGTGGTAAATACATTTTAGACTGTAACACCCATGTTAGTGGATCACCTTTCAGAGTCCCAAAACCGACTGACTTAATCGTATATGAACCTCTAAAAGTGGAACACATCCAAAGTTGAACACTTTTTGAGGTAAAAAGGTGTTTCACTTAGACAGGTTTTACTGTATGTAATTGTTGTTATGCTGGTAATGGTTTGAAACGCAAATATACAAAGAAACGAGTTGATCAAACTTATTAGGATCATAGCCTAGAATTTAGGCCCACACGCTAGGCCATTAATTCACCGCTTTGGCTATTTATCCACCTGTTATGACTATTAGATCTACCCGCTTTGGCTATTGATCCACCCGCTATGGCCATTAATTCACCACTTTGGCTATTTCTCCACCTGTTATGACTATTAGATCTACCCGCTTTGGCTATTGATCCACCCGCTATGGCCATTAATTCACCGCTTTGGCTATTTCTCCACCTGTTATGACTATTAGATCTACCCGCTTTGGCTATTGATCCACCCGCTATGGCCATTAATTCACCGCTTTGGCTATTTATCCACCTGTTATGACTATTAGATCCACCCGCTTTGGCTATTGATCCACCCGCTATGGCCATTAATTCACCGCTTTGGCTATTTCTCTACCTGTTATGACTATCAGATCTACCCGCTTTGGCTATTGATCCACCCGCTATGGCCATTAATTCACCGCTTTGGCTATTTCTCCACCTGTTATGACTATTAGATCTACCCGCTTTGGCTATTGATCCACCCGCTATGGCCATTAATTCACCGCTTTGGCTATTGATCCACCCGCTATGGCCATTAATTCACCGCTTTGGCTATTCTCCACCTGTTATGACTATTAGATCAACTCGCTATGGCTATTAAATCCACCCGCTATGTCTATTGATCCACCCGCTATGGCCATTAATTCACCGCTTTGGCTATTTCTCCACCTGTTATGGCTATTAAATCCACCCGCTATGTCTATTGATCCACCCGCTATGGCCATTAATTCACCGCTTTGGCTATTTCTCCACCTGTTATGACTATTAGATCCACCCGCTTTGGCTATTGATCCACCAACTATGGCTACTAACCCACCCGCTAAATGCCTATTAATTCACCTGTATGGCTATTAATCCACCATCTAAATGGCTATTAATCCACCCGCTATGGCTATATTTTTTATTCTATGAAACCACAGAGATGGTGTGATTTTCAAGCAAGTTCCCATTATCTTAACTCAGCCATTATACTCCCGATCACCTCAATTTTTTGCACCAAAAATTTTTTTTCATGGCAGAGAAATACCGGGGGAAAATCCGGACCCGACCCCCCTCCCCCTGTACACATTAGGGTTAATACACCCGCTATGGCTATTAATCCATCCGCTGTGGCTATTAATCCACCCGCTATTGTTTGCTGAATCATACCATGAATGTCTTGTTTCCAAATCTTTTCATGCTCGCGCCGCGGGAATGCAAAGTTTAGGAAACAAAGCCTGAGTCGAATGAAGCAGCTACAATGCATTGAGTCTTGGGCTTAAATTCTTACACATTTTTTCATGGCAGAGAAATACCGGGGAATACGGATCCGACCCCCCTCCCCCTGTACACATTAGGGTTAATCCACCCGCTATAATGGCTATTAATCCACCCGCTGTGGCTATTAATCCACAAGACCTAACATATTTACCATACCGTGTGCCTATTCATTTAGCAATTCAAAAATAAACTTTCTCTCGAAAAAATCAATCCTCCTGATTTGTTTTTGAAGAAATCGCCACACCCTTCCCTTCGTTCATTCTGTACGATAACCAGCGTGATGATGCTATCCTCTTCATCATGATATCAATCATTTTTATTGATATTATAATATTTCCCATAATACTAATATCGTTATCTGATTTCATCTTAACCCTTTCACGACGATGGGCTCCATATGGAGCCCTATTACGTAATACCTTTCAGGACGATAGGCTCCTTTTGGCACCATTATTTTTATTTATATACATCAATGAAATGATAATATCTCCAATTCTACTCAGTATTTTTACACCAAATTTTGACAAGTTGTTCTAATACGATAGTCCTTACTAAAAAATGTATTTCAGTGATAAAATTTAAGGTATAGGTCCCTGGGCATAGGTAATTTTCAGTTTTCCCCTAAAAACTGCTCTTACTTATCCGTCACCAGGGCCAACATTTTCCTCTTATATTCACGTCGGGAAAGGGTTAATGCTACCCTATTTTCAGCTTTGCAATTGTTAGTCCATGGTGCAGCGGATGTCTTCTGGAGAGAATCCAGTGGTACCGGAGACTCCAAAACAACACATACTTATAGCAACCATGAGAGCTATTTTGAACACTTCATAGGACTATGGGGGGCTACAGGTAAGTTTTGAAAACAGCATGTGTTGTAAAATTGCGATAGCAATATGCCAACATCACTTGGCGATGGCACGGCCATCATTATAACTACCATTTTTGTGACTGGACTGGCATACAACATTTTTCAGACTATATTGATGGTAGACCTCTGTAACTGTTTTGCAATATCTTAACAGATGCATGGTTACATTTAGTTTTTTATATTGTGAACTATTTCGTGAATTGTAAATTTACATCAAATGGCTTGCCAATCGCCTAATGGTATCATAGACCAAGCTCTAAGATAACATCGTATATAATACAAATAAGAACAGCATCTTGTTCATAGTGGCTGAACGGAACAAGAATAAGAATTAGGGGGTGTCAAATTAGTTGTTGTGTTAAGTTTCTATGAGGGTAAAGGAAGGGAAATAGTGAAAAAACTATAAAGGATGTCGTATTTCTTATTTTCTTGTATAAATATTGCCACATTTACAAAATGTTCTTTTTTGTGAGGGTGAAAGATCATTACTTCAATATTTAAAAAAATACATAATTTGGTTTTCATTTTTGATTGTTTTTTGGTTTTCATGTTGACATTTTACTAAATAGGATTGTTCTAATTGCAATATTTTGAGGGCATCTTAATGTTTAGGGGTTTCAGGTAATCCACGCACACGTTTGAGGTGTTCAACATTTTAAACTTTTATGCATATAGCTGGGCTTGAAAATCAGATCCACTCTGTATCTGTCTTGTTCCAAGTTCCTGAATAGTTTAACCTACGTGGCAGGGTCAAAACTAGGTTTTGATCTTTGAATTAATTGTTTGGGCGATTTTTGAAGATAGGGAGACTGCGTTTTTGAATTGCCCGCGGCGCTATTCCATTGCATAATAGGTAATGAGATTTCCCCCAAGTATTACGAAAAAGGACAAAAAGCCCCTGATGTACAAATTACTTTTCCAACAAAAACAGATCATCCAAGCGCACTTACATTACTAATTACGATGTATCAATCTTGTCGGCCAACCGCGTGTGTCAATTCTCAAAATCTTTGTTCCCTCTTCAAAAGAGGAGACGCGAAAATCTTTCCTTATAAGGTCAAAATATTTCCCATGATGCAGTTCGCGGAGGAACAAATTTATACTTCCTTGTTTTCCCTCATAAGTTTAACATGGGGATTTTCACACCTATTTTTCAAACGATATATTCGTTCATATTCCCGTACGAGAGTACAGAAAAAATTATTAGAAACGATTGATCTCTTATTAATCTTAATATAACAGCTACTTTTTTCCATTGTATTGATTCATAGCGTGGTGAAAACGACGATTGAAAAGTGAGGAAATATTCCGGAAGAGAAAGTCACGTGATCAGTTGACTAGTCGCCATATTGGAAAAAACAATTCCATTCGACTTTCAATACTTTCATGCCAATCTTACCGCACTACAAACTGCAACATCGATGCAACAACTGAATAAAAGTATTCATCTTCAAATTACATTATAGAGTTACGTTGAAAACCCACAAACAACTGAGCAGTAGACCAAAGAAGACGCGTCGCTATTATCTAGGTCAATCTGTTCAGTGGCCCGAAAGCAAATCTATAGTACCCGTTTCCGAATTTTGTTGTTCATTGTACAATCTTTTATTGATTTAACTCGGTATACTGACTATTAAAGCAATGACAAAGAAGAATACTTCCGATGGTGTCATTGTTTTATTTAGCGTGCGGGTGTAAAAACAAAATTGCGTAATTAGTTTGATTTAGAACTTTCGGGTCACGCAAATAGCTACGCGTAATGCATAGTGGGAAAATATTGACCAATCAAATTTTGTCCTTTTTGAGTGCTTTTTCAGGACATATTTGCGAACGTTCTGATTCAAAGAGCGAACCGGGAAAGGGATCATTAGTTATAAATGCTTTGTTAGAACAATGTACTCTAATTTGTAACAGCTTATTTACAGCTCCTGGAGAAAGTGGCAACGATCCCAGTCATCCCCAGGGTCACTTTACCTACCAGTTTCAGTTTCTCCTCCCCCCAGTATTACCTTCCTCGTTTGAGATTAAGCAGGGCCATGTCCGGTATTGGGTAAAAGCGACCATTGGGCGATCCTGGAAATTTGACCATAACTGTAAACGGCCTTTTACTGTATTGAGCCATTTGGACTTGAATATCTACCAACCCAATATATTGGTAAGTCTATTATACAGGGTGTCAAAAAACAACGGCAACCCCCTCTATAGCAAAAGGTCCTTAATGATACATATCATGTCATATCTCATTTGAAAGATAATTTTATTCTGGAGTTACTCATCAAATTTCATTTAATAAAACTTCATATTAAAAAAGCTATATTGTTTCAAAGTTTGCTACATCGGTACTTTGTTCGCTACTCTGTTACTGGTTAAAGTTAAAGGTCAAATCTTAAAGTGGAATATGAAAGAATTAGCCCAGATTTCAACTACACTGAACATATGGGCTCAGATCTGAAAAACAGGGTATAGGAATTGATGGAAAAAGAGCCTCTTGAAAAAAGATACAGTAAGGATGTAATTCTTAACAATGTGAGGAAAATGCTAAGAGGATTATCCAATGCTACACCTTTATCCGAATTTTCATTGAAATCATATCCATCCATATAAGCTGCTGTTCGAGCAGTAACTGGTGGTCATACCAACTACTAAGAATCAGCTGTAAATCTGTAAAATTATATGATATCAAGCTGATATTTCTTAGGTAACTCAAGAATTAAATTGTCTTTAAAATGAGATATGACACACTATGTAACATTAAGTACCTTTCGCTGTAGAGGGGGAGTGCCGTTGTTTTTTGACACCCTGTACATAGGGACAAAGTACACAGACGTGGGCTATTGGTATCTTCCCTTTCAGATAGGCAATTTTGATAAAACGCATAGCTTCCAATTTGCTTTGTGCATCTTTGTATGTTTCGATTGTCATATTCAGCAATTTTAACAAATTACAAATTACATGGTATGTTATATGGACGTTTCAAAATATTCATAACATTTTTCAACATATAACATTTCAAAGTTCTTAGCTAATCAAAATTGAGTTTTCAGCTGAATTCTAAATTCTTTCCTTCTGTACCATTTTCAAATATGTTGCAGACTATACTGCATGCAGTATAGTCGGTATATTGACTGCATTGGTAGGATCCATAAGTTGTACAATCCTGTGGAGTACACTCATAAGTTTTAGACAAAGAGAGATGAGTGAGATATTTTCTTTAAAGTCCCCATGTACATTTTGAAAATATGTTTTTTCATTCATTTACCTTTTGTCACCAATAAAAGATTGACCCAATAATAAAATGTCATATCTAATGTGCCACTTCAATGTTTTAGCATATAAATAATGCCTATTGTGACATCATGTCCTACAAACAACTTCGCTATCTTTCATTGACATTGGTAAAAATTTGATATATAAAAACTTGACAGATCAAAAAAAAAATTTAATAATTTATTGTAAGCTTTGATGTGGTCTGTTTGAGCTGTTTTTGATGTTTAATGAAAGATAAAATTTATGTCAATCCTTTGGAAATACTATCAAAAGTGAGTTTTTATTTTGCCAAAAAATGTTGAAAATACGCACAGTGAGGCTTTAATCTTTTCGAAATAAAATAACTATAATATGCCAAACATAAAAAATAAACCAATGTTTATTGTCTAAGTAGGTTAAAAGGATGAATATACATGTTTTGAATATTATTGTTGTCTATGAGAACTGAAATTTGAAAATGCATTTTTCTCTGAATCATTCTTATGCATGGATGAGGTCACTTCTCGCTTATATATGAACCAATTTTCTTAATTTTTTGGGCAAAAACACATGATAATCAATGCTATGCATTAGTGTGAATTATTGCTTAATAAGATACGCGTGCCATCTAAAATGAATTCATGATTTTTCGAACAAAAAGTCCTTTAAAAATCACTTTTTGAAACAAAAAAAGGTTCACATATCACACTTTGGTAACATTGAGTAAGACTCCAATATAAGCCAAAGTGGTTAAAACTTTACACAGGGGCTTTAAGAGTAAGGATTTTAAGAGAACATTTTATTATAAAGAATATCCTATTTTTCTTTCAGCTTGGGTTAGAGGGGAGAGATCAAAAGACATTATGTTGCTGGTGTTGCGCTAGTGGCCCTATCTCCGCAACAGTCAGAATCGCAAAACAAGGTTACGTCCCTGGAGAGCCAATATACATTAATGCAAAAATAGAAAATAATTCTTCTAGAAAAATGAGAGCTTCACGAGTAGAATTTAAACAGGTAAGAGAAAAGCTTGAAATATGAAATATACGTTTTGACATAAAACAACAAACAACCATAAAACACGAGATTATGTTATTTATGTAATTCATTTAAGTTCTGTTTGTACCCATTGATATCATCATGTCTGTGTTACCATTTTGCATTCATTTGAAATAATTGAATAAATACAGGTCCCTTTTTATTTCTCTGACGCTACTGTTCAATTCTAAAAGCAAATCCCATTAACATAAAGCCAAAATGTCCCACTTTATCTTCAAATTATGCCGAGTAAATTATAGTGCATTGTTTGTATCACAGGTCACTTCCTGTCACGCTACTAATAAGACAAATGATGTAACTAATACCATCCTGACTTTACAAAGAGGAGAAATCGACGCAGGAGGGACTGAATGCTGGGAAAATGTTCAACTTGTCGTTCCTCCGCTTCCACCGTCTTATCTTGTTGGTTGCAGAATCATTGACATCAGATATGCTCTACACGTAAAACTGATTTTATTTTTTGTAACAAAATGTTAAAGTTTGATATAAGCGTCTAATCTGATTCTGAAAAATATATATTGTGTGATAACAGAGAAAGTATGTCAGGGGAAGGGCTGCAATCCATGATGTCCTTTCTTACAAAAAAGACATTCACACGATCATTAAGCTTAAAGAAGTATACTGTAGAAGTACAAATACCTTATTGTTTTACTTGGCAACTTTTGAGGTGAATGTTTGAGATAAAGTGATCGAAAGAAACCAGCCTTCCTGATGACCATTGTGAATTATTGTTTTTATGGATTATGGCGACGGCTTTGCGAATGGATGTCGACCCTTTGAATGAAACGCATATGGTCGTTGAGACTTGATTTTATCTGTCCCACATCATTTGAGACTCGATGCTCTATCTTGCATGAGTTCATGTATCTACTACTATTTTTGATGTTACGAATATTGGCTATCAATTTTTAAAAAGATTTCTTCAACATATATTGTACAGTTGTAATGACTTCAGTATCAATGAATTTTATTTCAGTTTGTAGTTGACCCCTCTGGACCAGCATTTGATCTTGAAGTGCCTTTAGAAGTAATAATAGGGACAATACCTTTGCAACAAATGTGGTCAAACTTCTCAACCAATACTTCTTATGGAATGGGTGCTGAGTCTACCCCAATGGTTGCTATGCCAACAGCACCCACTCAAGGCCCATCTCATGCCAATCCTTCAGCCCTAACAGGTTATTATTTAATATTGAAATTTTTTTTTTATCATAATTTTATTTCCATAAATCAAATAATAATAATACATACATATGAGCGGCTTTGTTAAAAAACATTATAAGCCACTTTGACAATAGTAAAAATAAGAAAATGACAAGGGCTTAAGTGATCTGATAAAAACACTATAGTGGGTCACTAGTCTGCCTGAATTGAATTTTATTGGACGGTGTAAGTAATGATTAGACTGACTTCAAAGAATCCATTTCCCCAAGTACCATTATATGGCCCCAACGGTTTCCTTGAAAAGTCAGTTATCCGTTATTAACATATCCAAATTGAAAGTAGGTCATTGGCATTAAAACTGAGCTCATTCAGTGCATTTAATTTGACTATGCAAATCATTCTAAATACCATTTTAGGGGTATACTAGTCTTCACTCTCGACCATTTTAAGTATGTTGACCATTTATCAATCGATATATCAAAACACCACAGGACACGAAGGGCAGCATATTGAAAACACCAATAATAAATTTACACCAAAAATGAAGCTCCATAAAGGTGTTCTCAACAATAGTAACATGATCACCCGAGTAGTTACACAATAGGTTTAACCTAGGCATTCAACCTAGAGGATAGTTTAAAGTATTATTAAGGTAAGACACAAATGACAACATATTGAAAACACAAATGTTAATATATATAATATATAATATTTTTAATTGGCGTTATTATAGAAAAACTGTTAATAAAAAGGTGATCGACTTTCCAATCTTATTAGCATATTCTTTTCAAAATACTAGTTGCCATTTTGCTTCGAATAAGCAGGTGTCAGTGGAAAAATACCACCCACTGATTTCAAAATAACTCTCTCAATAATTAAGGAATCTTCATGATTTTTTATGTTTATATAGACTGCTCAATGGGAAAAGATCGGTATGCTTATATAGCATGAACAACTTAAGGATGATGAGATATCTCATTTTCCGTGTAGGCATGCTCCGACACAAAATCACTCAGAAAATCTCGAAAAAGTCTTTCTTAAAATTACCCAATGATCGGAGCGAGTCAATTCATCTTTGACAAAGCAATTGAATGAAATAGATAGATATGACATACCATCGATATTATATGTGTTAAGCAATGAAAGTTATCCAGGAATGACTAAAACAACTGCAAAGAGAGAAATCTCGATTTCAGAAAATTACAATTTTGGACATTTCTTGATGATTTTCACCGAGAGCATACCTGGACAGAAAACGTGATACCTCTAAATCTTGTTGATGCTATCCAAGTACAACAATCTTTTTTTCATTGATCACTCTATCTATAAAAATCAATGATAGGCAGGATCAGATCAAGCAAGCAACTTCACAAAATAATTGTGTCAATTGAAAAATACTTTGAGCCCATTTTAGAATCTGTATTTTTGTTTGATTTAGTTTATCTTTGGAGTCTTTGGTTGGTCCAGATATTATTGTTAACCAAGCATTGTCTAATGCTCCAAAGCATACATGGCATTTTAAAAAGATTCTCCAGCCTTTTCTTACATATAGTTATTATTTATCAGTTTGCTGGTTTATTTTTCAAATAACGCTTGTACGAGTAGATAGTTAACAGTTTCACCACCAGGTGGCTCGTTCGGGTCAGATAGCATGGCGGGTATAGTAGAAAGTTCCCTTTAACTTAAATTACCTCTATTTTAGTGGTTCAATTTTCATGTAACCCTTAAATTAAAACATGTCCAGTCAAAGAAAATGTTATCTGTTCGATACAAGGAAAGATATTTTACTTTTTGTGACTTTGTAACATGCGGTCTATGGGGAATTAACCCGAACTAGAAGTCACATTTTCAAAAAAAATGTACTTTTACATGTAGATTTCAAATATGACATCACTTTGACTGAATTTTGAATATATTATGACGTAAATCAAGATTATTTCTACTCGCATCTAGTCCATTGGCTAACATTTTTTGTTTAATAGGACCCATACTCAAGAAGGCATATCTTTAGTATGGTCGCTTATTTCAATTAGCCACCATTTTCATATAAAATAACTCAAAACCCGTTGACGGATTTGGAAAAAATGTGCGTTGATGCTTTTTGGCTTAAGGGACATAGAACTGCTCAAGATTCAAACGACAAGGTATTTATCAAAATATGTTTGTTCGATGGGCACATGAATTTGAAGTCCATGATGGGTAATGCTATTCCATGGATTTGTTATTTTCTAGTTTCTCCTACCATATAACCTCATACACAAATCTCCTGGTCCCAGGATAAATTAAAAGGACGGATATCTGATTAAGATTTCTGTTTTTCAGCACCTACGCCGACTTATTCTCAGTCTGTATTTGGAAAGTCCAGGATTACAGACGATCAGGATAATCTTCAATACACCAGTGGAGAGCTGGATTACGCACCATTTTATGCATACTACAATTTCAACCAAGGCGCAGACCAGGAACAATGTCAACAGCCACCTCAAGCAAAAACTTCACGTGAATAATTTGAGACAATATTTGAACTTTAGTGTTACTAATAACCCAGATGCGAGTGGGTAATTACCAGTTTCACCAACAGGTGGCTTATTCGGGTTAGATAGCATGACAGGTGAATTATAGTAGAAAGTTACATTTACCTTGAGTATTTGTCAGTTTTCGTGGTTCACTTTTCATATCACCCTTATGTATCTAAAGTTATCGAAATTAATATATGTCCAGTAAAAGAAAAAATTATCTGTCCAATACAAGAGCCGATATTTCACTTTTGTGATTTTATAATATCCCGAACTAGAAGTCTCAAAAAAAATTATTTTCAAAATTTCTAGATACACTTTTACATGTTGAATTCAAATGTGACATCACTTTGACTGAATCTTGAATATTTAATGACGTAAATCACGAGTTTGCACTTCGTTTAATTTTAAGAGATATAGTACTCATAAACAGAGTGCTCAAAGAATTGTAATAGGGTACATGGATGCCGATTAAGTTAACAATTTAAAAGAAGAGTGTAAGGGGACCTTCTCAAGATTTAACTTTTAAGTGTGATTGTGATACTGTCTCTATTTTCGAAAATAGTGGTATGTATTTTTTAAGAGATTTTTATTCTTAAGTGTATAAAGCCTATTCTATTCAGAATTTCACATATATCATTGTCATTTTAATGGAAAACAATTGTTTCTAAATATAATTTATTAGTGTAATGCTTATTGCTTTAATTTGGCGAATTTTCAAAATATAACTGGCTTTGGGATTTTGTGGATTTTCAAGATCTCAAATCGATGAATTTGTAGATTTGAGGAACTTTCAAACTAAAGTACGCGCCATATTAATGTAATATAAAGAAGTATATTTTCAAAACTTCACATTTTGAAGTAACAAATGTCTCTAAGGGGATATAATATTCATTTTATAAGACACTTGATTATTATGTATTATAGTAATTGATGCTACATATTTATCATATATTACAATATATTTTATATCGTATTTTTACTATCATTTTAGACAATATCAAAAAAATGTACATGAAAAATTATTTTGACAGGTCAGAGTGACATAAAATAGGTGAACACAAATTGGAATACATGTACTTTACCCAAAGTCGTCTATATAGAAAATAGTTACATCTACCCTGAGCCTAGGGGATGGCATTTGCCTACATTGAGAACATTGTCTGACATTGTTGAATACGAGGGGAAAACATGATTTCCTGTTCTGGCAGTCGTCAATCTAAATCCTAGAGAGAATTCCGCTTGAGCAATTATGGTGTCAAAATATTGACAACCTGTGGAGAAGTATTATGTAAATGAGTTACTGTATACTATAATGAGGTTTTGCTTACTGTAAATGAGCTATTGTAAACTGTTTTAGAATTATAGGATGCTGTAAATGAGATATTATAAACTGTTTATGAATTATAGGATAATATAAATGAGCTATTGTCTACTGTTCATGAATTAGATGATACTGTAAAAGAGCCATTGTATACTGTTTATTGTATACTGTTTATGCATTAGAGAATACTATAAATGAGCTATGGTATACTGTTTATGAATTATAGAATACTATAAATGAGCTATTGTATACTGTTTATGAATTATAGGATACTCCAAATGAGCTATTGTATACTGTTTATTGTATACTGTTTATGAATTATAGGATACTATAAATGAATACTAGAATAATTGAATACTATAACTGAGCTATTGTATACTGTTTATGAATTATGGGATACTCTAGATCTAAATGAGCTATTATATACTGTTTATGAATTATAGGATACTATAAATGAGATATCGTATATTGTTTATTATTATATTATTTACGAGTTATGCATGTACATTGCCGTAAATTAACGATCAGTAATAATATTAAAGTAAGTTTACTGCAAATGAACTGTTTATTGTAACATTATGAACAGAATATCAACTTATACAGGGTGGGCTAAAAGAAAAATACCCAACTTCAAATCAGGATAAAAGTACTTATGTTCAATATGGTACATTGACTTGTATATATCATTATAAAGGTTATATATTTTCAAACAATTTGGTATCATACATTACGTCATAAGATCGATAGTAAAGGTATATTATACTTATATGAGAGGCCATGGGGCTATTTAAGGTCTCTAAATTTTAAGGAGAACATAGTAAATCTGTGGAATCGTGTGAACTCTTTATTTATAGAATATCATTTTGTTAGGTGAATACATGCGTGTATATTTGCATCATTGTGTGACTAAACTTATTGTTGATGGATTTCAGTAGTGTTTAATAACATTTTACACTTAATCTATTTAAAATGCTCAATATGACCCCCCCCCCTTTGCGTCAACAATAAGCTTCAAGCGATAGCGCCATCTATCAACAGATTTCTGTTGCAATACATTCCAGTACTTTAGGATTTCGCGTTTCAGCTCATCACTCCTTTTTATTGGATGGTTGTGATTGTACCATTTCCTCGAGATGGCTCCATGTATGGTAATCCATTACATTAGCATCAGGGCTGCTGTTGGGTGGCCAAGCATCTGGATCAATCAAATTAACACCTTGTTCGTGGAGGAATGCAAATATCTCCTTTGATCTATGGGACGAGGCACTGTCTTGTTGAAAAATAAAATCCTCATCACACATACACTCCCCTCCATAAGTTTGGCAACCTTAGCTCCCCCATTGAACTACGTGTTAAAGCCTCTTTACCTTTGATTTTTTATTTACTTAACCTGCGATGAAAATACTAATACTACTAATGGAAACGTAATTTGACTTTATTTCCAATACATCCAAATTTTCTCAATTTTTCTCCTCAATTACAATAAGTCAAAAATTGATGATAAATTTGATGAATTTTTGAAAATCGACATTTCCATGTTAACCAATGGGAAATGGTAGGTTTGCCGCAAGTCACATGACAGAATATCCATCCATCCGAGTCCTTGGAAAAATTCGAGTTAGACTGGCAATTGAATTTGCTAATTTCATTTAACAAAAAATTGATATGTTTCTTCAGCTTCAACAAAGTTATAGGGCTTTAAAGTCAAAATTGCTTTTTAAAAACCTCTCCCATTGAAATAACACAGGAGGCGAAAAATCATTTTCAAAAATGACTTTGAAGCGCTGTAACTTTAGTATTCAACAAATAAACTGAACACTCAGTGTACAAAAAAGTAAGACAATTCAATTTTCTATAAAAAAATATTTTTTGCTAAAAAGATATCCTGATTTCTGATTTGCCCCGAACCCTCCATTTCTCATTAGATTATATGGGAACGACGATTTTCAAAATTCATCAACTTTATCATCAATTTTCGACCTATTGTAATTGAGCAAAAAATTGAGAAAATTTGGAGGTATTGGAAATAAAGTCAAATTACGTTTCCATCAATATTATGAGTTACTTAATCGCCGGTTAAGTAAATAAAAATTCAAACGTAACGAGGCTTTAACACGTAGTTCAATGGAGGAGCTAAGGTTGCCAAACTTATGGAGGGGAGTGTACGTTTTTATGTCTTTTAACAAACCTATTTTCAGTACTTGATAATAAACAACACTGAAATTCATAAACAATAAGGTTAGTCACACAATGATGCAAATATACAAGCATGTATTCACCTAACAAAATGATATTCTATGAATAAAAAGTTTACATGATTCCAAAGATTTACTGTTTTCTCCCTAAAATCTAGAGACCTTAAATAGCAACCTGGCCTCTTAAATAAGTATAACATGTTACGCGGTATATGGCATACATTCATGGTTGCGCGGTATTTGTGATACGGGTGAATATGCCATACTCACCTGCGGTATATGGCATATTCCGCAGGCGAGTATGCGATATTCCGCAGTGAATATGCGATACATTGATTTCAGTGAATACCCGATACTCACCTGCGGAATTTGTCATACTCACTTGCGGAATATGCCATATGCCGCAGGTGAATATGACATATACCGCAGGTGAAAACGTGATACAGAAAGCCTTGATTTGATTGGTTGCGAGAATCGACTCTAAATGTAAAACTACGCTGGATTACCAATATAGTTAGTGCGCCGAGTACTAATATATGAATTCTGGTTTGATTGAGAAAGTTTATTACGCGAGATTAGTGACTGATACTTCTGCTAAGTTAATATATTCGATACACAGTACTGTTGATTCAGTAATCATTATGATAATTTATAACGTTTTACTTGTTCGTTCAATCGATGTAATTGACAATTGCGTACTTCCGTATCGCGTTCTCATTGGTTAGTGTGTATGCCATATACCGCAGGTGAATCTGTCATACACCGCAAGTGAATATGCCATATTCGTTGCGGAATATGACATATTTTTGTATCGTGTTTACCGCGTAACACAACATACCTTTACCATTGATTTTATGCATAGTGTAATATATCAAATTGTTTGAAAATGTGTTACCTTTGATATATACGGCAATTGAACATAACTATTTTTATCCTGATTCAAAGTTGGGTATTGTTTTTTTGACCCACCCTGTATATATCTAAATATTTACATATCGCCTTTATCTTATCAAATTATTCAACAGAAGACTGGGCATGCTGAAACAAAGAAATAATGTCTTCGTTGATTCTCAGTGCAATACCATGTTTAAACGTAAACCATGGTTTACCATGGTCTATCATGATCGGCAATGAAATTACCATCAACTCTGACCATGGTGGCAATGATGTTTTTTGGTCAATTTTTGACCATGGTATACTATGGTATATCATGTTTTACCATGTTTCATGGTATTTCATGTTCAAAGTTAACCATCAAATACCATGGTATTATCATGGTATTTCATTGCCATGTTCCTGACCATCATTTACCATGGTATTACCATGGTATATCATGGTTGATTGCATTTCATGGCATTTCATTGTAAGATGTGACAATCAAATACCATGGTATTTCAATGCCATGTTCCTGACCATAATTTACCATGGTATATCATGGTTGATGGCATTTCATTATAAGATGTGACAATCAAATACCATGGTCATACCATGGTATTTCATGGCCATGTTCCTGACCATCATTTACCATGGTGTTACCATTGTATATCATGGTTGATGGTATTTCATTGTACGATGTGACAATCAAATGCCATGGTCATACCATGATATTTTATTGTTATGTGCCTGACCATCATTTACCATGGTATATCATGGTTGATGACATTTCATGGCATTTCATTGTACCGTGTGACAATCAATTACCATGGTCATACCATGTCATTTCATTGCCAAAATCATACCATGTGGAAAAGGACCATGGCCATACCATGGTATACCATGGTATGACCATGGTATACCATGGTATATGGCCATGAAATGCAATGAAATACAATGATTGATCATGATATGCAATGAAATGCAATGGTCTTTCTTACAATGCAGTGAAATACAATGAAAGACCATGTTCAAAAAGTATTTTATACATCAAATATCTTTATTAATAAATATTATAACTTTCTTTTGTTCCTTTATTTAATAAATTGATTTCTATTATGAATAATTAAGTTAATAGCCCTAGAAACAAAATGTTTTTGTTAAACAAATATGCTTTACTCTTTTTGACAGTTGTCGATAAAATAGGAGATCAACTTAACAATTTGTAAGTCAAAACCACCAGTCTTCGATTAAACATCTTGACTGTACTTCATTGCATTTGATGGTTTGCAACCATGAAATGCTGCAAAATAGCAGTACTTTTAAATGCAAAATTTCAAGCATAGTGAACATGGTATACCATGGTAGATCATGATAATTAGATGGCTCTATTGCATATCATGGTTGAATATCTAGACCATGATATCACTGCATTTGATGGTATTTGACCATGAAATACTGTGAAACGGTGGTATTTTTTAGATACAAATTTTTTCAATGGAAAACTTAACCATGAAATGCAATGGTGCCATTTAACGATCATAATCGGCCATGGTATTATCATGGTATTTCATTGCATTTCATGGCCATATACCATGGTATACCATGGTATGGCCATGGCCCATTTCAACATAGTACAACTATCATTCAACGAGATCAAAATGATTTTAAACTGTTATTTCTCCTGTCATGCAAATTGTTCATCTGTCATGTACTTTTGTTAAAGTGACATGCAATTTTATTTAACTTTTCATCTGTCATGTACTTTTGTTTCATCTGTGAAAAGATTTTGTTCATCATGCAATTTTGTTAAAATTGTCATGCCATTTTGTTCAACCGTCGTGACATTTTTATCTGTCATGGAATTTAGTTAAACCCGAGACCATCATCATTTTTGTTATTCTCGAGTTAAACTGTCATCCAATTTTGTTCAACTTGTCTTGCCATTTCTTGAATTATCATGTACTTTGATGTTTAGTCCTGATCCCAAAGCATGCAGATGAGCATTATGCATTATTATGACTTTACATTTGGAAATATTCACTAAAAATTCAAAAAAGTTTTTCAAAAAAGTGAAATAGAGATTACTTGTAATATATGTTATCAGTGCTTGGTAATATTAATAGCTAAACAGTTTATGTGTTTGTAAAACCGTTGACGTATGAACCCATACAGTTCATAATCGTCTGATAACAATTCTTTAATCACATCAATATTATCATCGCTAGGTCTTACTTTGTTATGTCCAACATTTTGGTTTCTAGTAGTTTTGAACATTCTCGTGAATTCATTTGTAAAACTTGGTAGGATTGTTTCCATTGCTTTGAGTGTTTCTTCAAAATGTTCGGTTATTCCTATAAAAGTATAATACTTCTCGATGTTCGTTTTAGCTCTTTGAAGCGACATCAACGAAGAGTTTATGTATTGTCCAGAAAACCATGTTGGGTAGCTGGATACAATCTTCTCATCTTTACAACCCATATATGGCTTTGTTTTTAAACAATCTGCGGTTGCTTTGATGCTCCTGCCCAAACAGCCAGTCAGAGAAATCCAAATTTTCATGCAATTGTCCATTGTTCGGTTTCTTTCCTTTCGCGTAAGGTTCAATCTTTTTATATGAAAAGGAGATACACGCTTGTAGTAGTACAGGGATATCCATCGTTCCACTGGATCTCGTACAATATCAATGTACAATGGTTGCTTGTTTCCCAATTCAATGAAATCAAGGAAAGATAAATGTCCCATGAAAATGTACGGCCTTAGTGGTAGAATTTTTGATGATACATACTTTTGTTTACTTTCAACGCTTTGCAGCTCAACAGGACTAGGAGTTGGCCATGTGTATTTCGTGCGGTAATGTTTTGAGTATTTGCAAACATCACTTAAGATTCTAACAAAAGTTCCACTGCCACATTTCGGCATTTCACTGTAAATAATAAGTGCTTTATCGCGGTTGTCATTTTCATAACCAATCAAATTCTTTGAGGATTTGTTGCACCGAGAAACAGACGATGTGTCCTTCATTTTATGTCTCACTTCATAATTCTGCAGAGGTTCCTCAATTTTAACAATATCATTTGTCCAAAATGCATGCATACATAGAACCATGAGCTTTCAACTAGAAGGGTATGCAACTCTATGTAATAACATGAGACCTTCAAAATGAGCAATGACATGCTTCCCTTTTATGGCAATATTTCAAAAAGTATTAGATAAATGTATATGTTTTTGTATTATTTTGAATAAAAATCATTTTTTAATATGATTTAAGCATAAAATATATTCAATATCATATAAAAGTAAACAGAAGAGACCAATAAGAATAAGAGTTATCAAGATGTTCTCTTTGAGTATTGCATTGTGGGTAATTATTCAAGAACACATTCCATTAAAAACATAATTTGTGGGAGAATGTTCACTTTCTGTATTGTCATAATTATGATGAATTCCAATTTTTAATAAATTATCAAGATGTATGTAGAAGATCATGTTTTTATTTATTGATAATAAACAACACTGAAATTCATAAACAATAAGTTTAGTCACAAATGATGCAAATATACAAGCATGTATTCACCTAACAAAATGATATTCTATGAATAAAAAGTTTACATGATTCTAAAGATTTACTGTTTTCTCCCTAAAATCTAGAAACCTCAAATAGCAACCTAGCCTCTTAAATAAGTATAATATACCTTTTACCATTGATTTTATGACATATTATTAAACACCAAATTGTTTGAAAATGTATTAACTTTAATATGATATATAAGCCAATTGAACGTAACTATTTTCATCCTGATTTTAAGTTGGGTATTGTTTTTTGGCTCACCCTGTGTATATCCAAATATTTACATATCGCCTTTATCTTATCAAATTATTCAACAGAACAGACTGGGCATGCTTAAACAAAGAAATAATGTCTTCGTTCCTAGTTGATATTCAGTGCAATACAACTATCAATTAACGAGATCAAAATGATTTTAAACTGTTATTTCTCCTGCCATGCAAATTGTTCATCTTTCATGTACTTTTGTTAAAGTGACCTGCAATTTTGTTTAATTGTCAAACCATTTTGTCCATCATTCTATTTTGTTAAAACCTTGTTATAACCTTGTTAAACTCTCATGTAATTTAGTTCATCTGGCATGCTCTTGTGTTCACCATGCAACTTTGTTACATTTTCATGTAATTTTGTTAACGCGTCCTACAATTTTGTTCACGTTTTATGCCATTCTGTTCAACTGTCATCTGTGAAAACATTTAGTTCATCATGCAATTTTGTTAAAATTTTCATGCCATTTTGTTCAACCGTCGTGCCATTTTTAGCTGTCATGGAATTTAGTTAAATTAAACCTGAGACCATCATCATTTTTGTTATTCTCGAGTTAAACTGTCATCCAATTTTGTTTAACTTGTCTTGCCATTTCTTGAATTATCATGTACTTTCATGTTTAGACCTGGTCCCCAAAGCATGCAGATGAGCATTATGCATTATTATGACTTTACATTTGGAAATATTCACTAAAAATTCAAAAAAGTTTTTCAAAAAAGTGAAATAGAGATTGCTTGTAATATATGTTATCAGTGCTTGGTAATATTAATAGCTAAACAGTTTATGTGTTTGTAAAACCGTTGACGTATGAACCCATACAGTTCATAATCGTCTGATAACAATTCTTTAATCACATCAATATTATCATCGCTAGGTCTTACTTTGTTATGTCCAACATTTTGGTTTCTAGTAGTTTTGAACATTCTCGTGAATTCATTTGTAAAACTTGGTAGGATTGTTTCCATTGCTTTGAGTGTTTCTTCAAAATGTTCGGTTATTCCTATAAAAGTATAATACTTCTCGATGTTCGTTTTAGCTCTTTGAAGCGACATCAACGAAGAGTTTATGTATTGTCCAGAAAACCATGTTGGGTAGCTGGATACAATCTTCTCATCTTTACAACCCATATATGGCTTTGTTTTTAAACAATCTGCGGTTGCTTTGATGCTCCTGCCCAAACAGCCAGTCAGAGAAATCCAAATTTTCATGCAATTGTCCATTGTTCGGTTTCTTTCCTTTCGCGTAAGGTTCAATCTTTTTATATGGAAAAGGAGAAACACGCTTGTAGTAGTACAGGGATATCCATCGTTCCACTGGATCTCGTACAATATCAATGTACAATGGTTGCTTGTATCCCAATTCAATGAAATCAAGGAAAGATAAATGTCCCATGAAAATGTACGGCCTTAGTGGTAGAATTTTTGATGATACATACTTTTGTTTACTTTCAACGCTTTGCAGCTCAACAGGACTAGGAGTTGGCCATGTGTATTTCGTGCGGTAATGTTTTGAGTATTTGCAAACATCACTTAAGATTCTAACAAAAGTTCCACTGCCACATTTCGGCATTTCACTGTAAATAATAAGTGCTTTATCGCGGTTGTCACTTTCATAACCAATCAAATTCTTTGAGGATTTGTTGCACCGAGAAACAGACGATGTGTCCTTCATTTTATGTCTCACTTCATAATTCTGCAGAGGTTCCTCAATTTTAACAATATCATTTGTCCAAAATGCATGCATACATAATAGAACTACACTCGTTGTTATAGCAATGAATATTAAACTTATTTTCCATCTCGTACATTTCACAGCTCTCATGTTATAATTACTTTAAAATAATTTAAGTTCAGCTGGAAAGTAACATTTTGGTAAAAAATTACTATACCTGCACATGTTATTTTCTGGTACAAAATTAAGTATGAAAGCATGAGTGTATTTCCTTGCTTTTTTCAGGAAAATATCATTACACTCTACTTTTAGTAAACCCGGAAACAGGTCAATGGTAGCTCCTGTGTTGTCTGGAAACTTTGAAAGAAACTTTGAAAAAATAGAAAGTGTGGAATATTAGAATTTCCTGGAGATCCCATTGAACTCCTACCAGATATTCTAAAAGAAGACAATGCAATGATAGTTTCCTGAAAAAAGCAAGGCAATTGACACATGTCTTCATACTTTATTTTGACCAGAAAATAACATGTGCTAGTATAGCAATTTTTTACCAAAATGTTACTTTCCAGCTGTACCTTAATATAAAACAATTCACTGACAAGGAAAATACTTTTTAGACAAAACATTGAATAATCAATACGAAGTAGATATATTAATGTATTTATACATTTCACTATCTATGCTAAACAAAGCATACAGTTAAATGATAAACTGAAAACCCTACCCTCATTCATTTGATGAAATAGTATTTTCAATTCTCACTGAAGCTAATCTTGGAATTATTCATAAAATGAATATGTTATCTCTGATTTCACCGAATGATAACAAAGATAATGGTTTACAGTCATAGCTCATAAGGAAAGATTTTCGCGTCTCCTCTTTTGAAGAGGGAACAACGATTTCGAGAATTGCTTTATGGCACGTGTGACACCATCCTCCGATCACAGGGCTTCAAAATCCAGAATATATTCTTTCTTTTTACCCCCTGCGATAATAATACCATTTCCCCGATTAAGAACTCGCAACACTGCGACAGAAATCATGTATACGTCATTGCGCATACTTAGATCACGTGATTCAGTTTAATCGGGCGCTTCCCAATTGGTTATATAGCAGGGGAAGAAGGAGGTACGGATTCTGGACACCTGCTTAGGAGGATTGTGTGACACAAAACCGGAACATACCACTGACAGGAGTCTTCCGATCATACCGCAAGGAACGCATCTAATAGACTCCGATGCATTCGCAACTATGATACGATTAGACCAAGGGGTGAAGCATAGATAGCATATTCTCAAAAGAAGTTTTTACGGCAGGTATACATGCTGGCCCAATCGTTTTTGCAGTGTTGGCCAATGTATAGTATACCTACATGATTTTTTGTGTTATAGGCTAAGCCTACATTCCACCATATATATGACAATGCGGCAATGAGTGATGAGAGTAGTAATAGTTCGAGTAAATGATAATGCACTTTTAGGTACCAATCAGGCACGAAGTTTGGCGCCTGTCAACATTTTTTTGTACTTCCCCAACTGCCAATATACTCATCACGCTGCCTGGGAATCATATAATGGTTACAAATTGACAACCAAAGTCTAAATGTTCACTAAAGTGGGGTTAACCACATAATTTTTGTTCCAAATAACAACATTTTTTTATAACCCCCGTCTTGTTTCCCGATATACTGTAAACGTAATCAGCTTATTGCCAGGTATGAAATTTTCATAACGTTCATATACTACCAAATAAAACAACACCTACAGTGCTTGCTTTTCAAAAATAAATACTCTACGCGTTTCTGCCCTCTGGATATGCCAGGATCCAAACAATCTAAAAGAAACGTGAAATAATTCGGACGACATTGGGACAAATGTTACTTTTACACGATATCTAAATATAAATAAAGTCAAACGAGATTTTTTAAATGCTCAACATCAAATGTTTCATAGCACAATTTATTTCATATTCACATTGCAAAATCCATATAACCAATAAGATTGCTCAATTACCGCTGTGAAGAGTAAACTAGTGTTACGTGTATCAATGTTATAATTTAGTTTAGTTTATTTATTTATTTATATTGGTCAGTCTTACAATTCAACAAAATATAAAACAATTAATTACAATTTTACCCAGCCCACCTTGGGCTTATTAACCACTGTTAACAATAGAAAATACAGAATTAATATTTATTTGTTTATTATTTATTTGACAGTCACTTTTATAACAGTGGCACTCAGAGGTGCGTCAATATTACATGCAAGTAGTATGCAAACCATACATCATTTACTAAAATCCGTTGAGGAATATGAGACATAAGCTTTTAGTAAAATCATTAAAATAGGCTAAAATCACGCAGTGTTATGTTTCACATACACCTTTTGCAGAAATCTTTTTGTACAAACATTAAAATTCCAGCCATTGTCGTGCCCCCAAATGCTAAACACATCATCCCCAAGAATCCACTTTAATTTCGTTTGTGGGGGGAAATTTAGGTACTGAGACACAACAGGAGCATCACATTTATTACTCAAATCATTTATAAATTCAGTTCTTTGTTTCTGGAAATGAGGGCAGAGGAGGAAACGATGGATGGGATCATCTATAACATTTAAGTTACATAATTTACAAATACCGTTACTTATTTTCCATCTTTTTCTATCTTCCTCAAGGTTAAAGCAGCCTGTTCTGGCCAGAAACTTAAGTCGCGAGGTGTAAAAGTCTGTATGGTTCATGAGGTACTTCTCTTTATTTGTATTAAATTTCAACTTTTTATAGAGGTTTAAAGACTTTTTATCATCGATTGCATTAATAAATTCAGATTTTCTTTGATCATTCGAGATTTTGAGAAAAGAGTCATACCAGTCTGCATTGTCAGATGAAATACATCCGTCTAACCCATGGGCAGTTAATATCTTTGACACAGAATCAATATATGGCCATACTGAGCTTTTCTTTGCTTTAAAGTTAAAGAACATATCGTTATAAATATCACCCAAAATCTTACAACTTTTTGCTCTATTTTTCAAATGAATAAAATAATCTATTTTACGTTTATCTATAACATTCATAATTGGTCTCCAACCTAGGTCACCGAGTAGAGCATCCCTAGCTGGTGTACTTTTTAAATTAAATATTGCTCTTCCTACATTATACTGGTATGAGTTCATAGCATTCACTCTTGAATTATTGTCAAATGAAATAACTCCACATGCATGGAGAACTGCTGGTATGAAAACATTATTATGCAAAACATCCCCAAACTTGAATCTTTCTAGATTTGAGTGTTTATTAAGGGTGCTACAGATATAGAATCTGGTCTTTCGAGCTTTCTCTTTAATAAGTGTATTAAAGTGGTCTGAGTCTTTTAGAGTATTGTTTAAAATAACACCTAGATACTTATATGTTTTGGTTTATTTTAATGATAGTTGTCCAAGTTTCCATTTATTATTTGTACTAATTTTTCTACCAATTGGCATAATTTGAGATTTCTTAGGGTCAAATTTGAATCCCCAATATTTGGCAAATGAGTTAGAAACTTTTAGCATTTCAGTAAGTTGATCTTCAGATTCAGATATCAGAACTACGTCGTCAGCATATAAGAGTGCAGGGACTTTGTAGTTTTTAAATGGTATTCCTAGATTAAGTCTTTCTGTCAAATCATTTATAATTAAAAGAAATAGTGTTGGGGATAGAGCACAACCTTGTCTTATTCCAAACTCTGAATCAAACATGTCACTTTCAAAGATACCAAAAAGAACTTTGTTACACGAAAATCAATATCACATGTTGTAAATAAATTACCTTTTCCGCACAAAAGCCATCTTAATAAATTTGACAATTTTACAGGTATGTTCCCTAAAAAGAAATTCAATTTTGCTACTTTCATTATCCAAATTTTTAAAATTTTATGTTCTTCTCAAATCATCATATCTATTTCAATGGAATAGAAAATGTATTTCTGTTTCAACTGAGTTATCCCTATTACATATACACAGTGTACAAAATCTTTCGTCAATATGTTTGCCCTTAAATCTGCCTGTCTCTTGCCTAAGTGGCAAAATACCTAGTCTAAACTGAGCTGCTAGACTTCGCTCAAATTTTGAAAAATTCAATGTTACAAATCTACCAGTCGAAAGGCTTAGCCTCAATAGATCGCAGTGAGGTGGCTGCTCTACTACTTACGGCACCCCGACTGAGACCTGGGTCTAATGAGCCCAGAGTAAAAACTCGACTCTCTCTCTTTCATTATTGGACAACAATAACACTTTTCCTTAAATAACATACACACATACTCCAACACTGCACAACATCTATTCTTAAACTGACTACACATTTTTCGATGGGCACATATTTTTCACCTTTGCACAGTTTGAAAACTAAGTCTACATTGGTTTCCATTGGCTCATCATTGATGTCTTTAAAGATGTCATTGCCTAGTCTTCTGTGGATCTATTGTGGATAAGGATTGAAAAATCATCAACTAAATACAGTATTATTTTATTATCTTCTGCTGTACTCTTTAGTTAATAATTACTTCAAATTATCACAAAGCATTAGCATGTTAGAACATCAACTCATCTATCATCTGTAATATATATAAATTTCCATCCACATTTCACATCAGATCAGAGCCGAGCTAATAAACATTGAAATTCTGGGCCAAAAATGAGCCACAGACATACTGTTCAATACCATACTGCATTTTTATCTAATTTATCGTCTGAGTGAGAACACCAACGTTAGACACAGCACCGTCATCATTAGATGTGCTGTCGCTATGTCACTTCCTCCAGTTTCATCAATTGCAGTTGTACTATCCGTAGTCACCATGCGTCTAACGCTAGAAGTGACAGTTGAATTAACAATTGGTGGCATCGTGTACGGCTCGTGATCTAAAAACAAAGTGTAACGATATTTTGACCGCATTTTGATGAGAGTAGCTCCCTTAATTCTTTCATATTCTATCGTATTCGGGGATTCCCCATTACGTCATCTCCCGCATCATCTCTAATAAAATTACAGGATTCGATCACGTGAACAAACATGTAGAGAATACTCATAAAACTACAGCAAACATTAGGAGATTTAGTTCAATGGCAAATGAGACCTGTTTTTCGAACGTGCCGATATGAAAGGTTATCTTTGGGAAATCTCCCCCTCCCCCTGGCCGAAGATCTAACCCGAACCCTTCAAGGAATGTGATTGGTTACTTGATTGGTTATATTCGGCCATCTTCATGATATAAATATTTTCCGTTGCAATGCAGGAGGAGTGAGTAGCTCCCATAATTCTTTCATATTCTATCGTATTCGGGGATTCCCCATTACATCATCTCTTGCATCATCTCCAATCAAATTGCAAGATTCGATCACGTGAACAATCATGGGCACATGCTCTCTCAGTGCTGCGCATGCGCAGAGTTAAATTTTAAATCGTGAGAATGGCGTTTACATCAGTTCAACATCGTCATTTCAAACCTACGGTAATACTATTGAAGTTACTCGATCCATACTTGTAGAGAATACTCATAAAACTACAGTGAACATTTAGAGATCCATTTCAACGGAAAATTGAGGCCTGTTTATAAAATTTGTTTTCGAACGTGCTAATATGATAGGGCATCTTTGGGAAATCTCCCCCCCCCCCTGGTTGCAATGTATCGGTGCTCTCCCCCTTTGAGCCTAAACTGAAAATGGCCGAATATACTACCCAAACTCTTCAAGGGATTTAATTGTTTCCTTGAAGAATCTTCGGCAATCTTGATATAAACAGCTTTGGTTGTAGGGCTCTCCCAAAAATACAGTGATTATACGCCATCCTGTTTAGCCACCTTAATTTAACACCTATACGTTATCCTGTAGACGTTTAGTCACCTTAATTTAACAGCTTGTATGCTAATGCAAATGGGTACAAAATTACAAATGACACAATTTCTAACTCCTGACATAAAAATGAAAATCTGTGACCCGGATCTGTGACATGAGCTTAACATATTCTGTGGTGGTTTGTAAATATCATACTCTTTTCTTTTGATAAATATATATCTTATAAAAAGGCTTGTTCACAATGTGTTTTGGTGAATTTGCATGTCATGCGTGATTTTAGAATATGTAATCGAAAGAAATGTGAGTCGATCTCAGAGAACCTAAAACTATCTGCCATATCTACCATTAACTAGTGAATAAACTTTATATCTTACCAAGGGAGATATCCGGACAACTTTTTGCGAGAACCGTACTCATTTCATCAACCATGAGGCGTTCATAAAAGCTGTAATAGTCTGGGCAGATAGGTTGAGACCGCCAAATACACGGTAGCCATATGTTTTCCATCGAGCTAAATGTAAAACGTTAGATACATTGATGCATGACTTTTAATGATTTCATAAAAATTATTGTTCAAGCTCATCTATATGCACATTACGATATTATCACATATGCGTAGGATATTGGAGCACAACCATAGTACAATAAGTAAATATAAATACTTAAGCCAAAAGTGTTCTCATAGTTTCGATTGGAAAGATACACAAAAGTCGTTTTCTGTATTTAGATAGACTACAATACTTATACTCTATTAATTGAATAATCAATAGACCGTTGACCTCGATGAAGTCTAACGGATTACAAAAAATACTTTTGTACGTCATTAACATTAAGGTGTGCAAAGTCTATTTGAAATACATGAGAGCTAATTAGCATATCATGAATCATATTAAGTTATCACGATACAGGTAAAAGTTCCCATGCCAACTCAATTAGATTAAATAAAAAGTAATTAACAATATGAGGGAAAATGTGAAGAAGGCAATAGAGGCGTGGTGACAATCGAAAAAACACAAATAAGTAATATTCCTTATTTAGCCCTAACTATGGCATTAAATCATGCATTTTACATAAAAATATGGTATAATTTGCCATCTACTAGTATTTTAAGACAATGCTTGCACTGAACTAATATAAAATCGATCTGGTGTTTCACGTTGGTGACGACATTCATCAATTTGTAAAATCAAACCAGATTACTTTTGCATTGACATCTCTTCATATTTCTTTGCATCATATTTTACGGTATCATGTTGGGACTTTTGGATCACCCCTCGTAAATGAATGTACAGTTACATATTGAACTATGGCATCATTACCTGCATACTGTTTCATCGGATTGTCCCACCAACTGGGGCTGGATAACCTGACTGTAGTTTTTCAGGCATGGGAAGAATTCCAAGTAACAATCTGAAATGAGGATCGGAGTTGGTTGAATATACTAATACCATTCACTGGCGGATCCAGAAGCTAATAAGGGGAGGGGGAGCAAACATTTGAAGTTAGGAAAAATAATTTTTGGCCCCAAATTTTAAACATTTAAGGCCTATTTTTTTATGATTTGGCCTAAAAAGGCCCAACAAGTTATGCCCAACATTTTTTGAGGAGTCGAAGACCTACAAAAAAGCTTTTGGATTCGCCAGTGCCATTATTGCATTTTTATTATCGGGAATTGTTTCTTTGTGGCATTGTTCTGTAGCCGTTATTAGTCACGCTCTTCGAGGGAGATTCATTGGAGAAAACACACATCCAGTAAATATGTTACCAAATGGTTATAACGTCATTCAACATTTTTGAGTAAAAATGTGATGAACTTGAATTAAGATACAAGTCATTAATTTTGAACTGTCAAGTTTTGCCACTTGATATGCTAACTCACATTTTTTCATTTTGGCACCTTTATGGCGGATCCCAGTTATGGCATTAATGGTTCAGAAATAGGGATCAAAACCAACCATAGACTTCTCCTGGTGACCATTGTCAAATATTTCATTCTATGGAGGACAATACCTGTTCATCTTTTAATAATTTTTGCAATCTTTGCCTGCAGCCCGTAGGATTTTTGATCACAATCACATGGTACTGAATCAGCCAATCAAGTCGAACAATTATAGCAAGAGTTTTATGGATTATGTCCTTTGGTGTTGTGGTCTCGGATTGTGATATTGGTACTTGGAAGGTTAGGTGAGGGGGGGGGGGGGGTTAGACACTGTTTCTTTTCACGTTGGATTATGAGTGGGAGAGCCTTATGACTGATGTACTCTTAGATCTTTTTCTTTTTCTTGCTGTGTTTGTTAAACATTTTTTGGGTATTTGTGCATACATAGTCATTGTTTATTTGTTTACAGACACGAATCGGAGAAAATTGTGTCTTTTATATCATGTATTATTATAAATTGTATGTCTTGCCCAGTCAACTCATACAAAGTGTACACCCTTATGGTTTTTCCAATTTTTGATAATGCACTGATACACCCCTATGGGTATCTAGCATGTCTAGTGTGTAAATGTAACACTTGATAACAATTATATTACCTGAATAAAAATAAATAAATTTAAAAAAATGAAGCTAGAATACGTGCAATCCGTAAATAACATTGCGGAATCTCTAGTTTCTGCCTTCGAATTATGTGTCAAACCATAATATTCCTTCTATGATGTAAAAGTCATAATGATTAGCCCATCTAATTATATTGCACATCTAGTTTATTCGGTTGTTTTAGAACCAATAGCCAAGCGTTATTGAACTAGAAAAAATGGTTTGTATACAAATGTTGCTTGCAGATGAGTACCCAATATGTCTTACCGTTTCTGCACAGTTCAGTGTAGTTTCCTCGGAGAACGTTAAGTTGGGAATATAATGATTCACCTATTTCTCCAGTTAAACAATCGGGGGCTGAGTCCTTCCAGCATTGTTCCGTGGCCGCAAAGTTATCCATCACGCTAAAATAATACCAAATTTGTTTATGGTTTTGATGTTTACTGTATGTAATGGTTACACACGGATGGCAATGTGGGAATAAAAGATAAAGATAATGAGTTATCTCACGATGTTTATAAATATAATACCCTCCCCCTCCCCCTCCCCCTATAATAAAGCCTGGACTTGACTCGATTGGAATAATATCTCCCAAAAGACTGACCTACAGGCGAGTGGAATCATAGTGTCCACAAGGAACTTCCAATTGGTTTCATATCCCTCAGGGGCACCGGTTGGGTTATCCTGGGCGAATTTGCTGTAACCAGGAATATGGGTGCTCATGCACGATCCGATTGCCGTCATTCCTATTTCGTCACATATAGCCTCGATGTATCCTAGCCCTAGAAGTTAGAGAATACCAAGTTGTAATCTAGATTGTAGTAATTAGACTCCAGATTGAAAATCTGGAGTCTATTGTTTTTGCCAGTATTCTTATTCTTATTAGACTCCAGATTGAAAATCTGGAGTCTATTGTTTTTGCCAGTATTCTTATTCTTATTATTATTCTTCTTCGGGAGTTTTTTCAGTAACTATGGGGTATCCAGTAAAGACCATAATACAGTTTATTTAGGTTCAGTATCTAGTTGGTGGGAAATTGGGTCAAATTTTTATCTAGGTCAAAGGTCAAGAACTAGGTCAAATCCAGTACTTTGTCACTTTTTTCGATTTTCTCAGTCGTCCTTCAATATTTTTGATCCATTTTTCTTTCATTGTGTTCCTGATAAAAAAGTAGTATGAAGAATGTCGATTTAGTTTTTTGATATCTCAAACCGATTTCGAGATATCGGTGTCCGAAAACGAGGTCCAAAAAAAATTCCTCCGAATCAAATGTCCAGGATATTAGTCTTATAGGAAATTTTCTCAGGATTCCGAATCTGAAAACGAAATTTAGATCAGACTTCCGGTTCTGAAGTTATGGCGTTTTGAAAGCTCAAAAATCGCTAAATTTTGAGCCCATGTTAAGTCAATGGGAAAAAAGATTTTTTTGAAGTGAAAAATACGAAATATAGACTAAGTTCAGCTAAATATAATGAAAGCTTTTAAAAGAATGAGACCTCAAAAGCCATCTAGCTTTAAAATTTGGACACCAAAATGCCTAGGTCAAAATCTAGGTCAAATTCAAAGTTTTTTCTTATTTTTGCGATTCTGACACTACACTTTAATTATATTCTTCGAAATTGTGTATACATGTAGCCAAGAGTGTGCTAATAGCGTTAGCCTTTTGCCGTCAGAAAGTATTTTGACCCACTTTTGAGATATGGTGTCCGAGAAGTAGGTCAAAATAAAAAGTTCTCCAAATTTAACATTTGAGTTATGAATTAAGAATAGAATTTTCTCAGAAATCCGAATCTGCAAACCAAATTTCGATCCGACTTCCGGTTCCGAAGTTATGGCGTGTCCAAAAAGTAGGTCAAAATAAAAATTCGCCAAATTTAATGTATGAGTTATGAATTAGGGGTAGAATTTTGTCAGGAATCCGAATGTTTAAATCAAATTTAGATCCGACTTCCAGTTCGGAAGTTATGGCGTTTTGAAATTTGGGAAAATCGATCTGATGGTGTCCTGATAGAAAGTCAAGAGTAGAGAAGAAAATATTGAAAAATTCATCCATCCTTCCTATCTGATCCTATCCTATCCTTCCTTCGTATCCTTTCCTTCCTATCCTATCCTCTCCTATCATATCCTTTCTTCCTATTCTGTTCTATCCTAACCTTCTTTCTTATTCTATCCTATCGTTCCTTCCCATTCTATCCTATCCTACCTTCCTGTTTTATCCATCTATCTTATTCTGGATGACTCGGCTTATTCTGGATGACTCGGCTTATTCTGGATGACTCGGCTTATTTTAGATGACTGGGCTTAAAAAAGTCTGGATCTGGAGTCTGAAATTGAACTTCGTTCAATTTCCCAAGTCTAGTTATTAGACTCCAGATTGAAAATCTGGAGTCTATTGTTCTCGTCAGTTTTCTTATTCTTCTTCTTCTTCTTCTTCTTCTTATTATTATTATTCTAAACCAGTTTACTCAATAACCATAAGGTCTTCAGTAAAGTCAATCATTTGGTCAATTCAGGTTCAGTATCTAGTTCCTCGGAAATTGGGTGAAATTTTTATCTAGGTCAAAGGTCAAGAACTAGGTCAAATCCAGTACTTTGTCACTTTTTTCGATTTTCTCGGTCGTCCTTCAATATTTTCGATCCGGGTTTTTTTCAATGTGTTCCTTATAAAAAAGTAGGAAACCTAGGGTCGATTTAGTTTTTTGATATCTCAAACCGATTTCGAGATATCAGTGTCCGAAAACGAGGTCCAAAATAAAGTTCTCCGAATCAAATGTCCAGGAAATAAGTCTTATAGGAAATTTTCTCAGGATTCCGAATCTGAAAACGAAATTTGAATCTGACTTCCAGTTCGGAAGTTATGGCGTTTTGAAAACTCAAAAATCGCTAAATTTGGTGCCCATGTTAAGTCAATGGGAAAAAATATTTTTTTGAAGTGAAAAATACGGAATATAGATTGAGTTCAGCTTCATATAATCAAAGCCTTTAAAAGAAGGGGACCTCAAAAGACATCTAGCTTCACAATTTGGACACCGAAATGCCTAGGTCAAAATCTAGGTCAAATTTATAGGTTTTCCTTATTTTTTCGATTCTGACACTACACTTTAATTATATTCTTCGAAATTGTGTATACATGTAGCCAAGAATATACTAATAGTGTTAGCCTTTTGCCGTCAGAAAGTATTTTGACCCACTTTTGAGATATGGTGTCCGAAAAGTAGGTCAAAATAAAAAGTTCTCCAAATTGAATATATGAGTTATGAATTAAGGGTAGAATTCTGTCAGGAATCCGAATCTGCAAACCAAATTTCGATCCGATTTCCGGTTCGGAAGTTATGGCGTGTCCGAAAAGTAGGTCAAAATAAAAAATCTCCAAATTTAACGTATGAGTTATGAATTAGGGGTAGAATTTTGTCAGGAATCCGAATCTGCAAACCAAATTTCGATCCGACTTCCGGTTCGGAAGTGATAGCGTTTTGAAATTTCGAGAAAAATCGATCTGATGGTATCCTGATAGAAAGTCAAGAGTAGAGAAGAAAATATTGAAAAATTCATCCATCCTTCCTATCTCATCCTACCCTATCCTTCCTATCTATCCTTCCTTCATATCTTTTCCTTCCTATCCTTCCTATCCTATCCTATCCTTTCTTCCTATTCTATTCTATCCTATCCTTCTTTCTTATTCTATCCTATCGTTCTTTCCTATTCTATCCTATCCTACCTTCCTATTTTATTTATCCATTTCTTTCCAGCTGACTCAGCTTATTCTGGATGACTCGGCTTATTCTGGATGACTCGGCTAAAAAAAGTCTAGATCTGGAGTCTGAAATTGAACTTCGTTCAATTTCCAAAATCTAGTTATTATTCTTCTTCGGGAGTTTTTTCAGTAACTATGGGGTATCCAGTAAAGACCATAATACAGTTTATTTAGGTTCAGTATCTAGTTGGTGGGAAATTGGGTCAAATTTTTATCTAGGTCAAAGGTCAAGAACTAGGTCAAATCCAGTACTTTGTCACTTTTTTCGATTTTCTCGGTTGTCCTTCAATATTTTTGATCCGGGTTTTTTTCATTGTGTTCCTTATAAAAAAGTAGGAAACCTAGGGTCGATTTAGTTTTTTGATATCTCAAACCGATTTCGAGATATCGGTGTCCGAAAACGAGGTCCAAAAAAAATTTCTCCGAATCAAATGTCCAGGATATTAGTCTTATAGGAAATTTTCTCAGAATTCCGAATCTGAAAACGAAATTTAGATCAGACTTCCGGTTCTGAAGTTATGGCGTTTTGAAAGCTCAAAAATCGCTAAATTTTGAGCCCATGTTAAGTCAATGGGAAAAAAGATTTTTTGAAGTGAAAAATACGAAATATAGACTAAGTTCAGCTAAATATAATGAAAGCTTTTAAAAGAATGAGACCTCAAAAGCCATCTAGCTTTAAAATTTGGACACCAAAATGCCTAGGTCAAAATCTAGGTCAAATTCAAAGTTTTTTCTTATTTTTGCGATTCTGACACTACACTTTAATTATATTCTTCGAAATTGTGTATACATGTAGCCAAGAGTGTGCTAATAGCGTTAGCCTTTTGCCGTCAGAAAGTATTTTGACCCACTTTTGAGATATGGTGTCCGAGAAGTAGGTCAAAATAAAAAGTTCTCCAAATTTAACATTTGAGTTATGAATTAAGAATAGAATTTTCTCAGAAATCCGAATCTGCAAACCAAATTTCGATCCGACTTCCGGTTCCGAAGTTATGGCGTGTCCAAAAAGTAGGTCAAAATTAAAATTCGCCAAATTTAATGTATGAGTTATGAATTAGGGGTAGAATTTTGTCAGGAATCCGAATGTTTAAATCAAATTTAGATCCGACTTCCAGTTCGGAAGTTATGGCGTTTTGAAATTTGGGAAAATCGATCTGATGGTATCCTGATAGAAAGTCAAGAGTAGAGAAGAAAATATTGAAAAATTCATCCATCCTTCCTATCTGATCCTATCCTATCCTTCCTTGGTATCCTTTCCTTCCTATCCTCTCCTATCATATCCTTTCTTCCTATTCTGTTCTATCCTATCCTTCTTTCTTATTCTATCCTATCGTTCCTTCCCATTCTATCCTATCCTACCTTCCTGTTTTATCCATCTATCTTGTTCTGGATGACTCAGCTTATTCTGGATGACTCGGCTTATTTTAGATGACTGGGCTTAAAAAAGTCTGGATCTGGAGTCTGAAATTGAACTTCGTTCAATTTCCCAAGTCTAGTTATAATTAATCATTTGACTGAGTAAATATTTTTAATTGTTATTTTTTCTCATTTCCATGTGACACAGGTTAATATTTAAATGTTTTCACGCTGATACACTTATTAAAAGTGTCAAGTGTTATTATGTATTTGATTTTGATTTAGGGAATAAATATTTTTAATAAAAAAAACACCATGAACTTTTCTTAGCTTCTTCTTAGTTGAAGATGGAAAGATGTGATGAGTATGAAAATAGGTCTAGATCATCATGATAAACCATGACATCTCATTTCTTCTCAGCCCTGAGATGTTTCAGGTGAAACAGAAAGATGCTATGAGTATCAGAATGGGTCTAGATTGCCATCTCTCTCAACTTTCGACTCAATGTACCCTTGTCCCTATTGTGAACATATCAAGTATATTTCTACGTCTACTTGATGACACACTATGCATGTATCTCTCCACTGAGAGAGTGAGTCACATTTATGGATTATTTTGTATAATTCGTACATATCTTGGATTTTATAGCATTTTCACCAGTGTGTGTCTCGTGATTTAACCTATGATCAAGTTTGTATATCACGGTTGACCATGTGATGATGTTTGTGTGTCATAAGTCATGGTGTAACCTGTGACCAAGTGTGTGTGTCATTATGTAATCTATGATCAAGTTCGTGTGCCATGGTGTAACCTGTGATCAAGTTTGTGTTTCATTATGTAACCCGTGATCAAGTTCGTGTGCCATGGTGTAACCTGTGATCAAGTTTGTGTTTCATTATGTAACCTGTGATCAAGTTCGTGTGCCATGGTGTAACCTGTGACCAAGTTTGTGTTTCACTATTTAATCTATGATCAAGTTCGTGTGCCATGGTGTAACCTGCGATCAAGTTTGTGTTTCATTATGTAACCCTTGATCAAGTTCGTGTGCCATGGTGTAACCTGTGATCAAGTTTGTGTTTCATTATGTAACCCGTGATCAAGTTCGTGTGTCATGGTGTAACCTGTGATCAAGTTTGTGTTTCATTATGTAACCTGTGATCAAGTTCGTGTGCCATGGTGTAACCTGTGACCAAGTTTGTGTTTCATTATGTAACCCTTGATCAAGTTCGTGTGCCATGGTGTAACCTGTGACCAAGTTTGTGTTTCATTATGTAATCTATGATCAAGTTCGTGTGCCATGGTGTAACCTGCGATCAAGTTTGTGTTTCATTATGTAACCCGTGATCAAGTTCGTGTGCCATGGTGTAACCTGCGATCAAGTTTGTGTTTCATTATGTAATCTATGATCAAGTTCGTGTGCCATGGTGTAACCTGTGATCAAGTTTGTGTTTCATTATGTAACCTGTGATCAAGTTCGTGTGCCATGGTGTAACCTGTGATCAAGTTTGTGTTTCATTATGTAACCTGTGATCAAGTTCGTGTGCCATGGTGTAACCTGTGACCAAGTTTGTGTTTCACTATTTAATCTATGATCAAGTTCGTGTGCCATGGTGTAACCTGCGATCAAGTTTGTGTTTCATTATGTAACCCTTGATCAAGTTCGTGTGCCATGGTGTAACCTGTGATCAAGTTTGTGTTTCATTATGTAACCCGTGATCAAGTTCGTGTGCCATGGTGTAACCTGTGATCAAGTTTGTGTTTCATTATGTAACCCGTGATCAAGTTCGTGTGCCATGGTGTAACCTGTGATCAAGTTTGTGTTTCATTATGTAACCTGTGATCAAGTTCGTGTGCCATGGTGTAACCTGTGACCAAGTTTGTGTTTCACTATTTAATCTATGATCAAGTTCGTGTGCCATGGTGTAACCTGTGATCAAGTTTGTGTTTCATTATGTAACCTGTGATCAAGTTCGTGTGCCATGGTGTAACCTGTGACCAAGTTTGTGTTTCACTATTTAATCTATGATCAAGTTCGTGTGCCATGGTGTAACCTGCGATCAAGTTTGTGTTTCATTATGTAACCCTTGATCAAGTTCGTGTGCCATGGTGTAACCTGTGACCAAGTTTGTGTTTCATTATGTAATCTATGATCAAGTTCGTGTGCCATGGTGTAACCTGTGACCAAGTTTGTGTTTCATTATGTAACCCGTGATCAAGTTTGTGTGTCACGGTGTAACCTGTAATATTACGAAAGTGATACAATTTGTACAAATATTGTTGGTCTATCTGGATTGAAATAGAGTATAATCATGCTTTATATATTACTGCTAATTTCTAAAAAAACGCAAACCACTTAATGCATTAATACATATACGTTAATTTCTCACGCATTTGTCAACCATGCATTGACGTTAATCATTGCTTGATTAAGACACGTGTATCATAGAAAAAACGCAATTTTCAAAACAAAATGGCTTTTAAAACCCACGAAAAAACTCATTATCACATTTTGATATAACATTAGTATTATTATTAGGTATTATGTCATATGCAGCAAGCGCACAGTGTTGTAATATGGTGCATTGTATTATATATAGGTATAACCATAAACGAATCATTTTCATTTTACAACAGCGAAGGAACTTTAAACTAAATGTAACATATGCGAGCAAAAAAGTCATAACATGTATGAAATATAGAAAAATATAAAATAGAAAAAACACTATTTACCATTCAGTTATATATATATAATATATATATATTTTGAGTGTAACTCAAATGAAAATGAACCACTGTGAAAATGTACAATAATTAACACGCATTGTATTGTAGTGTTCCTTGAATTTAACCAAAAAGTATAAACGCCATACGTAAGAGATGAACACAATTCGACAAAGTTGTGTCATGAATGTAAAATATATCTAAAGTACTTACCTAATGAGAATATAACGAGTGAAACGAAAATGTTGTTACTTGACATCGCTTACTGGAATATGTGATCCTTCTTACAGTGGAGACGATAACCCCATTTAACGTGAAGTATGGCAATTGCCATGTTGCACGACAATTGACGTGAAATTATGAAGCATAAGTGCGCATGTCAATAGATAATAACGGCAATTGCCGTCATGTCCGTCAAGTGACGTGCAATATTGTGCACGGCAATTGACGTGCAAACTATTATCTTTTAAAAGTTTCACATATATCGGCAGGACGACAGGCAGTTATAAACTGGGGAACTAGTGGGTAAATCATGATCTGCATCGTATGTAATAGTTATAATCATAAACATTTGCTATTGTCCGGGTTGCATTTTGAACTAACAACTATTATGATGTGCATACTTCAATGTTTACAAGAAATATTTATTCAATGGCAAACCGGAAGTAAACAAACGATGGAAAGAAAACTAATAAATTCTGATCTAATGAGGATAGGAATTTAAATTTTTTATAATTCATTTAAGGTAATCATTGGATCATTGCAAAGAAGGTTTAAAAACTAAATCCAGCCAGGAAAAAACGAAAAAATCAGCAACACGTCGAGGTCAGGAAAACACTTCCGGTCAAAAAGAAGAGGGAAAGTAGACCCCATTTTAGTGATTTCCAGTGGTCTTTTCTCGGAATTGGGGCTCACGTTGTGTTCAGAGATTAAAATACCATCGGGTCAGTACCAATTTTGTCGTAAAACCCGTCGGAAAGACGATATCTAGACAATTGAAGAAGTATTATTAATTCCAATATGGCGTTTTTCTAGGATTCGTGAGACGTAACTTTGATTAGATTTAGCGCAAAATTCCCACATAGAATCGCTAATTCCTACATACAAGTGCTAGATTAGATTAAATACTCGAAGAAAATGCAATAAAAAGCGTTCCATCGATCGATTTAGACTTTCCAAGAATGCAAGTTCGGTGGTGACTTCATTGGTTCGTAACATTGACAGAAAATTCACAAGATTGAACGGCATTTTCTCCACAATTTTGGAATGAAATACCTCCCTTGGATTTAATATATCATTAATGTTTACCTAAGTATACGTACTATAAAAGAAATATTACTTTGATCGTGTATATAGTAAACACTGGGTCTTCTAATTAACCTGGTGTTTCAAATCATGAATTACAATGGACATTCTGCTTATTGGCGTGATTCACGTCAATTGACGTGCAAAATGGCAATCTCCGTGTTACACGTTAAATAGGGTTATCGTCTCCACTGTCTTAGTAATAAATGCGGAGCTTCGCCTTTTATAAAACCGCGCCCAGTAACCAATAGTGGAAACGCCACTTATTATAAAACTCGTATAATATCATTTATCGTATAACAGGTATTTGTGAGAGATGCATTGTACGTAGGCCTAAACATGACACGGCAACGGGGAAATGTCAACAAGCTCCTACAGTGTGGAATTTTACAATTAGTGTACGGATGAAATGAGACAATGCTTTCTTAAATAAGTTTTTGGTGTCTAATGCGGGCACAAAAATGTCCCCACCATAAGATTTTTAATCAAAATAATATATTTTGCTCCAAGTAAAGTCTTCATGATCACTTTTATTAAGAAGATTCTCTTCAAAAAATAAGTCGAAATTGCTGAAATTATGGTCTGGATATAGCCATGGTCAAAGATATGACACTTAATCATTTACCATACCATATTTGGTCATTACCTTGTGTCTTCAATACTATGTCTTAAAATAAGCATTATTTGGGTCAACATTTCGACTTTTTAATACAAACTTGGAATGTTGATTGATGAAAAATAACCAAGATACCTAAAATGTGTTTTTTTATGAAAAACACAAAATACAGAATAGCTACGTTCGTTTTCGTGATACATTTTTCATTTTTAGGATGGGTTATGATACAATCCCTCGAGGAAATTGTTAGTGAAATAAATATACTTATAATTATTCAGGTGTACATTAGTCTTAAGTTCCGATAATAATACATTATAATCCAATACCCATTCATTAATAATAATAAGTCCGATGAATGTCTCTCAATTTAACCCCTATTTGTCTATCGTTGATAGACCACCCTCCACCTGTGACTCGATATCCACAAATTAACACCGTGCCCATTTTGCTTGTCCGATCTAATTGACTTTGGAACCGTTGGCAAAACAACCCTCACACGTATCCATACAAGTCAATAGGCAAAAGCGCAGACGCCTTATTTTTCAAGTTCTGTAATGAGGTTGTGTGGCCTCGATCACTGGCCTAGCTAACTGAGTTCAAAAGCAATGTCTAAACTAAATTTTGACACTAAACTCAATTTGGGTTAAACATCTACTTTTCAAAATAGTCGGTCAGTTTTGACACTTCCTCCTCTCTCTGCAGCCAAACACTGAAATTCACTAAAATAAGAACGCCAATTGACTCGAATTTTTTTAGATATCCCAATTAAACACATTTTATTAAGAAGAAGTGGTATGCTATTATTGCAAAAAGATGACAAACCAGCTTACGGAAGGTTTGCCGAGTTCGGCATGATCACAATTGTGTTGAGACTACATTCATTTTTTAAAACTGCCTTTTCTTACGGGATTTTTATGAGGGCATCTGGGCGGGTTACTTCATTCGAGGTAAACTTCGATAAATTGGAATGAGCTCTATTACGGCTTTAAAAAGAGCCCATGGCTTTATCAATAAAGAACAGGTCCATTTAACAGACTATTGGTCCACTTAGACTTTTTCTGAAAAACTCATTCTTTCATTTACTTTTAAATCTGATTGCAAGTTGTAGATAAACCTTTGTTCTTGAGATGTGCAATTTCAAAAAGTGCCATAAGTTTTCTGTTTCTTTGAAAAATTGGCAGTAAGAACCCCTATCACACTGTCACAAGGCTGTCTGAATATGGGTACACACTATGTTTACCATCAAAATAATATCAAAACTTATCATTGTATAGAATTTAATATATGGAACATATGGAATACAAGTATTCGGAGAAGAAAATTGACAAAATCTAGCTATGTATGTAGTTTATCTATGCAAATCTAGAAAACATTGTCATTTTCGTTCACTTTGTTATCAAGTTTTAGCATGGTGCTCATTCCCTTTCATTGAAAACTGTCAGCCCACACTCCCACAAAAAAATATATTAAAACTGTATAATGCAGAGACTGTAAAGTAGCTTCTCTGCAAATATCATTTTTGTGGGAGCGTGGGCTCACCATTAAAACTTAACTTTTCTGATGAAAATAAGCCTGACTGGTTTATGTTTTCAATATGGCTGCTAACCTGGGCATACATGTACACTACATATCTGCATGTACAGATTAGGCCATCCAAAATTAATTATATGTTGGCATTCTGATGAAGAGCCTTATATTAAAAACTACAAAACCTTCATTTATTTAAAGGGTTTTATATATTATTTAAGAGTGAAAATGCAATAACACATTGTGCCAAAGCAAGTAACACACCTCTTGAGTTCAGATGACCTAAGTTGTTAATGAAGTTTATATACATGTAGTTTTTAATCAATCTTGGAACTCATTTCACTACAATATAATCCAAGATAACAATTCCCTTTGTCATTTATATACATTACAAGTAGAGAGTACATGGGAACATTTTGTTTTTTTCTGAAAACATAGAAATTTAGTGACATTATTATAAGAAAATCTTTGAATGGCCGAAGTGTTTTTCTAAATAGGGAATAAGTAGAAATTATTTTAGGCAATCCTTTGAGTGTCATGCCATTCATACATGATGCTGCCTTATATTTTATGATATATATTGAGAGAGGATTTCTCTGAATTATTTGTGTTTCAAATATGGGAACTGCAAATTGGCAAATAACTTTAAAAGTAAGTGTACATTCAAACATTTTAATTTCAAATGCAAAATAAAATGCAAAAGTCAATGGGCATTTAGTAAAAGTGACCCTTTACAGTAGTTAGAATATTGCAAACATGTTTAGAAGGTAAAAAGAACAACATGTAACAAGGCGGTGGTTTGTGCCTCAATTTGTTTGTATCAATCTTTCACAAATATGTAAAATTATATGATATGGGGCTAAAAACAGGGAGTTATTTGGCTGACTGTTGACGTAGCAATTCGTGGAAGAGTTGACGATACAGTAAACGTATTTGCCATTCAAGGCCTACTGGTACAAAACGCTAAATTTGTTTATTCATTTTAACAATTATGCTTCACAATGATGTCTCTCTGCATGTTGTAATAAATGCAATATACTGTAGACCTCAGGACAATATGTAAGTGGTATTACAGAAATGTAGCAAGCACTATTTAATAAAGGTATATCCCACCTATCATTAACACAACAGGCTCACATTCAATTATGGCAATGCGAAAAGTTACGCAAACGTATCATATGACTGCAAATGTGAAAATGAATGTTACGGGAGATGCCATTAGATAGATTTTTTGTAATTTATGGGATGTGCCCAATATCTGCCCCAAACCCAAGGGAGCTTTGATAATTAAGTTATATTCCTTTTATTCAACTATATATAGTACAATGATTATATTGGTTTTAACTCCGTCTGATTTTGTCTATTATATCCCAGATAGCACAACGACGTTGGGCCAACGTTGGGCCAACAGCATGCCAGCCAGTGGGCCAACAGTGGCTGCCAACGTTGGCCCAACGTTGGCGTGTCCAGCCAGCCAACGTTGGTCCAACGTTGGCAGCCACCAAAGAACCAACGTTGGCCCATCGTTGGCCCATCGTTGGCCCAACGTTGGCGTGTCCAGCCAGCCAACGTTGGTCCAACGTTGGCAGCCACCAAAGAACCAACGTTGGTCCATCGTTGGCCCAACGTTGGTCCATCGTTGGCCCAACGTTGGCGTGTCCAGCCAGCCAACGTTGGTCCAACGTTGGCAGCCACCAAAGAACCAACGTTGGCCCATCGTTGGCCCACCATTGACACAATTTACTTTTTTGGACAGCCATTGTTGGCTCCTTGGTATTAGCGGCAGCCCACAATGGGCCGCCCACAATGGGCCAACTGCGATCATGCCACCCAATGGGCACCAGTAGTGACGTTGGCCCGACGTCTTTGTGATATCTGGGCATTTGATACTCTTACCGTAAATGTGTTCACATATAATATCCGTTCTACATCAATAAAATATGGTGGCTTGTTTTTCCATACTAAATATATTTGGTAGCCTTATAAGTGGTTTCAACTGTATTACAAGGCGAAAATCCATATTTCTGAGGTAAACAACATTATCAGATAATTTTGAAAGAAAATATTTCATAAAATTTACCTTAATTTTTTTAATGACTGCTGGTATGTTTTTCTTCTATTTTTAAGCAAAGCATTTGCACTGATTTATGGATAAGTGGCTTCCTGGTGTTAGCGGCAGCCAACGACGGTCCAACGTTGGCCCAACTACAATTTGCCAACTGCATTTTTGCACTGATTTATCGATAGGTGGCTTCCTGGTATTAGTGGCAGCCAACGACGGGCCAACGTTGGCCCTACTACAATTTGCCAACTTCAATTTTGCACTGATTTATCGATAGGTGGCTCCCTGGTATTAGCGGCAGCCAACGACGGGCCAACGTTGGCCCAACTACAATTTGCCAACTGCAATTTTGATCCATGGTATTAGCGGCAGCCAACGACGGGCCAACGTTGGCCCAACTACAATTTGCCAACTGCAATTTTGATCCATGGTATTAGCGGCAGCCAACGACGGGCCAACGTTGGCCCAACTACAATTTGCCAACTGCAATTTTGATCCTGTTATTAGCGGCAGCCAACGACGGGCCAACGTTGGCCCAACTACACTGTGCCAACTGCAATTTTGATCCATGGTATTAGCGGCAGCCAACGACGGGCCAACGTTGGCCCAACTACAATTTGCCAACTGCAATTTTGATCCTGTTATTAGCGGCAGCCAACGACGGGCCAACGTTGGCCCAACTACAATTTGCCAACTGCAATTTTGATCCATGGTATTAGCGGCAGCCAACGACGGGCCAACGTTGGCCCAACTACAATTTGCCAACTGCGACCATGCCAACCAATGGCCACCAATAGCGACGTCGGCCCGACGTCTTTGTGCTATCTGGGATCAGGATATTTGAAAGACCGAACAAGATGTTTTTCTCATGTTCCGTGAATACGCGTACAATATATGAGGGTTATGTTATGGGAGGTTTTGGATATGGGGTATATCCCGAGGGAAATATTGATATCTTACCGAGGGCCCGGAGGGCACGAGGTAAGATATCATATTTCCCGAGGGATAAAACAGAGCATCACATAACTAATTTATCCTATGAAAAGTGACTTTTATCTATGAGACATTGATTATTTGGTGCGGGAGATATACAGCGGGGGATATATATATGTCCCGCTCCTCCAAGATATCGATTTTATATCCCGCTGTAATGTACCTGAAACCTCACTTGTCATAGGATAAAGCTAGATATTATAAATAAGATCGTATTTCCCGCGATAAAAGACAGTTATTTCAGAATATTTTCAATAAGGGTTAATGAACTAGGAGGCAATTAAGGTAATGTAATTTGACTTGAGGATATGATAATTACATGTACTTCATTATAATTAAGGAATAAATAATCATGTATCATTCAATATCGGAAATATAAAAGCATGAGTGTATCAGGCCCGAAACCAGGGGGTGGGGGGGGGGGTTCGCAGGTATCCTTTTCTGATGGTACATTATTCTCTTAAACAGAGTCCCTACTTCCAGCGGCATTTTGGTCCCCAGTTGTAAGAAGCCTTCTAACAGGTGGGGACCAAAACGCTGCTAGAACGAGGGACTCTTTACAATAAAGTAATGCACCGACAGAAAGGCAATTTTTTCTGCTTTTAATGGTATAAGTTTGAAGAAAAAAACGGTGCAGTATGAGAGTCGCAGCCCTTGATTTTCAAACATCCGGTAGGTCAAAAATTCAAATTTAACGGTCGAAGTTAGGACCGCGTGACAACCATCGCTAGAAAATCATGATCAGAAACTAATCGAGTGGTCAATAGAAATGGTTGGTGACTATTTTCTTTGTAATCTGTGGTATACAGACATTACGATTTGCTCCGTAATTCTGTTCAAATAGGTGTTTCATTTCATTTGAAAACATTGGTAGCTAGAACATATATAAAAAATATATAAATATATTTCAATCTAATAATTGTTACCATTTAAAAAATGACATTTACGATGTACATTTTAAACAACAATTACCATACTACTAAAATTGATATCGAAGGGCTAACAGCATATGCTTTAACTTAGTTGTATACTTGACTGGGTTTATAATATAATAATAAATAAATAAATGAAAAGATTAATAAATATATTTAATATAGTCTAATAAATAAGAAATATCAGAATAGACCAACACAGCCAGTATTTTTACAGCATTACTGAACACATGCTGTAAACATCTTAATGGGATTAGTCATACGTCCATGTATATGTATATGTTTGTCTTAAATTATTAATGTTGTTATTAATGATTCAAATAATGAACCAAAGCTTTTTGTTCAAGCAATTTAGACAGGCCCGACATTCACTAGGCCAGAGAAGTTATGAAAAGTCTTGAGTCATGGCAAATCTAGTCAATTTCAAATCTAGGTCAAGGTTACTTGCATGAATTCATTTAGCCAGAACGGTTGATACTACATTAAGCCTATCTTATGCCTGGTTCACATTTGCTCCGATTTTCACTACGGCACCCGGCCGATTGAGTATTTTGTTCAAAATTGAATACATTTCTGAACAAAATACTCAATCGGCCAGGCGCCGTAGTGAAAATCGGAGCAAATGTGACCCAGGCATAACCTGAACGCCACTGGGACCGGCCAAATGGTGTTCAGATCAGACAGGTGTTCAGATATAAACATGATTTGATATGACAATATACATCTATAACGCATTTACAATTATCTCAAAAATATAAGCACTGTACTGGCTGTCTTCTTATACCTAAAGCAATCAAACTTTAGTTCGCCCTATTCATCGTCGCTGACACTTGCAAACTCTACACGCCCAATGCAGATGAGGATCAATGGTCTCTCTAAACTTTAAACAATGTATATTTGTAATGTTCCTACCACATACCTTCACACATGACAGTATTTATGGACACTCAAATATCGAATCAAAGTAACTATTAAAGTACATTCTAACATCGAACATAAATAAATATCATTACAACACACCCCTAAAATGCAATCTGATTTTCGACGCCGTTTTGGTGCCAAATTTCGGTGCCATTTTGGCACCAAATGGACGGACTTGTCCGGTGCCAAATTTTGGTGTCGAAAGGTTTCGGTGCCAGAATGGTGCCGGAACAGCGCCAAATTTTTTTGACGCCGAAACGGCGCCGAATTATATTGGCTGTGTACTAGCTCATGATAATGATGATACATGATTAAGTCGGTTCCCAAGGATTAACCAATGAATCCGACACTTATTCTGTTCCCTGCCAGCCGTATGACCGAGTCCATTTGCTATATGGCGGGTGAACGGCGACCCTGTCTTCCCAATATCGATTTAGAAAATCGCACTGCTTACCCCTATATTTTATTGAGGTAGGGGTCAATTGTTCCATTTATCTTTCAAGCATCTCCTTCATATAATGATCATTTTGATGACACTACCGAACATTTTCTATCACACTTAGTGTTGTTGAAATTGAACAACATTCAGGTTAAAACCATTTTTTATCAGAAATTCTGGGAATGATACTAGCCTAGTATATCTGCTACTCATACATGTATGTGGATTTAAGAAGTTGAAATGGGTTTATTGTCCTAAACTAAGTCAGCAGGCTCATTATCAAACTTTGCCCGGAGAACTTCAACAGGACGCTTCTCATTCTCCTCAAGATATGCTCCATCTTGAAGCTCATGTCTATGGTAGAGAAGAGACTTGAAATTTATCTCGGAAAGTCCTAAGTCACTTTGTAGAAGACGGTGCCAATCCCATGTAAAACCATCAATAGACAACTAAAACAATAAAACAAAAACATGAATTGATGCAATTGTAACGAATAATACTGACATAAAATTATTAATCATAATGTTTTTTGAACACTTCAAAATGTTAACTTCACATACAGAACTATATTTTCTAGAATATCGCAAATGGCATTTTCTCATTTATGTGTACATACATGATCAAACTTTGATGTTCCAATTTGGTTGAATGCTTCAACAGGGTTGAATTCGTTGACACCCAAGGTTGGGTTAAAACTAAATTCTACATCTTGTGGTGGTTCATGAACTGGTAATAAGGGCTGAATATCAAGCTGTTTTTGTAGCCAATCAACATTCCCGATGATAACATTGTGAATGTGTTGTAAATACATGCGTCCTGAAATTACAGAAATCAAATGACTAAATTAAAATATGAATACAGTACAAATGTTGCAGACATTCACAGTGTGGATTTTGATGATGGCTGCAAACATATAGTTGCAATGAAGTCCCTGGATGGGGAAGTTGTTCCTCTCAAGAAGCAAGTGCAGATCTGTGGAAGTGGAAAATCTCCAGACATTTAGAACTTTCAAAGTTTTGTTACCAATGCACTTACTGAAGAAAAATGAACATTTGAAAGAGAAACACCTCCCAAAAGGAATATGAAAGCACAAGTGCCAAAGGGAAAGGGCCAAATATTGTAGAGAACACAGCAAGAAATTAGTAAACATTAAAGTGCACACCAATCATAAGGAAAACAAACCCTGACTATCTCAAACCATAATGTAACATGAAATGAAAGAATGTCTAAATCCCCCCTCTATCCCACCATGTACATGTTCCATTATCACAAACACCAAGGGACATAAAGATGATTTAACTCACAGATCTATGATATGAAATCTTGTACTCCCAATATGGGACTTTATAAGAAGCAATTGTGAAATAAGTTTAAATGAACAAACCTTATTTAAAGGTATTTTAGGTATTTTATCTTAATCAAGTAACAATTGTTGCTAAGTGGACAATTCACAAGCAAAAGTTGGAATTGTACCAAAATAATAATATTTTACATAATTTTAAAATAGAACTTGATAAAAGAAACATTGCATTGTAATTGTAAAATTTTTTAAATATAAAAACAAATTTCATTCATACAGAAACCATTACAATATATGTTTCAAGGTAACAAACTTGTTCCATTTTGACATGTTTCACTGAAAATTTGTAATTTTGAGTTGAAAGGATACGATTAGCCTATATAAATAATCTGGTGTAGTATATTAGGGAACATAAAGTTCTTTCACAAACTTCTTAAAGACAAGATCAACATGCATCCACTTTATGTAGAACCATGTTCTATTTAGCTGAACTTAGGGCTGTACATTTTGGTAAGATTGTGAGATGAACATTTTTAGTACTTAATATATTATGTAATTGATAAACCATGAGTACTGGCTATTAGGTGAATACGACCCTCACCCATTATTTCACCTAATACCCAGTACTCATTGTTTATACATTACATAATCTCACCTAACCTAAATATAAACTCACCTTTAGCTTGACTTAGAATATGGTTAGCCTGCATTGACAATGTCTGATGTATAAAGTCTTCGGGGGCACCAGTAAACACTCCCATTTCCTGGTCATCAAAACCCCTGGAATAAAAATAGTGCATGGCTTACAATAGTTATATTCGTGATAAGAAAATATACGGTCATTTGCATAAATATCTCCCACAATGCATCACGTTGAGAAGGACAAGTTTTCATTAGTCCGTCAATCTGTTGTTGCTATAGAGCAAAATGGCAGAAGAAAGTTGGGAGAATTTGTGTGTATTTCAAATTCAAACTGGTATTTTCATCAGCTAATCATAATGGTCAACCAGAAAATAGCAACTCAAGTTATTTAATGAATCTGAAAGATAGAATCACAATATACTAAATGTATATACAATCTACACTTAAATCAGATATCTCATGATTCTGATCTGAACAGCTCGTAATATGACCAACCTCCATGGCTGTCAACATATGTAGATGGCAAAGTTAATGTCCTATTCAAAAACGAGTGTTCAAAGTTTCATACAATATAATAGTCCTTTTATATTATATTCTTTCTTACACGATACTCCTTGTGAACTGAGTAGTAAACCTTAACAAGGTGAAAGAACAAACAAATTGCATGTACAACAAATTACAAAAACAAAACCCCCTTTCACTCTAATAATGACCACAATTTCAAAATTTCACATATGAATTCCTTACAAATATATGGGAACTTGAAATTTTAGTTTGTTTTCTGAAAATTTGCCTGAAGCATATGAAGGGGTTAATTTCAACAGATATTTAACTCTGATTTTTTTGATGAAATCAATTGTTTCTAATATTCACAAAAATCAATCATAATTCCCTAATTGCCCCAGGCTAATTGCAAAGGTTGTGCAACATTAGCAGCAATTTAATTTAATTTCTTTAATATCATAACTGACAAGCCTCTATGGATACTGTGATCAATAGATTTAATTTAATTTAATAATTTAATTTAATGCTTCATTAGGACATTTATGTAATGATGCAATATCTAAACTTCCCTGAGGGTTCAGAACTGACAAGGCTCTATGTATACTGTTTCATCAACTACTAGACCTCACAGTTCAGTCAAGCCACTTTCCTAAGTGACATCTATATTATTGAGTAGAGTGAATGTTTATTCTAAATAGGGAATTCGAAGTGACCAGACGTACATTCAGCAGTGGTAAGCATATTTTGATTTACATGCCCGAGCAAGGGGCGCCCGAGCAAGGGGCTAAAATAAAAGGCTTTGAGGGCCTAGAGATATAATGCCCGAGCAAGGGGCTAAAATAAAAGGCTTTGAGGGCCAAGAGATTAAAAGGCTTTGAGGGCCTAGAGATATAAATGCCCGAGCAAGGGGCTAAAAATAAAAGGCTTTGAGGGCCTAGATATGAATGCCCGAGCAAGGGGCTAAAATAAAAGGCTTTGAGGGCCTAGATATAAATGCCTGAGCAAGGGGCGCCCGAGCAAGGGGCTAAAATAAAAGGCTCCAAGGGCCTGAAAATATATACGCAAGCAGGGGGCAAAAAATATGAACCATAAGGGGTAATGAATAAAAGGCCTGGAGAGCCTAGAGATACAGAGATATATGCCAGAGCAAGGGGCTATTAAATATAACTATGAGACAATATAAGAGAAGTTTTCTGAGAGGCAAATATTTGACAGAAACAAAGAAAAATAGAACATTGATGACATGAAAAATCTTGATAACATGGCCTTATAATGAACACTGGAAATTCAACGTGTTAATAACACAGTAAAATTAGAGGTCATTATACAGTACGTTATAGTACAGTGTGACGAAAATAATAACACTCAGGTATAATCTGGTAATTGGCAATTGAATGAAAACTGGGGTTTACTCAATAGAAAGTAGGTTGAATTGTTTTGACATGACTGGATAACCTATGCAAGTGATTGGTTATGTAATGGTTTAATTCCATGTACCCTCTTGTAAACTAATTTGAAAATGACTTGAGTTTGTAACATTTGAAACTAGTGAAGTCTGATAAACAATTGGCTTCTCTTTACATCTAAAGTCCGGGAGCACTGATCTCTTAGTGGTTTTAACCACGTGGACTTCGGATGTGAGAGTTGTCTCTCCACAGTAGGAGGTAATTGGCAATTGAGAATTAGTCATGTTAGGGGACTGATTTTTCCCCACCAGTAATTCATGAATGAAACATTGATTTTAGGTTTTATTAGCTTCATAATTACATCATGGAAAACCATCTCCTAGACTCTTGGAGAGATTGCTCTCAAATCCGATGTCCACGTTAGTTTTTTGTTAATTTTTTATTTAAGATTTGAGGATTGGGAGCTAGTAAAAATTAACAAATCACATTATTCAGGATGTAAATACACCGTAAAGGGTAAAATTAAATGTGTATTTCACCCAATCCTTTAACATGAAATCTACTTGAATGTATGGATGTCACTTAGGAAACATAGATTTCCTAAGTGACATCTATATTATTGAGTAGAGTGAATGTTTATTCTAAATAGGGAATTCGAGGGAGGTAGTCATTAGCGAATGGAATGGATAATAGTTTACATATCATGAAATTTGGATGAAGTATCATGAAATTGGGAAATGATTGAAAAATAAGTTACCCTCCCGCCCAACCCATTTCCTGAGGTTTGTACAATCTGTACATTCTGGTGGGTTTCACTTAAATATGTATTTCACCCAATCCTTTAACATGAAATCTACTTGAATGTATGGATGTCACTTAGGAAACATAGAGAATCTCTTTCACATTTGATCAATGTAAAAGTTGAAAAAATGAAATTTTAGATTGAGATATAAATGCATATACCATTAGCCATGGGGTTTAAGAAGCGTTTCTCAAAATATTTTTATTACCCTTTAAACAATTACTTGATTGTGCATCAAAACGTAAATATACCCTTAAATTGCTGGTGTCGATGATGGTGCATGCATAGGCTTACATTGATTCATGTTTCAAAATTAATTTTGAGTTTAAAGATAAACCAATGTATTAAGTTTGAATTATTTAATCACATGAACAAAAATAAATTGCAATAGTTGCTGTTTATCTTAACAAGAGAATTTTATTAAGATAATCATTGAAATACATTGTTTCCCTACAGATAATTAATTTCAAGATCTTGTTTTCTAAGCTAAATAATATGCCAAGTCAATTTGTCGATCGACAAAATGAATGTACAAATTAGACACACATGTCTTCTTACATCAAAATACAACATTGTTACGAATAGGTCAATCACTCTTCCTTGTGATATTAAGTGTTATTTAACAGTGTCGCTGATGGTCGCTTAGGTTTTTAAACAATAACGTTTACATAATTTACACATTTAAGGTCTTTTATTGCAATTAAAGCATGTAAATATTTCTCCAATGAGCATCCCATTTACACGAGAACATTTCCCGGAATCATGAAACCAGTCGGGGCATTTAGAGCACTTGATCCATTCGAACTGCGATTGTAAATACGAATAATAGTTGACACCGCATGCCTTGCAAATATTTACAGTGTCTTTTCTTTTTATCGGGCCTTTCCTTTTCTTCGCGGAAACAATTGTGTCTGAAGACTTTGAACTTGTAGATGGGGCTATCCTAAAGGCCGATGCTTCAGTGTGGTTGAAAGAGTGAAAACGTCGGAGGGCGTCGATGCTTTACTTGACGTACTGGGTGTCTTGTGTGCTCGTCGTGTGGTCCGTTTTGGTTTTAAAGATGGTTGTCGGTGACTACCGTAGCTGCCTGCTGGGTCTTCCTAACGGTTATAAGGTTGTTCCTTTGAGGATGACGTATCTGTTCTGCATGCGTCACAATAGCACGATAATTCTCGCGTTTCAACAATATTATCGGAAACCCCTCTCACAGCTAGCATTGATTCGAAAGGTACCTAGTGCTGATTTAAGTCCAGTCGCCTTATCTACAATGTTTTAATAATGCATTCTGGGATTTTTTGGATTTTCATTCGTGTCCTGGCAGTTTCACTTTGAGACTCTGAGCGTTCCCTTCAGTCTGGCGTGTTTTGATTGTTCCTCTATACACTTGGCGTATGCGTGCCCTGTATTCCCGGGATGCCTTGTTGTTCTTTTCTCTGATCCGTTGAAGAGCTTCAGCAGACAGGTTATTTCTCGGTGTATACTATGCTCGCTGTCGCAATCGTTCTTGCTCTAAGTAGCCTTTGCTTGGTATCTTTCTTTTTCTTTCTCTCCCTTCACTGTAGTCTGTAGGGAACGACGGCGTTGGTGAGTGCCATATTCTTATATCATCAGAAAGGTCTGATAAGTAAGACAGATATATTAATGAGAGTGTGGGAAGTTATACACATTAATAAAATGTCACAAAACTGATTATCCCAATGAAATATTTATTGTTTTATAATAATGGCAAGAAATATATTTCGTCTAGTTGTACACTGAACGAAACGTTTATAAATTAAGAAATATCGGGGAATGTGCATCTATATTTGTCAGTGATTTTATAAAACAATGAACTGCTCAATCATCCCAATTCTTGTGTCACATTACCATACCATTTCAAGACAAACAGAATATGCATCATAAGTAAATAACATGATCTGCTTAATAGATTCAATTTTACTTATCTCTATACGCTGTAATCACAATGAACAATATGCTCTAAATGCTTAGCTCGGTATCACTGTAAAATGCTACACATACAACAAAATAGTCATTTAATGAATGTAGGTTCATTCAACAAATATATAGCGTTCGATTATACATGTGACCTACTTAATATGTGGAAAGTATTTTGGAGTCGTATGTGGTGGAGTTGTTGATGGTCGTAAATATCTCAATCTTTACGTGGTCAAAGAATAACATCAATAAAGCGTATTTTTATATTATCAATATATATTGAGACAAACCGTCAACACCATTACTTAACATTGAAACCTGATTTTGATTGAAAGCAGAGTCCAAAGACAACGTACTTGTAGAGTCGATGATGATTTTAAAAAATAGTACTTTACGTCGAAAAATACGTAACAAGCTAAATATGTTATATTCAAATGTATTGTGAAAATGTTTTACATCCGTTAATAAGGCAATTTATATTTCAAAGAAGTAAATAGGGGGCTATCATGAATAGTGCAGAGGCATCTCGACACCGTTGATTTCAAGCATGGTGTCGATGATGGTGCCTTCGAGGGCTACACATACTTAATGTCGATTTTCCAATAATAAATTAGCAAATAAATTAATTACAGCTAACGTACAATCGACACGATGCAGTCTTTGTGATGAAATAGTCAATTATTATAACAAAATACGTTTCAGAATATAAAAAAGTTACTGTCAATCAACATAAGGGTGATCGGTTACAAGGCAAAAAATGATAGTTTGGAATGTTCGACGATTGATAATGCGTTCAGCTTTTATAACCCTGAGATAGAAACTAAATGATATTTTGCAGGATTAAGAGACGTTTAATTTGATACCAAATACTCATGGTAGAGCGTATATTAAATAGCGGAATAAAAACATATAGTCATGTTACATAAAATTCGTTATAATGAAAGGAATACGTGGCTTGAGTGAGTTATTCGGCATACAGCCAAGATAACACTCCATTTAAAAATAGAATTTCAACTTATTTTCATAATCATTATTAAAACTACATTCTTTTATCATCATCTTCTAAAAATGAGAAAAAATGAGAAATGAGAAAAAAACATCTGCTTCCATATTTATATGAACAGATATCAATGCACTCCCCCAGAGTTGATTTATTTCCAAATGGGAGAAAAAGAAACTTAATAATTACAAACTCTGAAACCCTTACTCTTGGTTCAGGAAGTCTGTGATTGTCTGTACTTGCTCCGTGACCCACTGTTTGTTATGCCTTAGGAAGCTGCTGGCCACACTTGGAATATTCCGGGGTGTTCCATGACTTGACCTGCTACCTCTTAGTACTGGAGAATAAAACCAAAAAATAAATAAAAAGGATAAGACAGCACTGGGGACTATTTGGTGATATGATAGCACCGCAACAATAGATCTAACCAACCAGTCAAATGACTTTAGTATAAATGAAATGTCCAATGTTTTGTGGTTCTGGATTCAGTTTGTCAAAAATGGAAGTATGTTATATTCCATTATTATTCAGGATACTGGTTGGACTGTGAGGTACTAATCTAGTACAAGAAATTCTGTTTTTAATACCTTTTGAGTTTACCCTTACTATGCAGGCCCGTAGTCAGAGGGGGGGGGGCTCACAGGGTTCGGCCAACCCCCCGGCCAAAAATTCTTTCAAAATCATGCAGTTTTTCACCATTTTGAGCACTTCTTAAGTGATTTTAGCCATATTTGGGACAAAATTATCAAATGTAAACCCCCCCTGGAAATCTTTGAAAACTGAACCCCCCCTTGGCAAATCCTGGCTACGGGCCTGCTATGGGTCTTAAACATTTGGAATATGAGGAGAAAAATATGGAATGAAGGGTAAGAATATTGAAAGCAAGGGATAAATGTAGGAGGGATAAATACAGGGTGTCCTAAAATTGTACTGAGATAAACACAGCATAACTCTGTGATTAATGAACTCATAAAGGAATATTCTTGAAATGCTGTCATCTGACATGAACTGATAAAGGAATATTCTTGAAATGCTGTCATCTGACATGAACTGATAAAGGAATATTCTTGAAATGCTGTCATCTGACATGAACTGATAAAGGAATATTCTTGAAATGATGTCATCTGACATGAACTGATAAAGGAATATTCTTGAAATGCTGTCATCTGACATGAACTGATAAAGGAATATTCTTGAAATTCTGTCATCTGACATGAACTGATAAAGGAATATTCTTGAAATGATGTCATCTGACATGAACTGATAAAGGAATATTCTTGAAATGCTGTCATCTGACAAACAATTAAATTTTCATATAAATCTGAAAGCTTTAACATGTAACTCGCTATATTTCTATCATTACCTTTATCATGTGAAAGATTCTTTTTCGTAAAGGAATAAAAGAGTTATTTCCATCTCATTTGGGTGCAATTATTTTGGGGCATCCTGTATATGAAATATGAGAGGTAAACATATACTCCTCAAAAAAAATTAAGGACCTCATAGGTTTACATGTTTATCCCCATATTTGTTTAACGACTGTTTTCTAAGCGGGGAACAAAAGAAATCCCAATAAAGAAAATAAATCTGTATCTTGATTCTATTCACTATAAAGTCCGCAACGTTTCAATGTTATATCTCCATTACATTGGGTCAAAATTTGATGTCAAAATTGATGAATTTCATGAAATTTAACAAAAATGGCAGATCCCATGTTAAACAAATGGGGAATGGTTGTTTTTCCATAAGTCATATGAGGAACGATCCATCCATCCGATTGCTCTCAAAATTGAGATTGTAAGAGATAATTAAATTTGCTAAATTGTCTACTTGACAAAAATATGATTTAATTGTCCAGGCTTTACAAAAGTTAATGGTTTCAAATTCAATAATTTTTAATGAACCTCTTATTGAAATAACACAGGTGGTTCAATGAGGTGGTCAAAATTACTTTAACGCTCCGTATCGCTAACTTTAACAACATTAGCGAGACATTTAGCGTGTAAAATGTAAAATCATTCAATTTTCTACTTAGAAAGTATTTTTAATAAATGTTTTGCTGAATAGATATTCCAAAATCTGAGTTGCCCCTAAGCCACCATTCCCCATTTGTTTAACATGGGATCTGCCTTTTTTTGTTACATTTCATGGAATTCATCAATTTTGACGTCAAATATTGACACAATGTAATGGAGATATAACATTGAAACGTTGTGGACTTTATAGTGAAAAGAATCAAGATACAGATTTATTTACTTTATTGGGATTTCTTTTGTTCCCCGCTTAGAAAACAGTCGTTAAACAAAAATGGGGATTAACATGTAAACCTATGAGGTCCTTAACTTTTTTTGAGGAGTATATGAAATATAAATGGTAAACATATGAAATAAATAAAGAAAAACATAAGGAATGAGAGCAAACATAGGGATAAACCAATGGAATATTATAAGGGGTAAACTTATGGAATTTGGGGGGAATTACTCAGATGCGAGTAGGTAGTTACCACTTTTGCCACCAGATGGCCTATTCGGGGGAAATAACATGGCAGGGTATTACAAAATTCCTTTAAACTTGAATATTCATCAGTTTTAGTGGTTCATTTTTCATATTACCCTTATGTATGTGATAGTTATACAAATTAAAATATGGCAAGTAAGAGAAAATATTATCTGCCCAACACAAGAAAAGATATTTCACTTTTTGTGATTTTACAACATGGGGTCTATGGGGAATCTCCCCGACCTAGAAGTCACATTTTCAAAGAAAAATAAATTTTCATAGTTGATAAACTCTTTGCAAAACCACATTTCGAGATGTAATTTTACATGTAGATTCCAAATATGACATGAATTTTTAATGACGTAAATCAAGATTATTTCTACTTGCATCTAGGATATTGAGGGAATAATAAATATATGAAAATTAAGGAGTAAACTGTAACAAACCTCCATTGTGTTTCAATAACTGATGTTTATGTTCATCAAGCTCCATGTACTATTTAAGTGTAGTATTTAACTGTGCATGATCTATTATTGTTAACCTTACTCTCTTTGCTTAAATCGAACAGCAACATGTATTTATGTGTATATGCATTTAAGTGTGTCTATTGAAAACTATTTATGTGGCAACTGCTCAGCATTGTTGGCTGTTCATTGGTTGTTCAAACATTACTTTTGTGAGGTTGGTATTCAAGCTCTGAGCAGTGATGCTGGGGTTTTCCTGACAAGGTAGGGTGTTTTTCTAACTTTCATAGCCAAGGTCACGGCATGGATAGAGTGTCTGTTAGGACAATTGATAAATTGCCTTCAAGACTTCAATTTTGGTCTTATCATATGTGTTAAGGTGATACGAGTGTTTATTAACTCAGTCACAACCATTTACTTTGCTTTTTAAGCAATTAGTTTAGATTTTACCCATAATTTCTCAAATTGTCTTCATTTTCTTCATTTCCCCCTATCAAGGTAATTATCCAAAAGTCCCATCGAGTGCCTGGGCCAACAGTCTTCAAATTCTTCAATGCTTAACTTCACTCCCCTTTGAAACCATTCAGTCTTCAGATTCTTCAATGCTTAGCTTCTCTCCCCTTTGAAACCATTCAGTCTTCAGATTCTTCAATGCTTAGCTTCTCTCCCCTTTGAAACCATCCAGTCTTCAGATTCTTCAATGCTTAGCTTCACTTCCCTTTGAAACCATTCAGTCTTCAGATTCTTCAATGCTTAGCTTCTCTCCCCTTTGAAACCATTCAGTCTTCAGATTCTTCAATGCTTAGCTTCTCTCCCCTTTGAAACCATCCAGTCTTCAGATTCTTCAATGCTTAGCTTCACTTCCCTTTGAAACCATTCAGTCTTCAGATTCTTCAATGCTTAGCTTCTCTCCCCTTTGAAACCATTCAGTCTTCAAATTCTTCAATGCTTAGCTTCACACCTCTTTGAAACCATCCAGTCTTCAGATTCTTCAATGCTTAGCTTCACTTCCCTTTGAAACCATTCAGTCTTCAGATTCTTCAATGCTTAGCTTCTCTCCCCTTTGAAACCATTCAGTCTTCAAATTCTTCAATGCTTAGCTTCACACCCCTTTGAAACCATTCAGTCTTCAGATTCTTCAATGCTTAGCTTCACTTCCCTTTGAAACCATCCAGTCTTCAGATTCTTCAATGCTTAGCTTCACTTCCCTTTGAAACCATTCAGTCTTCAGATTCTTTAACTTCTTCAACCTTCAGCTTTATTCCTCTTTAAGGTGCTATGGAAGTTAACAGGAAATGACAAAACAGGAAGTGACAATTTTTTTTGCACAAACACCATCTACTAGAGTCCATTTCACTGCTTCATTTCGTCAGTACAACGGCAAAAATAAGAAATTGGGAGACTATTGTGCAATAATATATGGAAAAGTATATTCATAATGTACATGAATGACATTTGTATATTTCAGATTTTTTAGTTTTTTGTGCAATAAGCCTGTGCCGTCTCGTAATTTGAAGAATTTCGGCCATGTTAATCTTATTGAAAATAACATGTCAGAGAAACATCCAAATATAAGAGGCCACACACTTTATAAGCCAAACTAGAAGCAATCCAAGATATACAAATGTCATTCATGTACATTATGAATATACTTTTCCATATATTATTGCACAATGGTCGCCCAATTTCTAATTTTTGCCGTTCTACTGACGAACTGAAGCAGTGAAATGGACTCTAATTGTTACTTCATACATCTTCAGATACCAATAAATATACATTATTGCATTATTTTATACAAAACTTACTTCTCATGTTCACATTTTATGGGTTCGTTAGCTTGAAATCCCTACACCTACCCTTCATGTTTCAGTATGACCCTAATACACCAATTTGGTTTCAAAATAAACTATCCCCTCTTATACTGGCTTGCCACGCCCAGAATTAAAGGGAAGGTATTTTACAAGGGGTAAATAAATGGAATATGAGAGATAGAATATAAGGAGTAGGATTTTGAATATGAGGGGTAAACATATGGAATTTGAGTGGTAAACATAAGGAGTTAAAGGGAGGAATATTTGGAAAATAAGAGGGAAATATATGGTATAAATAAATAGGACTATTAAGGTAAATACATGGAAAAGGGAAAAATATATATGAGAAATGATTACACATGCAGGGACACTTTTTGAATCCCCCTTGTACATTGTAAAATACTAACCTTCAGGGACACTTTTTGAATCCCCCTTGTACATTGTAAAATACTAACCTTCAGGGACACTTTTTGAATCCCCCTTGTACATTGTAAAATACTAACCTTCAGGGACACTTTTTGAATCCCCCTTGTACATTGTAAAATACTAACCTTCAGGGACACTTTTTGAATCCCCCTTGTACATTGTAAAATACTAACCTTCAGATGTAAGAACATGGTAGGTACTTTCAGCCAACATTACAACACTTTCCTTTATATCTTGTGGTAAGTCAGTATCTAGTAGGGTCTCTATATAGGCCTGGTCTAACATACAATATCGAAAACAGCTGGCTAGGACCTAAAGAAAAGAATATGTATGAACATGGTAGGTGCTTCCTGCCAACATTATGACACTTTCCTTTATAACTTGTGGTAGTTAACAACCTTTCTAGAAGATCTATGATTCTCCCTTTGCACAACAAATAATACTTTTACCTTGACTTTTAGGTAAAATAAAAGAAGTTCATATGAATCAATTGTCGATAAAAAATTCTTTACGATAAGCTAATTACTCAATATTTTTTCATTTGGAGTATATATAAATATACCAACATGTATACGATAACATGTTCAGACAAGGCATTACAAGCAAAATGTCACCACTTGCCATTTGTTACAGACACTGAACTCTAAGTGCCAAACACCAACTGCTGTATGCCAAATGCCAAACACCAACTGCTAAATACCAACTGCCAAACAACCAAACACCACCCACAAAAACAACTTTAACAATTTCCCACTTTATGTGATCACCATCTCTGGTGTGACATTAAAATTAAACATGAAACCACGCCTGGTGATCGTGAAAATGGGACGGAGGGGGAGCAAGCAATTTCTGGTCGAAAAATGAACAAATCTGCAAAAATTATTTTTTCAAGAAAAAGTTTATGATTTAATTGCTAAACGAATAGGCGCACGGTATGGTAAAATATGTTACGTATTCTATGAATTTTTTTTAGCCGATTCTCTTCTTAGGTATAAGATCTATTAAAAAAGGCGCAACGCCACCAACGTGCAAAAGTCAGTGTTTTTGCTTTAAATCAAGCATGAACGGTCTACACAACCTGCAATCAAGCATTACTATAAAGCAAAAGAGGGTGTGTCAAAATTGGCAATCACTAACTACTCTCACCTGTAGCCCTGCACAGTCATGGGGAGACTTGACTCGTTTCTCTGGTAGTGTATTCTGAATAGTCTTGAATAACACACAAATCGCAGTACGCAAGGATTGCACTTCATTGGCAAATGTTTGAACAAGAAGATGCAGTGCATCTGTGATCAGATCCCTCATATCTGAAAAATAATACTGACACTTTATAAGAAGCACTTTTGTGGAAGCAAAGTGGTCAGACAAGCGGGTGATTGCAGTAGCTTTCGGTAAAACTGAACACTCAGGCACATATATTGTGTCCATACTTTAACAAAATCTTTTAAAACTTCCAAAAATCAATCATCTAAATCAAGATGGAACATCAGAGATCTTCAACACTGTTACGTTACTCTGCATATAAATCAGCTGCAAAAACTCCACCATTCATAGCAATTTTTCATTCATGTCAGAATATGAGCATTTTTAAAATGCCACGGCGTTTGTCTGTCTAAATTAATGTTCTTAAACTCAAGAATTTATCAAATGCCTGGAACCAAGATTCATCAAAGCACTTGTTGAACATTTCGTAATTGTTAGATATGTCAGAATTTTCCCTCACTATTGACATTTGTTACTGTTTAAGCTGATTCAGGACTATAAGCATGTACCGGCTGTTTCAGCTACATTACAATGTACCAGTATACAGTAGAACCTGTATATCTGAACACCTGGCTAATCCGAACACCTTCCAATTTGAACACTTTTTTCGGTCCCATTTTTTCCTGTTCCTGTTATAGTTGTTATTTATCTTTACATATACAATGTAATCAAAGAACCAATATTGTCCTAATTAACTTAACCTAATTAGTCTCAGTGACATCCCTTATTGTTGGAAAACAAACAGGATGATTTGGAAAGGTGTGAATACAGGAGTTAATTGGTTTATCCTATGAGAATAGAACTGAATGTTTTATGTTTGGATTAAGAGAAAGGTGTGAATCAAGAAGATAATTGATTTATCATTTATGGAAATCACCTGGATGTTTTTGATTTGGATTAAGAGAAAGGTGAGAGTCTGGGAGATAATTGGTTTATCCTTATTGTAAATTAACTGGATGTTCTTGATTTGGATTATGAACAGGTCTTAGATGTTTTATATTCCATGGGTCTGTTTTGATAGCTTAGATTCAATCAGTAAATGTTTTATGATCACAAAGACAACACAGACACATTTGCAGACAAGATTATATCACGAAAGAGAAAAAATTCAACTTCGTAATATCCTATCACTAAAATGCCTCCTAAAAAGGGATACATTTGACATCCTGAATGCCCTTGATATTTTGGAGGATTATCTCGTATGAACACTCATGAAAAATTCTTTTTACTTGAAGAGGAAACCTACTCAAATATTGCTAAAGCTAAAAGTGCCAAAAAAACAAACAACAATGAAGGAATTTTTTCAAGCAAAAGTAAAACAGCACTATATAACCATAATATTGGATAAGATTTCGTTCAAGACTATCATACACTTATACAGTGTATTACAAAGTTTTTGCCAAAATATAAGTTATTTTTACTAAAATAATGAAATTGTTCAAAATGTAAATAAAAATAGCATATAGGCTATAGGGCTATTGTAGAATAAACTCATCAACAATATGTATTGTTTTCTGACTTAGTATTAAGTGTTCAATATAGTGGACTGAACAATGAAAATCCCCCCTCCCGATCAACAATATCCTCGAAATTTGAAGACCTGCCAATTTGAACGATTTTGGCTGGTGTCATGGGTGTTTGGATTAGACAACTTTTGGAATACAGTAAAACCTGTGTAAGTGGAACCCCCTTGGGACCACATAAGTGTTCCATTTGAGACAGGAAAAGGGGTTCATTAACATTGATTCAAAGGGCTGAAGGATTTTGAAAACCTGTTCCACTTGTGACGTGTTCCACTTACAGAGATGTTCCACTTGGCAATTTCTACAATAATCAATAAATTCTCCGAAAATATAAATTATAAGCTTCAGTTTCAAAATTTTATGATTTGGGGAGCTTTATTTCTGCCCAAAAACAAAATATCTGCTCATTTTAACTTCCATCAAATAGGGATGTATAGATGGGTGAAGAGTATTAATTTGTTTTACATAAATACTGATACATCCTAGTTTGAAAAATCTTGATTTTCAATACATTTCTAGTTATCCTCAACAATGACACAACAAAGTCATAACATTTATCTACCATCTTGTTTCGGCTTTTTCTTGTCCTCCTCTAATACACATCCACATGGGAGCTCTTCAAGAAGTGAGGTGATTGACGGCATCTTCTTTACTGTAGGGGGAACCAGCAGTACTTCAATGGCAGGCTTAATTAACCTACAAGAAATATAAAGAATTAATTGATTAAAACTAATTAAAATGGAGGTAAAATACAGACAGGCCATATTGAGATCTGGCAAGCTTTCATCCAGTTTCATAAAGACTGCTGTTCTGAAAGTGTATATTCTCAATGTCATGAATGTGTATCTAATTGTAATGTACCCATTTCAAACTATCCTCCATGATACTGTCAAAATGAACTTTCACTTCCACACATTCAACATAATTTTTTTACATTTAAAACATATTGCTATTACAGTTTTATATATTGCATTGTTCCTAAATTACTGTAAAATCGGCGGCACTAAAATGGCGGCCATTTTTTAATGAGCGGCCATTTTGAAAATCGGCTTTCGAGTAAAACATCTACTTTCATAGGGTATATGTGTATAAAATATGAACAAAATCGGACCAACGGTATTTGAGTTATTGCCCGGACGGATGTACGGACAGACAGATGGAGGCGTTCCCTTTATCCTTCCGAGCTTCGTTCAATGGGATAATAAAAAAAATAAAAATAAAAACAGTATGTGAATACTTTTGATCATGGTGTGAATGCTAACAGGATAGAAACAGAATGACAATAAATTTCAATGAACCTTAAAATCATTTATCTGTTGTAAAATATAGAATGTATATATGTTATATACTGTGTTTTGAATGGCTTGAGTGTGATATATTGTATTGAGCTTTGTGTGCACTAACCATATAAACTTTAAAAAACATAAATAGATAGACATCAGTCTACCTGGAATCAGCTTTAAATGACTTTTTAAACAGATTCTGTTTTCATTTCAGATATTGATGACAATTTATTTATCCAATGGTTTTAGCAAGTGTCCATTGTAAAGACTGATTAAGAATAACAAATTGTTCTATTAGCAAGTGGTTTGTGAAAAAGTAAAAGCAAGTTAAATGTCTTTTGTGTCTTCGATAAATTCAACACCAGTGGGGTGAGTACCAGTTGTTAAATTGTGGTTATACCTAGATTACCTTTTTTGTTAATGCAATGGAATTGTGCTCATAATTTAAAATTTAATTTAGTTAGGTGAGTAAAAGTTTGTAAAATTGTGCAATGGAATTGTGCTCCTAATTTGTACCAGATTGTTGCTTTGATGAAATACTTTTTTATATTTATGCATTAGAATTATGATCCTAGTTCAACATTTAATACAGTGGACTGAGAACCAGTTTGTAGCTATGCTAAATTACTTCATAAAATGCATTTGAATTGTAGTCCTAGTTTACCATAATGTACTTGTATATGTACATTTGGGCTGCCATTTGGCCTATTAGACTTACTATTTTCTGCAAAGCGTATTGTCTCAAAGCATCACCAAGTGAGTAATGTTATTTAAATACCATATCTATCATAGAACAATTACCAAGTGAGTAATGTTATTTAAATGCCATATCTATCATAGAACAATAACCAAGTGAGTAATGTTATTTAAATGCCATATCTATCATAGAACAATTACCAAGTGAGTAATGTTATTTAAATGCCATATCTATCATAGAACAATTACCAAGTGAGTAATGTTATTTAAATGCCATATCTATCATAGAACAATTACCAAGTGAGTAATGTTATTTAAATGCCATATCTATCATAGAACAATTATCAAGTGAGTAATGTTATTTAAATGCCATATCTATCATAGAACAATTATCAAGTGAGTAATGTTATTCAAATGCCATATCTATCATAGAACAATTACCAAGTGAGTAATGTTATTTAAATGCCATATCTATCATAGAACAATTACCAAGTGAGTAATGTTATTTAAATGCCATATCAATCATAGAACAATTACCAAGTGAGTAATGTTATTTAAATGCCATATCTATCATAGGACAATTACCAAGTGAGTAATGTTATTCAAATGCAATATCTATCATAGAACAATTACCAAGTGAGTAATGTTATTTAAATGCCATATCTATCATAGAACAATTATCAAGTGAGTAATGTTATTCAAATGCCATATCTATCATAGAACAATTATCAAGTGAGTAATGTTATTCAAATGCCATATCTATCATAGAACAATTACCAAGTGAGTAATGATATTTAAATGCCATATCTATCATAGAACAATTATCAAGTGAGTAATGTTATTCAAATGCCATATCTATCATAGAACAATTACCAAGTGAGTAATGTTATTTAAATGCCATATCTATCATAGAACAATTACCAAGTGAGTAATGTTATTTAAATGCCATATCAATCATAGAACAATTACCAAGTGAGTAATGTTATTTAAATGCCATATCTATCATAGGACAATTACCAAGTGAGTAATGTTATTCAAATGCAATATCTATCATAGAACAATTACCAAGTGAGTAATGTTATTTAAATGCCATATCTATCATAGAACAATTACCAAGTGAGTAATGTTATTCAAATGCCATATCTATCATAGAACAATTACCAAGTGAGTAATGTTATTTAAATGCCATATCTATCATAGAACAATTACCAAGTGAGTAATGTTATTTAAATGCAATATCTATCATAGAACAATTACCAAGTGAGTAATGTTATTTAAATGCCATATCTATCATAGGACAATTACCAAGTGAGTAATGTTATTCAAATGCAATATCTATCATAGAACAATTACCAAGTGAGTAATGTTATTTAAATGCCATATCTATCATAGAACAATTACCAAGTGAGTAATGTTATTCAAATGCCATATCTATCATAGAACAATTACCAAGTGAGTAATGTTATTTAAATGCCATATCTATCATAGAACAATTACCAAGTGAGTAATGTTATTCAAATGCCATATCTATCATAGAACAATTACCAAGTGAGTAATGTTATTTAAATGCCATATCTATCATAGAACAATTACCAAGTGAGTAATGTTATCTAAATGCCATATCTATCATAGAACAATTACCAAGTGAGTAATGTTATTTAAATGTCATATCTATCATAGAACAATTACCAAGTGAGTAATGTTATTTAAATGCCATATCTATCATAGAACAATTACCAAGTGAGTAATGTTATTTAAATGCCATATCTATCATAGAACAATTACCAAGTGAGTAATGTTATTTAAATGCCATATCTATCATAGAACAATTACCAAGTGAGTAATGTTATTCAAATGCCATATCTATCATAGAACAATTACCAAGTGAGTAATGTTATTTAAATGCCATATCTATCATAGAACAATTACCAAGTGAGTAATGTTATTTAAATGCCATATCTATCATAGAACAATTACCAAGTGAGTAATGTTATTCAAATGCCATATCTATCATAGAACAATTACCAAGTGAGTAATGTTATTTAAATGCCATATCTATCATAGAACAATTACCAAGTGAGTAATGTTATTTAAATGCCATATCTATCATAGAACAATTACCAAGTGAGTAATGTTATTTAAATGCCATATCTATCATAGAACAATTACCAAGTGAGTAATGTTATTTAAATGCCATATCTATCATAGAACAATTACCAAGTGAGTCATGTTATTTACATGCCATATCTATCAAAGTACAAATATATCATACTTATTTTTTTACATGAAGTGATGGCCAACCTGTAATGCCAATATGGCGATTGTTGGCCAAAAATGTATTGACTTTACCTCAATAAAGTTTATACTATGAAAAAAAAGTACAATTACCTGTTGATGAAGGGCATCATGACATCATAAAGGCCCCTCAACCAGTTTGGTGTCTGAAAATTAATACAACGCTATTTTTATTAAATTCTGCTGTGTTATATTCTTGTACGGGGTTGGTGAAAAATGTCCCTGGATGAAACTCATACTTTTTAATGTCTTAATTTTTTCAAATATTCTTCTCCAAAATGCAGCACTCAGTTATACAATTGTATTTGAAACTGTTGTGTTTCGCAGTCTGGTGAGAAAGGTTGGTATGAATCAGTGACAAGGAGTTGTCCCCTATCTAAATATTTTCAAGGTTTTATTCAATCATTAATTTAATCAATGCATTTGACATGTCCAGTACGAATCCTTTAGCTATATATCATTGCTGGACATGTACAACCATCTGGGCTTTTATCATGAACAGCCTCCGAAATTCTGTTCATCCATTCGCATACATATTGTTCTTTCATTCAATTCTGAAATGTTTAGAGCTTTTAGGATGATTGAAAATGTTCTTACTGGGAGGAAATTTAGGAATGTTATCAAAATCAGCAGTGGAAGAATGAAACATATTTCATTATGATTTAACCATCCCATTTCTTCCTATATAATGAAATAAAAAAATGGCAATTTTTCATTCACTTGAATATCAACTATTTCATTTGCATCACCATCATCATTTATCCCATCCTTCTAACAAAATAAACTATGCTTTTCCATCACTGTCAACATTTGGAAAAAATTTTGTTCTTTATTTTAGTGAACAGAAGCCTCAACTGAAGATAAAAAAACAAAAAAGCACATACATACTTTGTAACAAAACAAATTAGATTGAAAAGTCTCTACGTCAATGAATGTACTAATTTTCCAAATGGGGAAGTTGGCTGTAATCGTTTTAGCTGTCCTCGTTGCATTCGTTCTATTTACAATAACCATGAGAGAGAAGCGTCCTGACAATTTGGCAGTTACTAAATTCATGAACGTTTTACAACCAGCAGATTCTCAGGTTCAGAAGTCACTACGAAATATATATTTACAAACACTTAAGGTGACATTGACAGGATATGCCTTTAAATCAAAATCTATTAAAGAGTTGTTAAAGAGACTTCTCCATGGCATTTTATCAGAAAATAACATGTGCAGGTATCGAATTGTCTTTCCAGATGCGGGTCCAAACGTGGAAATTGACTGTTACTGTTGTGGCTGTCCTTGTTACATTTGTTTTACTGACAGTAACCATGAGAGATAATCGTCCTGACAATTTGGCAGTTCCTACATTTATGCAACAAGCTCCAGCAGATTCGGAGAATCTGAAGTCAATAAGAGATATTTATTTGAAAACTTTGAAGGTGACGTTGACAGGATATGCCTTTAAATCAAAAGCCATTAAAATGGGAGTAGGCGAGGTTGAAATCATTGAAGAAGCAATGAATAATGACGAACGAAGGCGAGGTGGTGATTGGCCGAGCGTTGGGTAAGCATAAAACCTTCTTTCATATAATTAACTTTTTTTTGGTGTTTTGATAAATTGCCCCAGTGTGTAACTTGCCCGATGGAGTAAATGATCTCCAAATCACCGACAATGCAATGAATGATGACAATCGAAAGAAAGGTCATGATTGGCCGAGCGTTGGGTAAGCAATCTTGGTTATATATATTATACAGGGTGTCAAATATTGTCCTGTCCCTTCTACTACAGCTAAAACCTTAATACATGGTACCTTGTGTGATATAGCATTGGAATGATCATCTAAAGTTACCTTAAAGTATTTTTGATGAAATTTACTTACATTTTCATGATGTCCTAATTAGATAATGTGCTTCATCCAGCAGCCTTCATTGCATTAATGAGAATGATATGACCCAAGCAATACATCAAAAAGTTAATCTCTTTCCACTTCTTCACCCTATGCAGACAGAGCCTGTGGGAAATATTGGGTGCGGAGCAAATGAGCGGAGGGTGCGGAGCTAACGGTCATTTTTGAATTTAAATTTGGGATATTTCTGAAACTAAGCCGTTTTGGGACTTCAAATATACCAAGATATGTGTATTTGACACCAAATATCAATACAATTGTGAAAATAGTAGCGCAATTCATTCTACAGCGACGCAGTGTGCCTTAAACCTTTCCCAGACCTATATATTTTGAAATTATCCTTTTAATACTGAGTCCCCAGCATTCATAAAAAATGGTGTTCAAGGTACACTATCTATACAAATTATTTTTGCATCCTGGAAGCCAGGCAGTATCTGTGTGATTTTATAAAAATTCGGAAATGTTTTTCAGATATGAGCCCCCTCTAAATATTGGGTGCGGAGGAGCTCCATAAACGTACCTCCGCACCCAATATTTAGAGGGGGCTCATATCTGAAGAACATTTCCGAATTTTTATAAAATCACACAGATACTGCCTGGCTTCCAAGATGCAAAAATAATTTGCATGGGTAGTGTATCTTGAACACCATTTTTTATGAATGCTGGGGACGCAGTATTAAAAGTATAGTCTCAAAATATATAGGTCTGGGAAATGTTTAAGGCATACTGCGTCGTTATAAAATGAATTGCACTAATATTTTCACAATTTTATTGATATTTGGTGTCAAATACACATATCTTGGTATATCTGAAGTCCCAAAACGGCTTAATTTCAGAAATATCCCAAATTTAAATTCAAAAATGACCGTTAGCTCCGCACCCTCCGCTCATTTGCTCCGCACCCAATATTTCCCACAGGCTCCGCTCAATTTCTAATTTTTTCTTCAACATGTATTGTATGACTTCAGTATGAATGAAATGTCCCTTGGTCTTCTGGTCTTGGATTGTGATATTGGTTCTTGAATGGTGGGGGGAAAGGGGGTAATAGACATTGTTTCTTTTCACGTTAGATCATGGTTTTGGGCTATATGGGGTTTGTTTTTCTTGACTGGTATGCACTTAGAGTTTGCTTTTTCTTGCTAAGTTCCATTACAACTTTTGGTCCTTTCCCTTTGGCACTTGTGCTTATATATTCAACATTTTCCACTGCCCCTCTATATGCTACACATCAAATTCTATTCAAAAATAGCTTAAATTCACTAACATATGAATATGTTGTCATCTTGAATTTCTTTGACTTTTCTGATGGCCAATCCTTAAAATCCTGTCAAATTGCCATGGTTTATGTATATGGTCACCTCAGTTGATATAATGTCGTAATTTGTTACATTGATTATCAGATATATGGCAATTAACATAACTTTGGACAATCTTTCCAATGATATATCACACTAAATACCATACATTTTGGTTTTGACTGTAAAGGGGAGGAACACGACTTAATTACTTGCCACCCTGTATATACAATTCTGTGAAATTCACTCCCCTTGAAGTAGCCTAGTGGGTCAATTTCACCACAAGGTGAACTTTAGCTGAGATTTCACATACAAGGGATATGTATTTCGAAAGAACCTACTACCAGGACGACAAAAAAATACAATATCAAATCACATTTTTTATTCATATATTTAAAGAATAAAGATTGAAAAGAGATTCTCAAATGTATGGTATAACTTTCACTAAAAACTTTACTGGTCATAAATCATGCCCGTAGCCAGCTTCTGGTAAGGGGGAGGGGGTGTGGGGGCTCTAACCCCCATGCCCACACATAAATCTTTTCCATGCTAAACCTATTTTAAACAAGACACTAGGGACGATCCTGAGAATGCTGAGGAGAGGGGCCCAAAAATTCCGCACTTGCATGAAAAAACTTTTGGCCTAAATTTTAAAAAATAATGCCCAGTTATATTACCTAGTTTATGTGTGGAAGAGCAGATTTTGGGCCCAAAAATTAGAATTAGAGAGTTAATCCTTAAAGAAAGCAAAAAGGGGGTGCCCCCGCTATGGGCCTGTATAGTTGTAATAAATCATAGAACTGAGAATACATGCCCCATTATAGACCAGTAAATCAGTTGTTCTAGTTATTGTGACATCACATATTATGTTAGAATACTAATTATTTAATATTCATGTTACTTATACAGGTATACAATGATTGGCATTATTGGTTTGGACAATATCCAAGAGCTGCTGGAAAAAACGATTCAAGACAGCGTCCCTGGCGATTTCCTGGAGGCGGGAGTTTGGAGAGGTGGCGCTAGTATGTTTGCAAAGGCAGTAATGAATTCTTACAACCAACAAAATCGCCACACTTGGGTTTGCGACTCCTTTGAAGGACTTCCACCAGCAACTCAGAAAAATGATTTAGATTTCTGGTCGAAAATAAAAGCTCTAGCCGTCAGTAAAGAAATTGTCAGGGGACATTTCGAGGAATTTTTCTTACTTGATGAAATGGTACATTTTATACAGGGATATTTTGTTTACTCATTACCATGTTTGAGACAAACCCTCAAGGAAAAAGATAACAAAATAGCTGTTCTTAGAGCAGATGGAGATATGTATGAAAGTTTGATGGATATCTTATTTAATCTTTATGAGTTTGTTCCTGTCGGAGGGTATATCATTATTGATGATTGGGGAATTCAAGTTGCTAAAAAAGCAGTTCAAGAATTCAGGGAAATGCATGACATAAAGTCAACAATTTTTCCATTCCGTGGTATATCTATGTACTGGAGAGTGGAATCAAAGATTCCTGTAAAGTACAGCTGGTATGAAGAATTCGTGAAAACCAGGAAACTTGATGCATCAAAGAAGCAATGTTAGTGCATGTGTGCCTTGATATATCAAAGAAGCAATATGCTAATATGTATACATGCATGAACCTTGATACATCAAACAAGCAATGTAAGTACTTTGTAACTTGATGCATCAAAGAAGCAATGTTAGTGCATGTGTACCTTGATATATCAAAGAAGCAATACTCATACATGACTGACCATGTCCCGGCATCTAAAAACAGTCTAGTTACTACTTCACTCCAAACAATAATATTCATAGACATGAGACTAGACATCAGTTCAAACTCAGATCAGCAGCTTTCAGAATAAACATTTGCAAATATTCAATTAACAAGCAAGGACCAGATAGGATGAAATAAATTACCTGATGAGATTACAAAATAAAATTCGGTTACTCTTTACAAGAAAAAGTCAAGTCATTTTTGATCAATCAATGATAATAATCCCCAATTACATATACTACATTTGTTTATTGTTGTTGTTGTTGTTGTTGTTGTTATTCGGAGTCATCTAATTGGCAAGGCCAACATTCATTTATTTATTTACATGCACTTTTTAAGCACTGCAAATTTTGCTCAGAGACATAAACTGGTAACCCAGTTTTTTACTTTACATATTGTTTAGGCCATGTTGGGGGTGGAGGAGGTGGGGCGGGAGTGCGAGGTTGGAGATAAATTATATACACGTTTCTGCTTATTTGTCATGTTCATCTTCTTTGTGTGGATAATATGCACACTAGGGTGTCATCCACTTTATCTGTATTTTTCACCAGATGTTTGAAAATAAATGAAATGAAAATAGATCTGCAAGTGAGCATTGCAATAAATCGACCTTGATGCATCAAAAAAGCAATAACAGTGCAAAAAAAAACATCGAAAAAGCAAAGCTAGTCAAGATCCTTCATTAAAGGCCCCATCTAAAGTTTAAACCACTTTGGCTTATATTGTAGTCTTACCCAATGTTATCAAAGTGTGATATGTGAAACTTTTTTTTTAAATTTCAAAAAGTGGTTTTTGATAGACTTTTTGTTCCAAAATTTGTGAATTTATTTAAAACCAACTTTTAGAGGTCACTCATATCTTCTAATTAGCCACAATTCATACCAATGCATAGCATTCATCCTCCCATGTTTTTTGCCGCAAAAAATTAAGAAAATCGGTTCATAAATGAGCGAGAAATGAACTTATCAGTGCATGAAAATGGTTCTGAGAAAAATGCATTCCAAAATTTTAGTTCTCATAGAAACCAATGGTACAATGATATCTAAAACATAATTTATTCTTCCTTTTAACCTGGTGAGACAATCAACATTGGTTTTTATGAAAGTCTAACATATTTAGAAAAGATTGACATCGAAAAAAAAATTTCAATTTTTTTAAAAAAGTTTTTGGTACCTTAGTGACATCACTAATGTTTCAAAATATTTTTGATATGTTAAAACATTGAAGTGGCCCATTAAATATGGCATTTTATTATTGAAATAGTGTGTCCTTTGTTCAACCTTTGCATTGGTGTTAAAAAGATAATCTTTTTTGAAATGCATTAAGAAATATTTGATGATTAAGAAATTTCAACTTTTTTTTAAAAATGGTGGGAAATTTGAATATTTGAGAAATGAAATGCTCACAACTTTTTTTTCAAATTTTTTTTTTTTTTTTTCAAAAATCTCTAAAATCACTTTTTAAGTCCTGACAAATAGTAAATGAATGATAAAAAAATATTTTCAAACTTTAGACGGGGACTTTAAGTAAAGCTAAGTATGGTTAGTGGAATGAACTATGCAACTCCCGAGCAAATGTTGGCTACAGATGTTGCATAATAAAGATATTATGGCAAAATTAGTTTTGTTTATTGAATAACCTGTACATATGCTTCTTGATGCATTAAGGAAGCAACTACTAGTCCATGTGTATCTAAATAAACCAAGGTAGCATGGATTTACCAAAAAAGCAAAACTAGTCCATATGTACATTAATAAACCAAGGTAGCAATACTATCATATATAAACCTTGATTTATCAAAGAAGCAACTACTAGTCCATATACACATTAATAAACCAAGGTACATGTAGCAATACTATCATATATAAACCTTGATTTATCAAAGAAGAAACTACTAGTCCATATGTACCTTAATATACCAAAGTAGCAATACTATCATATATAAACCTTGATTTATCAAAGAGGCAACTACTAGTTCATATGTACATTAATAAACCAAGGTAGCAATACTATATATCATATATAAACCTTGATTTATCAAAGAAGCAACTACTAGTCCATATGTACATTAATAAACCAATGTAGCAATACTATCATATAAACCGACACCCATCAGCCCACCTGCCAAATCACCCATCAGCCCACCCGCCAAATCACCCATCAGCCCACCCGCCAAATCACCCATCAGCCCACCCGCCAAATCACCCATCAGAGCAAGACGACAATAATAAAGCACTTTTCAATGTGTAAAGTGTGAAAAAAAGCAATGCTACTAACATTGTATCTTTGATGCATCAAGGCCCACCTCTGTACCTTAGTGTATGCATACACAGCCAATATAATTCGGCGCTCGGCATCGAAAAAATTCAGCGCTGTTCCGGCACAGTTTCGACTCCGTTCCAGCACTGGACTAGTCAGTCCATTTGGTGCCGAAACGGCACCGAAATTTGGCACCAAAACAGCGTTGAAAATCAGATTGCATTTTGGGGGTGTATATCAGACTAGCACTGCTAGTGAACCTTGATGTACTGAAGAAGCACTATATCCTATTCCTTGCTATAATTGCCTTCTAAGGCCGCACACACACATCTAGAACTTAAAATATCTACAGGAAGCCCCCTCTACCACAGTCCGAGATAAATAAAATGAGCTTAAAATGAAGAATGTTAAACTATAACTTAGTAATATGTCCATGCTTTAGTTCTTGCACTCACCACTAGATGGGGCTGGTCCTAAAAGTCAAGGTCAATCAAATGATGGTTAACAATGTAAATATTCCATAATTTTGAGCGAAATAAACACATTGTTTTATGTTATATTATATGAACATGTTTTGTGTAAATTAAATGCATTTTGCCCAAAGAAAGAGCAATTTAAGTGAAAATTAAGTGGTCGAGTTGTCTCAGTACTCAAGATTTGTCAGTAAAATATGTTGCATGGTGTAAAAAAAATATGTTAAATATCATAGAAAATCCATATGGATTATAGATTATATAAATAAGAGTTGATCTTTCTTATTAGCTTTGACTAAACAAACAGTGGCGTATCTATGATTTTTAGATGAAGAGAAATCACTTTTACCATCAAGTATGCTCTTGTATTAATTCATTCAAAAATACAAATCCAGAAAAAAGTTGACTATTTTATGATATTTGCCAAAAGGCCTACAGGGAAATTATTGCGTGGTGGAAACATTTTCAGTCTAATAATTAAATAGCAATAATTATAAGAAAAAAAATTCAATTAATTAATTTTACATTATACAGTGTACATGTATAAATGGGTATTTATTTTGTCAAGTTCAAATTGTGGCAACAATAATGGTCGGTTAATAGGTTGTGGTTGTTCTGAATCTTTCAGTTAATAAGTGAGAGACATCGTTATCATTTTCTTCCGATTAATATAATGATAGTTGTATAACTATTCGAATCTTTATAATGCACTCATATTAGCACAGTAAAAATGTAACTTACTGGGAAAGATCGGCCAGGCACACATTTCATATCAAAGATCATCCAACCATCAGACCTTAAAATAAAAGGATGGACTCTAAAGAGCCTATATTTGGACAACTGATTTCAAATAAAATGATTTGCTTAATGAGAGCCTCTATCAAGAGTGGCTTACGCAGGATATATGGCTGTATATGTACATGTATATGAATGTGAAAGTGCTATGGCAGCCAAAGGATTGCTATTGGCTGGAGAAATATTACACTGTATGATGACTGTTGCCATGATCTTTATTGAGAGAATTGATTTTTTACTAAAAGTCCCATACATATAAGAAGCTGGCTCCCTAAATACAAGGTAAAAAGAACAAATTTAAGAAAATGACATAATTGCAATATAATGAATGAATTATGAAACTTAAGATGTACAAAACAAACCTGCTTATTACTGGTAACATAGCCTTCGACAACCCTCCAGGAATATCATCACACATGGCTAGCAGCTGTAAAAGTGAATTGAAAACCCCACCCTGTAGGTCACTCAATGTTCCAGTAATGCAGTCACTACCAGGGCAGTCTTCTTTGAGACACCCTGTATACTTAGGGCGTGTCTGGGCAGGCTTCGAGTTTAATTCTAGAGAGTTTTCTAAGCACTGCATGGCTAAGAGTATTGTCAATGTGAAGTCTTTCATCAGTAATGCCTGAAACAAAGAATTTTTCAACATGCCTTATCTTAGTTTTGTAGAATCTTACAGTCTCTATATAATCTATAAGCTGTAATTACACCTACATAACTTCAAAATCAAAAAAAAAAAAATTAGAAAAGGGTATCCTGATACCTGAAGGGTGAGAACCCAGTTAGGCTCTGGCTGAGCAGCTAGAAGTTTGACCTGGAGATACACTGCTGTTGTAGTTTGTATGTCATCGTACCTGGAAGAGCAATCAAAATACATGAGAACAGCAATCAATTTGTATTAGAAAGCAATAAACAGCAATCATCAGTCAATAGAACAGTATTCAACATACAGTTAAACCTGTCTTAGTTAACACCACTCTCTAGTGAACACCAACAGGCATAAGCATATCAACCAAAAGGCATCAGTCAATAGAACCTGTCTTAGTTAACACCACACTCTAGTGAACACCTGTGTCTTCTGAACACCTTTTCTCAGCACATACTCCACTGAGTGCTGTATAAAATTGCCTCTCTGTAGAGAACACCTCCCTACAGTGAACACAATTTTGCGGCTCCATATATGTTCACACAGAGTTTACTATACATAAAACACCAACAGACATAAGCACAGCAAAGGCATGGCATCAGTTACAAGAAATCAGTTACCATTAAGCAGCAATTCATTACCAGTGAACAGCAATTAGTTACCATGAAACAGCAATTAATTACCAGTGAACAGCAATACGTTACCATGAAACAGCAATTCATTGCCAGTAAACAGCAATTAGTTACCATGAAGCAACAATTCATTAGCAGTAAACAGTGATAAGCTACCACAAAACAGCAATTCATTGCCAGTGAACAGCAATAAGTAACCATGAAACATCAACTCATTGCCAGTGCACAGAAATTAGTTACCATGAAACAGCAATTCATTAGCAGTAAGCAGCAATAAGTTACCATGACACAGCAATTCATTACCAGTGCACAGCAATAAGTACCATAAAACAGCAATTCATTAGCAGTAAACAGCAATAAGTTACCATGAAACAGCAATTCATTACCAGTGCACAGCAATAAGTACCATAAAACAGCAATTCATTAGCAGTAGACAGCAGTAAGTTACCATGAAACAGCAATTCATTACCAGCAATCAACAGGTAACAAAAGATATAACAGCAATCAACCGTAATATAGATATTTAGCATTGTACTTACACTTTCTCATGGCTATTAAAGAGGGCAGGCCGTATCCAATGCAACCATTCAGTGACAGGGCTGCTGTTTTCAATTGTGTCGCCATGGTGACGCTTTTTCTTCCGAAGGAAACCTTTCTTGAATATCCTAGAATTCCGAAAAATATATGAATACAGATGGAACAGTTCAATTCAAAAGACAACCTTGTGTTGGTGAAGATTTACCAGAAACATTTGAAAATGTAAACTAATTTGAATGAGCAGAAAAGGATGCCCCAGCCATGGAGGAAATCCTCAAGTAAGATTTGATTTAGTTTGAAGAAAGGGTTATACTCCCAAGTATGTGAGAAGAAGCTTTTACAAAATGAGCATAGCATTCTGATTTTATTGTGCTCTATTGTGTTTGGTTAAAGTTAAAGCACTCGATTCATGTTCTCATTGTCCTCATATAAAATTGAGGTACACCACCTAATTAAAAGGTAAAGACCCCATCACCATGGCTTCTTCATAAATGGCACTTCACTTTATGGGTTAAAAGGATAATTATGCCCATAACAAATTGCTTTCAACAATCACAATTTTGTTATCTAATTTTCAAAAGAAAATTTATATTAATCATGTACAATGCACTTTTTTCTGCATAGGGTGCTTATTGTACTGTTTGTCTTAAACTTTTCCTCAGAAAGCTGACTTACTTGTATATCTGGTCCAGGGGGCTAGCCACAACAGCCACAGCTGCCAGTAGACTTAAACATATGCTGTGAATTCCATAAAATAGTGTCTCTTGTATATAACTAACTTACTTGTATATAGCTCACTTACTTGTATATAACTGCTTTACTTGTATATAGCTGACTTACTTGTATATCTGGTCCAGAGGGCTAGCCACAACAGCCACAGCTGCCAGTAGACTTAAACATATGCTGTGAATTCCATAAAATAGTGTTTCTTGTATATAACTGACTTACTTGTGTATAGCTCACTTACTTGTATATAGCTCACTTACTTGTATATCTGGTCCAGAGGGCTAGCCACAACAGCCACAGCTGCCAGTAGACTTAAACATATGCTGTGTATTCCATAAAATAGTGTCTCTTGTATATAACTGACTTACTTGTATATAACTGACTTACTTGTATATAACTGCTTTACTTGTATATAGCTGACTTCAGCGTTTTATTTAGTGTTACAAAAAAGTGGGTCCAGTGGACCCCACATTAAAAAAAATGGAGTCCAAACCAAAAAAAGTGGGTCCGAAAAATAAAAGGCCTGAAACTAATTAAAAATGAAAAAAATTGGATAATGCAAATTCAAGTTCTCTTTTTTTCTAAAGTAACACAAATATAAGGCATTTTTGTCTTTTTTACCATGTCTTATGGAGTGATTTTATATTTACTAAACTTACAACTACATAAACATAGCGTGCGGCGCAAACTAGGGGGGGGGGGCATGCCCCCTCAGACAATTTTGAAATTTAGACCCTCTCTGGTGCATTGCATTCTGAGCATATCTCAGCCAAAATTTCCTATGATAATATTTAAAATACATAATTGATTGCAATTAATTTTTTTCTTAATTACTTTGTTTTTCAATGTTGCCCCTTGTTCCTCCTCACTCTGATGTAAATTAATAAACTCAATATTCCTTTCTGACACATTATCAATCTCAATGAAATATAAAGATCAAAACATTCAATAGGCCTAGTTCATGTAGTTTGATATGTATTTTTGACTTGTTATATTTTATTTGTTTTCAAATGTTGCCCTTTGTGCTTCCTCACTATGATGTAAGATAATGCCAAAAAGATCAATTGTATTATTAAACAGTTTGTTACCAAGTTTATGTGTAATTGTAAATAATGGTATCCATTGAAAGATGGCAGGACAGTGATAAAGGTTTTTTGCTACAGACCCATTAATCTCAAAGCAATGATGTTTTGGTTTTAGAGGTCAATCAAAATGGTTGCCGAATTACAGTAAGATAATTATCTCAGTGTTTCTCTAAAACACTGCTGATTATCTGCCTATTAAACTTAGATTTTGTCTTCACAAGGTAGGCCAATTTATATTCTTTCATTTGATATGTTTAACTAAATTGAAAGCCGGAGATTTTCGTCTGAAAGCCGGAGAATCCCTGAATATGGCGGATTATTTTGAAACAAATATTTTTAAATTTTGTACAAAACGTCTCATAAAACCTAAATTCAGAGGATAAATAAGCTGCTCTGGGGTAAAAACGTTTCTACTACTGTTTGAGTGTTCTGAGAGGTAAGATTTTTGGAAATTGCTGTGGAAATAAAGTGCGTCCAAGGGACTCGGGAGTTTTTTATTTTTCCGTCCAACATTATTTTTTGGGGTCCATCTAATGTAAGGACGGCGTTAAATAAAACGTAGCTTACTTGTATATCTGGTCCAGAGGGCTAGCCACAACAGCCACAGCTGCCAGTAGACTTAAACATATGCTGTGTATTCCATAAAATAGTGTCTCATTGGTACATGCATCAATGTATTTCCCTATACTGTTACAGCCTGACATCAATAATTCTGATGTGCAGAGTAGAATAGCTGTGATGTCAACTCTGAAACAAAATGGTGTCAATTCTGATATATAATGTCAATTCTGAAATGAGGTTCCTGTGGTTAATGTTGGATAGTATTATCACCACAGAAACACATGAGATGTTAGTATAGTACAGTATAGCATAGCACTGCAAAGTATAGCCTAGCATAGCATAGAATAGCACTGCATAGCATAGGATAGCACTACATTATAGCATAGCACTGCACAGTATAGCATAGAATAGCACTGCATTATAGCATAGCACTGCACAGTATAGCACAGAGCATAGTACATGAAGAGCATAGTACATGCATATGGGCCATACTTTTCAAAAGGTTCTCAACATAGTTTGAAAGGACTAGCTAAAATGATTTATATATAAAGGTCACACGTTGAGAGAAATGTATTCCATCAATATGTTTTCATTATGAAATGCTTATACCAAAACTTTAATTAGAGTTTGAAATTCACAGTCTCAAACACGACTTTTTTTTATTAATTGCATTCAGAGACCCGAAGGAAGTGAATATTCATACTCACCGAAATTGAGTGGTACGCTTATATGATGGCTTACACCTGATGTAGCGCTTTGACAGATGGGAGAGAGAATCGTGAAGGACAGAGACAAAAAGATTCTGGCTCAGCTTTGGGGGACAAAACCGCCATAAGTCATGTCGGAGTCTCACCATATGGAGATGCCACATTTGTATTGTGAAATTACATCTCTCGCTCTGGAATAACATACAAAATTAGTTAAGTTTAGATTGATGTTTCTCAAAAATTAAGACGAAGATTAAAATTCCTAAAATCATGTTCTATAGTTTATCTCTGCTATGTGTAATGTGTTGTGTAAAACCTCCTTAACCTTCATTGTGTTAATGTATATGTGATGTGTCATGGCCATAAGAGCCAATCATATTTGAAATAGAAATTCACTTCGTAAACCCACATGGTTGTCTGTGTTCCAAATACATTTCACTATGATCACACAAACATTTTTAAAGCGAGCTAACTGCTAACTTCAGTCGCACATTCTAGCCATTCAGTACCTCATAAAATTCCTTAGTATCGCTCCAATAGTTGCCTTCTGCATCATGAAATATAGAGGTCACTAGCGCATTCACATGGTAGTCAGCGATCTGTTGGGATAAAACATCTACCTGCTCACAAAATTGTCTGTACAGCAATGGAAATACTTTCTTGCTGAAAAATTCAAAAATATTTAAACTTGAATACCATATGGCAACTCCTCCTACTCTTTTTTGTGAATTTCCTAATGGAAATAACGGGACAATGGTAGTGTTTTACGTTGCAAAAACTATGGAAGTAATATTTAACTCAAAGATTAACTCAAAAATGTCTTTAAATGAAAACTTTTAAGTTTGACTCAGACAGTAAATATTTTGGATGGGATGCATACTGCAAAAGGTGCTCACTCGGCTGAGCCTGACCTTGCATCCGGCAGACATATCGGTTATTTAGGGGAAGTGCATCAGAACTTTAGAAAGTTTCTCCATCAAGTAATTGGAGCAATTTTAGCGTCACATACGTTTTTCTAAGCAACTCATATTTCTTGATTTCCAAGGATGCCACAAGCAGCAGCTCCCACACTCAAATTAATAGATACATTCATAGATTTACTAATATACTATAATATGCCATGTATATTGTAAAATCTACATGACAATGCCACTGGTGATTGGGTCGATCAAGTACAACTTACATGAATTAATGGAAATGGATATATTTGATTTGCCAACCCCAGAAACATAGGATACCATATCTCTTACCTGCTATCATCAGAAGCTAGGATGCTGTCTATGGAGTACAGGTGGTTGCGAATATATGCGGCACTACACAAACTCAAGTACAGGGTGTTCAGAGAATGTGAACTTGGTACATTTCCCGACAGCTGAGAAATAAGAAAAATAATATTTGAATTTTTTATTTATTTACTTACTCACTCTAAATTAGTAAACAAACATTCCCACGAATGAAACAGCAAGGGAACATTTTATTTTATCACTGCACTGTATTTTAGTTTAAATTTTAATTTTTTTTATTTATTTATTTCAAACAGAGAGTAACAAGTTTTTGATTTCATAGATTCTAGCCATGCAGGTTGACTTCCAGCTGTATGGATAATATCCCAACATGGGATCATTCACCCATTCAATGATCTGAACTTTTGAAATTTTGAAGTTTCTTACCTTTGATAACTTCATACTGTAGTTGCGGAGATTTAGTACAACTGTATCAATATAGGTGGAGCGCACAACATGGAACGGAGTCAGGTTCCCAACTTTGACCAATGGGAGCAGTTTTAATATTGATGAAACAATATTTTTTGCACTCTGGAGGAAAAAGAAAGAAAATGCTTCTGAATGCCAGTCTTCGATATATCTTTGGATTATTTTCAGTAAAATATCCTCATACATGGTAGAATCTTTAAGAAGATTTCCCCTAAAATGTGGTAAATCTGAGTAAAAAATAGTATGATTTCTACCTGAATTTAGGAAACAGTATGTTGAAATAGACTTTAACTTGTAACCACATCTTTCAATATATATTATCACAGATTTTTCAATATTTTGTTTTTTGTTTATCTTAAAAAGCACAAAAAGACCTTTCAAATGAGCCATGACTTATGACTTAACGATTTTTCCTTGCATATATAGACCAAAAAGTCAGATTTTAATTTAGCACATTTTCCTCTTGATCTTGGGCACATTTTTGGCTCTGTAGCACAATTTTAATTTTTGCGATAAGACCTGTTTTCCTATGGCCAGGCTCATATATTGACACAACATACGCTCTGAGTCATATGCCATTTCTACTGTTTATTTGACTTATTCTTAAATCAAATGAATTGAGTTTGCAATAAATTGCTAAAAACTTTACTCATGAGGGTACCAAAAAATTAGTTTCAATTATTTATAAACATGTACCTTGAATGTATATTTTGGGAAATCCAACCTTCCACCAATCACATCTTGGCAAAGCTCGATACTTTCGGGCTCAAGTCTATCTTTCAAACAGAGGTCAAGGTCATCAATGGCTTTACCACACACTTCTCGGATCTCAGATTCAACTGCTTTCGCAATCTGAGGGATGAGAGGTTTAAAAACTTCCCGCCAGTCCCATTTAGCTGTATCTTCTGGTCGCCCCTTTTCAACAACTTAAAAAATAGCATGATCTTAGGCGGAGGTTTTTTTTAATGAGATATTATGTCCAGTCAATAGATGTCAGTATTGAACCTATATATGTGACACTAACTTCCATGAATTATCTATGTGTACTTTACACTATTCTTATTATACCTCCAGACTTATTCTGGTAATTAAAGGCCCAGTCACATTTGCTCTATGGCGGGCATATGGCCACCATAGCTCCACAAAATCGATATAGAAAATCTACATCATACTGCTTATCCCTATATTTTATGCTATATATTTCTCTCGGTTTTGGGAAGCTAATTGGCCACCATACGGTTGCCTCTATAAGTCAAATGTGACTGAGGCATAAGGCAACAACAAGGTACACATTTAACACATTATTGGATTAAAAGTGGCCAAACTTTAAATTGTCCGCCAGTCTGAAAAAGATTACAATAGAAGAATTTTTTGATTGAAATGACTCAACTTTGACAAAAAAAGGCACCATACCATGGGCTCACAGAGTTGCATCTATTTATTGTAAAAAACAAATATTTCAACAAAAATAGATGCTGGGACCAATGGTTCAGATTACCAGTAGGGAACCCAATAATTGATATGAGCTGTATAAGTTTGGACAATTACCCAAATGCGAGTAGGTAGTTACCAGTTTCACCACCAGGTGGCTGACTCGGGTCAGTTAACATGGCAGGTATATAAGAAAGTTCCCTTAAACTTGAATATTATCAATTTAAGTGGCTCAATTTTCATATAACCCTTATGTGTCTAATACTTATACTAATGAAAATATGTCCAGTAAAGCAAAACATTATCTGTCCACTAAAAGGAAAGATATTTCATTTTTTGTGATTTTATAGCATGGGGTCTATGGGGAATCTCCCCGAGCTAGAAGTCACATTTTCAAAGAAAAGTAATTTTTCAAAGTTGATAAACACTTTTTAAAACCACATTTCTAGATGTAATTTTACATGTAGATTTCAAATATGATATTACTTTGACTGAATTTTGAATTTTTAATGACGTAAATCAAGATTATTTCTACTCGCATCTGGGTTATTAGGCATTTTCATTTCTCCGAAAACTGACAGACTGATGGCAAATGGGATTCTCTGGAGGTTCAACATGTAGATTAAGACCAACATACTCACCTCTAACTAATGATGAATGATCTGACATCATATGTTGCGTCACACCAAAAGGAGGTGGTATATCAAAGGAACCATTCAACGATGTATTGTTGGAAAGTGTACTCATTGGGGACGGATCACGCCTAGGCTTTAACACACCTGTAAGATTGAACAAAAAATTTAAAAAACTCAATTTTGTAACACATAGTCTGGAAAGAAGAGCTTACTTAAAATAGGAAGTGTGAATCTTATATACAGGGTCGCCCTTAACATATCGCATATTTGAAACAGACCATAGCCACAAATAGGCGAGGCTAATTTAAAGAGGTGAGGCAAAAAAATCTTTAAAAAAATATCCTTGTGTAATTTTACCTGTCTCGGCTATATCAGCTAATTATTTGATATAATTCAATGTAACGCTGATTACCAGGACTAGTCCATGCTAAATTGCACTCAGGGTATACCTGTAGTATATGTACTGTATTTATACACTGGTAAAAGATAGCTCCATACAGTAGCATAGGAGCAGTGATTTGATGAGTGAGTTTATTGGTTTGACATCATTTTGTTGATTAAGGATTTTAGCACTGGACTCAATGTATTGTGGACTGAGCATTCCTCAAAATGGTGTTGTTTAAACCTTTGAACGAGATTCGCAGAAACAAGTGTAATGTTTTGGAAAAAAGGCCTGCATCTGCAACAATGTATTGAATCTTGGGCTTAAATTCTTTTCACACATTGCTAAATAGTATTTTTTTAAAAAAACACCTAAAAGATACAAAATCACAAAAAGGAAATATTTTCAAGGAATTCAACATTTCACAAAGATCCAGTCGGCAAACTCTTAATTTCAATTAATTTCAATTGTAGAATCAAGTTATTACCTAACATACCATTCAACAAATGACTTTGGATGGAATTGTTGGTTATATAATGCAATGCAGTTATATGAAATAGCATGTTCGGATTGGCTGGAATCAGATACACCTTGCCTAGCCATGTGTGATAGTAAATCTACAAGAAATGTTTGTTATTCTTTGAGAGCTGTGCAACAGGCAACACATGCAACAAACAAGCCATGCAACAAACAAGCCATGTAACAAACAAGCCATGCAACAGGCAACACATACAACAACGATCTTTGGAAAAAACTATCTACATAAAAATGACAACAGGAAGACAGGCAATCCATACAAAACCAAAGAACAGGCAATCTACGAAACATAAGAAATAAAACATGCGTGCAGATTGTTAGTTCACAGTTTACTCACCAGGCCCAAATAGGGCGCCACTTGTATTGGTCACATGACCACTGACATCACATATATCCTCAGATAATATGGAATCTTTGCTATCTAAAGCTTTCCTTATGCCTACATATACATACAGAGCACATAAATGTCTCGAAGTGTAATATTGATAGCTACATAGATGAAATTGTGACTATAATCATTGACTTGAAGATAGGGATCATGTTCTAGATCCTAGGATCAAGAACCACATCCATGAGATTAAATTCAATATCATGGGATAACAATGACTAGATCATAGATCTGAAGATCAAATCCATGAGATCAAATTCAAAATCATATGATCTACACCCAAATCTATGAAATCAAGTATCAGATCCTAGGATCAAGGACCAGATCTATTAGATCTAATGAATCAGGTCAAGATTGATAACAACATCAAGCTCAACTAAATACATAAGTACAGTATGTAAATAAAGAACTAAATATTACAAATACTGAAATAGTCTAATTAAAAAGTACAGAACTAGTGCACTACAAATACATTCTGATAGCATTACTAAATGAAAGGTAACGGATTTTTTAAAATCATATCATATAATAAAGTTATGAAAACATTATGGCATACCTTTTAAGTTCGCTTTCGACGGAGCATTTACATGAGAAGATGTAACATCCCAACTCACTGTGTGCTTAAGATGTGAAATTTGCACTTCGATGTCTCGCATCCTGCTCACAATTTTACACAGCCCCGGGAGATATTTCTTAAGGAAACTTTCAATGCCACCGCTGTCACCAGATTTTGTTAACAGACTATCTAAACTGTTTGATATGCCCTTTCTGAGGTAACCAAATTTAAATTTTCCTTTTGGTGCCTCTACACTGTCTGATTTGGGAATACCAGGAGGTCCAGACAGGTTGATTTTTGCTAATTCATCTTCGACTGTTTCGACAATCGTTCCAAGTTCATCTGTGAGATTCGTTAAATAAATTTCATGAATTGCACTAAATGGTTGGACGGTTTTCTTGAATACCCCGCTAATAAGTAGGTCAAAATCTGTTTGAATTTCTACCAAAATTGCACCTGCAATATCTGGAAATTTTTCAGCTATCTGGGAAAATGTAACATTGTCTTCAAGTTGAGTATGACTGAAGTTTTGAGTAAATATATTTGATAGCTGTTTTAATCGTAAACTTTTGTAACGTGACCATATTTCCTCATGGGGACATAAGGCACATAAACTTTGCACATATTCGAGACGTTCCTGCAATGTGATTTTTGATTTAATTTCATCGTTACGTAAATCACAATGGAGTTTCTCAATGAAATATCGTCGTAATTTCATTGTTAGCTCTTCCCATAGGGATTCATTAACTTGTTCACCAGAATCTGTAACAAGATTCAATGACGCTAACGAATCAGTCACATGATCTGTAATAGACGATCTGATTGGTAGAGACACACCTTCTTTTTCAGAGAGCTCTAGCAAGCTCTGTAGCACTTCATTCTCGCTACCTGGATTTTTCTCAAGGATGTGTAACTGAAAAATAAACAGAAAAATTATTAAATTTTTCAAAAATTCAACATTCTCTCTTTTCTAAAGAAATTCACTCATTTACTTCCTTCTCACTGATGATACAAACTTTGTTCGTCCACTGACATAAGTTACTTGATAGCAAACTACATGGTCTTTATTACGAGGGACCAACAACAGAGAACCCTTACTTTCAGCAAACAGCCCAAAATGCCTTAAAATTATTAACATCCAAAATCTGTTATGAACCATTTCTTTACCAGATTCCGTAGGAGACGAGTAATATCTTCTGATTCTGGATCGTAACAAGAAGTCTTTTCCATCAAATTGCCCTGCGTCATGAAATGAATCATATCCGTAGGCTCCTCGAAGCCAGATCTCATCCCAGGCACTTTATTGGTCAATCTAAATATTTCCGTCACACAATCTTCTAGCCTGTAGAAATAAAATTTTTGTTGATTCAACAAGTGTTTCAACTTTCCAATAGCAAAATAAAAAAATCAAGCTCTTGCGCTCTTCATAAAAAAACTCGACCAATAACATTAATTTTGCCCACCCTATACTTGTTCTTCATGATGGTTCTCATTAGTCCATAAAAAAATGTCAAAAACTCATCTAAGACTTTGAATATTTTTACACTGACTATATTTACTTTATCTTGTTTACTTGACTTTTGTGACTTGCTCTAATGGAATTGTTATGACTATACGTTATCCCACCAATAAAATAATAATTCCTTTTGCACAATCCTCTCAATGATGTTAGTGTTTATCTATTAATCTGTTAAGTCAAATACTCTTTGTCAAAAGTTTAATCAGGCTTTAAAGATATATTAACCTAAGAGTTTTTAAAATGAATAAGTTGACACAGATTGATTGAAACAAAAATGTTTTAGCAAATTAAATTTCAAAACTGAAAACACCTACTCATTGGCATTTTGCTCAAGTTGTTCATCCAAGGATGCGATGAAGGTTTCCATGGCATCCATACTTGGCATAGCGCCACCTAGGAACATTGCCGACATCTTGGACTGTTCCAACGTCATAGTGGGATGCTTAGCAATACATGACAGCACGCTAAAAATAAAGAAGCATTTGGTTCACCCATCACTGCTTATTTCTAAAGAGTGATTTGATTTCAGTTGAGCAGTTTAGATTTTAATTTGATGACCACAACATTGGAAGTAAAGGGTAATATTTAACAGCATCAAAATCATGCAGTCCTAACTTCAACCGTTATTTTGAATTTTTGACCTACCGGATGTTTGAAAATCAAGGATTACGAGTCTCATACTGCACCGTTTTTCTTCAAACTTAATCAATATCATAGCTTGTTATTTCACATCAAGATAAAGAAATATGTTAGGAACATGCTTACATCGATTAAAAGATTGCAATGGCTCGTTAAATTCAAAAACTAACTGGTGATAATTTGCGCAAACGAAGGTGGTACGCAAGAGATGTCAGTCATTGGTAAAGCTCTGGGGCTTTCTCTTTGGCCAGGCTTATTACATTTTACTCGAGTCTCTAGCTTACAGCTAGACGAAACTTCATTGATTTCGTATGTACTGTGCTACACGCACCTACACGCACCTAGAACTCATTTTTAATAAATTTTATAAATATTTTTAAGAATATTAATCATATTTAGGATGAAGCGTTGCTTGTCTGGATTTAGATATTTCAAAATTTCATTTCGGAGTTTTGACACATGGTGAAATTTTCTCGCTGTAGCTAAAAATGGCTTCCGGTTCTGGACGTGAATAACATTTGAAATTATTCTCGCTTAAAGAAATCAAATATAACAATAGATTCAGACGGGGATGTGAGCTGATGTTCTTCAAATCTATACATAAAGGTATATTTCATATTATTATGGCATATTTACTGTGCCTGTGACACAATGATTTACAATATTTATAATACTAAGGCAGCTCAATCTTCCTCCTCAAAGCCGGAATATAGAAGGCTTTGGACCGAAGTAAATTACATTGTACATGAAAGTAGAAACACAAATCTAAATGTTAAATTTACAAAAAGATAGTCACAATATTCCGAACAAAATGAGATCAGAATAGAAAAACAGTCTAAGCTAAAGAAAATGTAATCGTAACAACTAACCACAATCCTTCTGATCGCCCAAAATCAGTGAATATAAATAACAGAAATAAAAATGTTATTTTTCTCTAGTAACAATTTCCCACAATTCCCTCGACAGGAAATTAAAACCAAATCAATTTGAAAATATTGGAAAATATACTACAGGGACTATTATCAAGTAAAAATAAACTAAACATTTTTTCAATTATCGGGATTAGGTAGTCAGCATTTTTTCATCAGAAATCTATGATTTGAGTTATGTTTTCATCTTTTGTTTATCTGAAATTCTTTTTCAGAATGACAGGTGTTTCAAGATGGCCGCGCCCGTGAAAAATATGAACCTTTTGCATTTTCACATATTTAGGCTGATATCTTCGAAGCTGAATCTAAGATATTGTTTATTTTTATAGCAATGTTTCGTACTTTATATACTTATTTGAATAATCATGGAAATTGACGCTGTCTTCAAGGAAATTGGAGAATTCGGACCGTTTCAATTAAAAGTTTTCTTATCATTGGGACTTGTGCAAATTCCTCTAGCATTTCAGCAAATGCAAAATGTATTTGTTGGAGCTGACCAAGAATTTTATTGTAAAACATTTGATGGGGAATTGGTTAAAGGTTGTTTGGTAGAAAATAATGGAGATTCAATCAAGAAGTGCTCTTCGTACATCTACAACAGTAGTTTCTCGTCAACAGTTTCACAAGTAAGTCACTGAGTGTTACGTAATGTGTTGTCACCAGAATAGATGTACCTGTACAGGGGCGGATCCAGAAACCAACAAAGGAGAGGGCCCATATTTGAAGTTTGGAAAAAAGTGGCCCAAATTAAAAAATATAATTATAAGGCCCATTTTCCTGATAATTTGGCCTAAAATTAAAAATAAGGCCTCCACCCATTTTTGTCCAAAAAGGTTCATTTAATGGGCCTTTAAAAAAGATATGGGCTCAAAAAATTTTTATGCCCATTTTTTTCTCTACAGTACAGTACCCGACCAACCTTTACATGTGTAACAATCCTTGCCTTCGATTATGTTTCTCCGAAGAGATTGTTATTTCTTGAATAAGTATTTTATTCACTTTCTGCTTGAATTTTTAACTTACTATTTGATGCAGAGATTTTCTGGCTCCATTTACGTTAATATATATTCTAGGAGACAGAGGATCGCTACTTCAGATCGTATGTGTTAACGTATGGTGCTTTTTGTACTCACTTGAGCTGTAATTACTTTGATATTAGGCCGAATTGACATTCTTCGACACAATTTTTCCGATACAGCTGGTGGCCATATTTGTTTTTGTTTTCCTCTCGCGAGTGGCGAGATTTCCGGGAAGAATTATTTATTCCCTCAATAACTTCATTCCAAAGTATTTATACCACCAAGTGTTTGGGTTCAATTAGCTTTTATTACCATTGTATTAATAATTACAGCTCAAGCTGGAGTTCGGTATCATATTATTCTTAGTTTGAATGTTATATCTGAAATGAGATTTCACGAGACTGACCTTAGATGACATAGGGGCGTAACTCTCTATGCTTTCGTTCTGAGCAGACGCAAAATTTATTTCGAGGATTTATAAGCGATTTGGAAACTATTATATTGAACAATGAAACACAACTACAATACTGCAGTGGCAAAGGTACTCATTTATAATTTTGTGGTTGCATTTTACGTTTACTTCAAGTGAAATTGTCATAACTTGAGAAGTAAGTGGACTTGGCAGATTGAGGCTGTCTGCTTGCTTTCATTTATTTTTATACAGATCTAAGTTTACGTTATTGTTAGATATTCTCAAAGTTTATATATTGATCGAGGTTTCATTTGTTTATCAGAACTTTAGATCAGTCTTTAAGTTCATTTTCCTTTAAAATCCTTATAGTTTTAAATGCTGACTTCACAGGCTGAAATGTCTTGTCAGTGGCTGAATTAGCTGAACTGGCTGAATTGTCTGAACTACTTTCTTAGTTTATTTTTGTTTACATTTTTGATGAATTCATTGATATAGTGTTGTATGTGAATTCCTATTACTTATATACATGTATCTTATTTTAATCAAAACTATATGATTTATACTCTATATTCATCTTAGTATACCTGGTGGCTAGAAATATACTTACACATAGGAGCATCCTGTAAAGCTGTCATGCACTTTACGTGAGGTCACGCTGACATATGTCACTGCGACGTTGAGGACTCTATTATGTTTGCAATTCAATCTAGCTATTGAGTAAACTATTATTTTATTTTAACGGTATTCACACATAACATTATATTCATTCATTTATGCATATTACTTAGGTTGATGACCTAACATAGCCTGTGCATAAAATCTACTTATCACATCAGCCATATTAGATGTGATTTGTCATACATTTCATATATATTAGTATATTTACATTTATTCATAACTATATATTCATAAACACATTATTTCATATTAATATTGACAAATAACATTGTTTACGCTTCAAATTCTAAATCCATTTGAAAACTTCATTTGAAATTCATATCAAGTCATTATCAGGGTCATCCCTTGCATCATTATCAAGTCAAATTCAAATTCCTAGTCTTGGGTCAATACAGTCTCAGGGTAAAACCAATAAATGTTGTTGTGATTTTTTTTATTATATCTCAGAGTTGTGCCAAAACATTTATACTTTTACATTTAGATCTTTTAATATAGTTTATATTTGTACTTTAGTAAATCTTGGTGTTATGTTACACATTCTTTAACAGGTGGTTACAGACGCATTCACTTGAAAGTATTCCCATTCAACTTCATAGCTTTTCCATACAAGATCAAAAGCTCTAGTTGCATCATAGTAAAATAGTTTCCCATACACATTCAAGATCTCTTACCGAGACTTCATGTTTCATCATCTAGTTATAAGTCCCTGTGAAATTTACAATAACAACTGTCATAAGAGCCACGCCTACCAACATTTTCAGAGACCAAAAGTGATGGTTGTTACATGTACACATGTACATGTTTTCATAGACATAATCATTTAATTGAAAGCCTAAATAATGACTTGTAAAACATCTTACTTCCCCAAAACCATGATACTAGTAATGTAAGTTGAACCAGGCCAAGGATGTAAAAGAAGTTCTCCAGATATTGTGAAGTGAGAGGATTTCTATTAAAAAAACAATATGTGTTCTGTAAATATACAATACTCGTATGCGTATACAGCACCTATGAATTAAAGCCCAAACAAATTATTTCTACAAAACATTTTCAATAGGTTTACATGATGTTCAGATACTAGGCTATTTACTGTATCCATGTTTGTCAATATAGTACAGTTCATTATATTAGTTATTGATTTATTTCCAGTGGGACCTAGTATGCAATCACGCCTACCTAAAGGATGTTGTACAATCCGTATTCATGTTTGGACTGCTAATTGGCGCTCTCACAATAGCTCCACTCTCCGACACATATGGCCGACTGAAAATACTTCACCCTTCTATGATGATCCAGTTCATCGCAGGGCTTTGCAGTTCTTTTGCTCCCACATATGCCTACTTTGTGTTTCTACGATTTTTGGTTGGGGTCTCAAATGGAGCCTTAATTGTGATATTTACCTTGCTGATGGAACACATAGGCGCCCCCTGGCGTGGATTTTGCAGTACCTTATATAGTGTGTTCTTTGCTCTTGGGATAGCATTGTTTGCACTGATGGCAAATTATGTTAGAGATTGGAGAATATTATCAGCCCTGTCAGCACTAACTTTAGTTCCATTTGTGGTACAGTTGTACTGGTAAGTGTCTTTCTGTATTGACATTTTTTGTATTTCAATTGCTTGGGTAGATGGTGACCCCTGGTCAGCCCTTACCAGTAGGGTGCTCTTAATTTTTAGGTTGGCCTCAAAGGTCAAATTTGCCTTTGCTATGTTTGGCCAAAATTATAATTTTGATCAAATGCTAAATAGGATAGTTTCTAAATAGCAGAAAAATCAATGAAATCTCGTGCTGCCATCTTTTATTCAGCTTTTAACTCTGGCTAGAGCTCCATTCACTTACATGCTAAAATCTTGGAAAAGTGGCTTAATTTCATGATTTATCAAAGTGTTTTTGTTGAATCTGTATAAAACTTGAATGATATACCACATGATGACCCTGTTTATGAACATGTTGTGATTAAACATGCTAATGTTGATTGACATACAAATAATCCACGGTTTTAAAGAATTTTAGCATTGCATCTATGGACATTTGGCCCAACTTTTTTTAAATTGTCATAGAAAATTATTCAAATTACATAACTGTGTAAATCAAAGCTATTTTAGGAGAAAACATTCCACTGAATTCAAATATACCATTTAAAAGAAGGTAATGTAAGTCATTAGAGGTCTAATATGCAAGTCTCTTAAAATCTCACGAAAAACGAGATTTAGCGAGATTTCAAAAGCTATATGGAAACTATACTATTTGATGAAAATTATGCTCAATTTCACCCCATCAATTTTCAAAAGGCTTTCAAATGCTCAACCTCATGAATATTTGTAAAGCTCATGTTGCTTTTCCCATCCTCCTAAACAGGTGTTCAGAATCCGTACCTCCTTCTTTCCCCCTGCTATTACCAATTTGGTAGCGCCCGATAACCGTACAGTAAAACCTGTGAAGTGGAACACCTCCCAAGTTGAACACTTTTAAGAGTCCAAGACCAATTGACCTAATGTTAAATGAAACTCCTCTTTAAGTGGAACACCTCTAGAAGTGGAACACTTTTCAGAGTCCCAAGACCAATTGAACTTATGTTAAATGAACCTCTATAAGTGGAACACCTCCCAAAGTGGAACACTTTGAAGAGTCCAAGACCAACTGACTTTATGTTAAATGAACCGCCTCTATAAGTGGAACACCTCACAAGTGAAACACTTTTTAGAGGTACCCAAGAAAATACAACACCAAGAAAATGCATTTTCTTTGATTTTGGGGCTCCCAGAGGGTATACACATTTTTCACCAAGTGCTTTTTTCGTAGTTTATGCATGTAGACACATATACCCTATGGGAGTAGAAGTTCTGCTCAATAGCCGATTTTCAAAATGACCGCCTTCTAGCCAAAATGTCATTAAACAGTGTGCCATGCCAATAATTAGTCTCATATCAAATATGAACAAAATCGCTCCACTACTTTTCAAGTTATAGAAAGATTGTAAAATCGTGTGTAAAAGCCGCCATTTTTCAAGATGGCTGCCATGTGTTTCTTAAATATGTACATGTCTAGCTTAATTAATGTGCTATATAACTTTTTTACTTTTAAAACTCATTGCTATTACAGTTTTATATACTGTACCTCAATGACTGTAAAATGGTCACTAAAATGGCCGCCATTTTGAAACGAGCGGCCATTTTGAAAATCGGCTATCAAGCAGAACTTCTACTCCCATAGGGTATATGTGTCTACATGCATAAACTACGAAAAAAAGCACTTGGTGAAAAATGTGTATACCCTCTAGGAGCCCCAAAATCAAAGAAAATGCATTTTCTTGGTGTTGTATTTTCTAAACTACCCCCAAGAAAGGTGTTCCACTGAGACTGGATTTACTGAACTTTGATATAGAAACATTCAAAGAATATAATTTAATTTTTTAATATTTAAAAAAAAACAAGTTAACAATTCAATTATATATAAAGGTATCGGGTTACATGTTATAAATGCTAGCTTTCTCTATCATAATATATCATTTTCCCATTTCCTTTGGTAAATCAGCAGATCATTTTTGAATATGTGTAGCTTTAAGAAGTATAAGACAGCTAAACTATTTTTCTTGGTACATTTTAAAGGCCAAGGCTTTGTTGATTGTTAAGAAATTTACAAAAATGTTCAAAATGCTCTTAACTTAACAATTTACAAAAAACTGAAAAAGATCATCAAGTTTAGAGATCTAGGCATGCACTTTTACTGAGGTGTTTTTTAATTACTTTTGATGAATAGATGATGTATTTGATTGACTCTGTAGTATTTTACCATGAAAATGCTGCTGTGATATGATTGATCACCTACAGTATCTGATGGATGGTACTGTCTCTGATAACGGACATAATAACTGAAGTAAACTATAAAATTGAGAGTAACATGTGGCTGTATTTCTAGTACTGTTGAACTCTGGGTAACAAGTATGGCTTGCCAATACAATATATCATAACACAATTAATAGCACAATCAATGTATGAATGTGATGATACAACAGTATCTCTTCAGCATTGGTGTTAGAAATGATAAAACGTCAATAAAAATTTGACAGATTAGAAAATATTTCTTTTGATTTGTAATTGTAAGCTGCCATGTGGCTAGTTCAACAAGTTAAACCTAGTCTGGGCCTTATCTGACATATCTTGTGGCCCGCCCAAAACGTCCGTGCCAATTCGGTCCTTAATGCAAACAATTTAATGGTGGCCTATGGCAGCACATGGAATTCTTAGTTATTTTTATTAATAACTGATAGTGAGAATTTGCAACCAATGAAAGCATGGCACGAAAGTTAAACCCAATCATTGCAACAAGAACATTCAGATTAATAAATGAAAGCCGTGGTATTGGGTTTAACTTGTTGAACTACTGTACCATATGGCCTGCTTGAGGTTTTTTGGTGTCGAAGGAAAGTTCAAACACTCATTGATCCAATTTTAATACCAAGACAATGTGAGTTTTTATTTAGCTAATGAACACTGAAAAGTATGTAAAGTCTCCCTTTACTTATTGCTCTTCTTTAAAATTCAAACATGAAATATATTACAGATGGCATTAGATTTTTTGGGAATCTATTTAAATGAATGAAATTCAATTCCTTCTGGAGCAGTGTTTAAATAGCTGTTCCATAAAATTTTCTGTACATTTGCTGGATCCGACAGTCTAAAGAAATGTACCAATGTGGTATCACTTGGAATAACTCTGTCTGCTTCGGCTGCGTCTTTTCTTAAAATATTCTCATGTTGAGGCCACAGTTGAAAATGGTACGTCCATGATCCAGTAGGTGGCACTCCAAGTACTTCCATCAAAGCGCCATAGTAAGTATCATCTGGGAAGCACAATGGAACTTTGCAAAATAAAAAATTCATATCTTGTATCACAGATTGGCTGAAGATTATACCGCAGCCTGTAATATACGTAGGATAATGAGTTTTCCATTTAACGGGACTTAATAATTTTGATTTACCAGTATGGGTAATAATCGCGTTGCTTACTGGAACACCGTGATAAAGTCTCGTAATGTTTTGCCTTAGTTTATCATCCAAAAAGTTGACCACTTTAGTTAGGTTTAAAGATGTGTCCTGGGTTAGACGAAACACAAAATTTGCTCTTGGACAATACAACTGAATCCATTTAAAACCAAATGCAACTTTGTGTGTCATTTTGTCATACTCATCCGAAAAATTTCCAACCAAAAGATCAGTTTCATCAAAAACATTCGACAACGTTTGATTGAGTTCATCTCCAAATATGAATACTGTTCGTATCTGCCAGGTTGCTATCTTCTTTACTGAACCAAATGTTTCCCTGATAGAACGACGCATGTGTCCACCTGGAAGTAAAATTGGGAATGATATTGTAAAATGCAAACTATGTTAAAGGATGGGAAATCTGCTTCACAGTATTAAGTAAAAATTAATCCATCGCAATTCCAGGAAAACAACAGATTAACTTTAAATTTTCGCAAATGTTATATTTGGAAGTTTTTGCAGATATCTTGCCATCACAATTCCAGAACAAGGCATTAAAATGACAAAATGTCACCACCATTTCGAAAATTTAAACAATTTGAAGCTAGTTGAAAAATACCTCACAGTGAATATCTATACTTGAGAAGGTCATTGAAGGTTAAATCTGAACTCTATATATAGTCAGATTTGAACTTCTGAAAACTCATAGATGATTTTGAAATAAGACCTTTCTGACCTTTTTTATGTCCCCACCACATATTGTGGGGCCATATTGTCGGCCTAGGCGTGTCTGTTGTTCATCAACAACACTAACACTGAGTATCTTGAATTGGGTTGACTCGGAGGATGTCTGGGACACTTGAAAAACCGCCAAATTAAATAGAAGCCAATAGGCCCAAAAACAGAAAAACTGCCAAATTAAGTCATGCCAAATTAAAGACAAATACAGTAACTGCATGGACCAACAATTCACCAATGGTCACTCATTCTAGATTCTATTGAAACTTATGAAATCGATCAACCGAAGGGGAGGGGGGTTGGGGGTCAGAAGGGCTTGTAGCTAGGCTAAGTATTGGGATACAATTGACCTGCTTGTTGATGACAATGATGAAAATAAGAAATCATTCTTTTAAATTTGTTATGGTGCTGTTGCAATCGGAAAGCATTTTTAAGCGGTTTTTCTATTCTCAATGATGTATGAAGTTACCTTTTTGTCATGCAATCATTCTGTCAATCAAAAAAACACACAAAAGAGTTACCATTTTTATAACCTTGAGAAGAATTGTGTATTTTTATATCTGTCAAGCACAAAACAACCAGTTTGAGTACAATAAGTATTACACGTTGTATACATTGATTCATGGCCTTTTCAACCTTTGAATAATGGCTTTCCATGTAAATAAATAAATGAATTAAGATTTTAAGAAAAGCCATCACAAAAAGGGTCACCTTTAGGCAAATATTCTATTAGGAATAAAAACGGATTAAGATAAGTTGGTCAAAATGATTTAGATAAAGTTTTATCGTCATTAATAAATATATTTCAACCTGTAGGTGAACATGTTTTAACTCATTTATGGTTTAGTACAATATTATATCTTCAAGGGGATGAAGGGGGGGGGGGGGGTATTAATGATGGTTGCAAAAGCCAACAAATATCCTGCGCGCAGAGTCTAGTTATGAACTACCCTCTTCCTCGTATTGACCATATTACAGTTTAGTAGCCCCGCCCCAAAGATCGGTGCGTCCTACAGCCCTTGTAAAAAATCTACCTCGCTGACCCTTTCTCAACCAAACAGCGTTGTGGAAGGAACAAGTGCTAAATACATGCTCATTAACTATGCCGTGATGTCAGAGGAAATGACCATATAGAAAGTAGTCCGTATTTTGACGATAAACTCTGATTGGCTCAGTGAGATCAAGAAAGTTCATCGTGAGATCAAAGATATATTGTAAACTGAAAGAATGAAGACGAAGCTCTCTTTTAAGAAGTGAAGTTGAACAAATGCAAAGAGAAGCCAACAAAAGGAATATTACATAATTCAACATTATTAAATTTTAGTATTCTTTCATACTTACTAGATTTGTCACTAATAATAAACAACAGAAGAAGATTCTCATCTTCTCTAACCTTGCAGATATCCCATCTCGGCCATTTTAAAACCTTGTAATTGTCGAGCATCCTATTGGTCCAGTTCATGTGATATAACTCAGGAGGAACATTTGATTGTGCCCTCCTTAGTTTCAATTTAGGTGTCATGTGGGTTTTGTCAATTGTAGAGCATTTTAATGAATCCCACTTTGAATTTTCTTGGGATGCACTGAAAATGGAACTCATATACGCTTTCATTTTCTGATATACTTTTTTGATTGTTTGTAGTTGTGTGAACTGTAAGTGTTTCAGTGTTTTCTCTTTTGATGGTGTAATTGTAAATAAATTCAAACACACTAATACTAGTAATACCACAAAGATGAACTTAATGATTTTTTTTAATCCAGCCATGGTTTTTATGGTAACTATGAACTCACTGTTTCTCAGTTTGTAACTGAAAATTTAGATGTTTTTTTGTGATAATTCTTATGATTAAATTGGTTCTTTTTTGTGATAATCTTTATCATAAAATTGGTTCTTCTTGGTTCCTCTTTGTGATAATCCTTATCATAAAATTGGTTCTTCTTTGTGATAATCCTTATCATAAAAATGGTTCTTCTTTAATCCAATTCTTATCAAGAGTATCCATATGTTTCAGCTGTCTGTTATAATCTTTTATGATCTGTCACTCAAGTTTATTCAGTCCAACTGCTAGGTTGATCATGAATATATTTGTGTTTAGCTGATCATGTATAATATATGTTAAGCTTAGTAATAGCTGTCCTTGTGCATGTATTGATTTTTTTTTTTTTTTTTTTTTTTTTTTTTATTGCAAATAAATTTAGAAAATGTACAAACTTCCCCAGAAAGTGGACAGTGGGGTTATTACATACATAGGGTTTGCTTAAGATGGCAGCATGAACACCCTGTAGCAAATAATATAATAATAAGTCCTCTTAAAATATATTTAAAATTACATCCAATATTACATTACAATGGGTATTAACTTAATATTGACATACAATATAAAATGATACATTCACCCATATTTTAATGTTCATATAAAAATATATTACATGCAATTTATAGTGTATATATATGTACATTTCAGCATATGCACTCTACAGTTAATTATAGTTAAACATAAAATAAGATATTGATGTAATTATTCATTCTCCGCCATTCTCTCACATTCGCAAACATTCATACATCTACATTCATGCTTACCAGGTTGCTATGTCTGTAAGATAATAAAAATAACAAACAGATTTGTTTACATTTTATTCAATAAAACTCTTACGTCAGCAGCATATTTCTTATATTTAATAAATTCTATACTTTCGAGGTACTGCCTTACGTAATTTGTGAAATAAACAAAGTATGGAACCTTTTCATCAATATATGCTTTGTAAATAACATATTTCATTATTAAGATAAAAAGATTTAGTCCGTTATGAATATTTGCATCAGTTTGTTTACATCCTAGTAGAATATCAGTTTTGGAAAGATCATTTATTTTTATCAATTCAGTATTAGTACACCATTCCTTAAAACGTTTCCATATGTCTTTAACTAATTTACAGTTTAATAGTAAGTGGTTCATATCTTGCACTTCTTCACACCATGGACATTTGCTAGAGTCTATTATTTTCATTTTTTGTAATTGAGAGTTGCATGTTAATGTATTCATAAGAATTTTATATTGAAATGACCATAACTTTGTTTCTAAAGTTATATTTCTGGCCATTGTATAATAATATTTCATATCTTCCTCCTGTATTCCCATAGATAACCATTTATTTAATGATGTAGGTTTTTCATATTCTTTATCTAATAAATTTTTATATATGTTTTTACAGGTAACATCTTTTGGTTTTTGAAAGCTGCTTTTTGTTGCAGGACTATTTTTTAATAACTTCCATAAGTTTGGGATAGCACTTACTATTGATTGGTAATTTTACTTTCAAGTTTTTTAATTCCCATAGTATACTTTTTCATATGTGTGTTAATAAAGCAATATTTTAGAAGTTGCCCAATAATTGATAGGTTCTAATTTGAAGTGAAATTAAATTTAATTTGTGACTAGATTATTATACACTCCCAAAGTGCCAAAAGCCAAATTATAATTGTTAAATTAATTTTATTTAAAGGACCATTCCAATGTGTTGTAACTGTAAAAATGTATAGTTTAATTATAATGATATGTAATTTCATCAGTTCAAAATATGGCCAGACTCTTCTATTCTTAATTATTCAAGCATTCAAAAATTGTTCAAATACATGTAGTAACTGAATTAAGCTGGATATTAATGTCAAAAGTTACCCAACTTTTTTTGATTATGAGTCTAAGAAAGCATTCTTGAGTTTCAAATTGATTTCTGTAATAACTTGAAACCATCTTCTAATTTATTCCACTTACCTTTTATTGTTTCTAGAAATTAATGCTTTTAAAATGAGATTTGAAGGGTGTTAATCAGGGCAATTCTGTGCCATTTTAATCAAAATTTAATTCTGTTGCTACCTAGAAACGAGCTGATATTTTTGTTACCTAGAAATGAGCAATATACCAATACGCGATAACGTTTAATTTAGTTCAGTTTAGTTACCTCCCATTTGAAGAGCTCTCATGTATGGTACAATTTTGTCTCCATCCAGGTTCTTTCCCATTGGATATACAGGGTGGGCCAAAAAAATGCCACTTTTTTTTCAGGACACTACAACTTTTTTATTTTCCAACCTACATACCTCAAATTTTGCAGTTATATAGTGCCAAGGGTTCTTAGCAATAATATAATGTAACAAGTCATTCAACTTGGAATATTTGATCTAAAAGGGGAGTTCAATTGGTCCGCCACCCTAATTGATGATATATTTTAGATTTAGTCGCCTTGCTGATATTGCAGTATCAATGAAATGTTAGTTAAGTTTTTTCCAACCTGTCTAAATTCCCAGCTTTAGTTGAGCAATTTTCTAGATTGGGTGCCTTCATACAATCTCCTGGAGACCTTCCCTTCCAATACCCTATACTCACTGGGGTTTGCATCAGGTCTATTAGCTTGGCGATCATCAGGCCGTATCAGTTCAGAGAGTTTTGCAAATTATGCTTATTTCTCATGAAAACCACATGTTTAAGTGAGATGCTGGTGACATATTTTATTCAAGTAAAACTGTATAATTTATGATCCATGGCTAGATAACAACCTCAAGTTTCATTTGGTATGCAAATTATGATTTAATATCAAAAATTAAAAAAGTTATAGCATTTTGAAAAAAAAGTGGCGTTTTTTTGGCCCACCCTGTATATATAGATTGTGATATCGTTAAGGTCAATGTGTCGTTCGGAATATCTAAGTAGTCCTTATTGCAAGATTAGAAAAATAAGTCAAAAAGTGGTGACATAAGGTTTTGGTCTCCATTTTTTGTGATGGTGGTTGGCGTCTAAGGTGGTTGGCATCTGTAACAAATTCTTATAACTTCCAATAACTTAACAAATACTGTTTAGACTGACTTCAATTGGTATTGAAAATATACAAAATATCTTTGAAAGTACATCTTTACATGCTCATATTTACAAGTACATCTTTGCATGTGCATTTTTGGAAGATATGTCTAACTTCATCTGACATAATAGCTCTCAATCTGTTTTTAAGTACATAATATTCATAATATTTATGGCAACCTGAAACCTTTGTTTTATCCTCATCTTGTTTTATTTTACATTTAACAAATTGCTTTGTTATCGATCACGCCCTATAATAACACTATTTTCATTTTATTTCAGGCTACTGCCGGAAAGTCCAAGATGGCTGCTGAACATTGGAAGAGTTTCTGCAGCTGAACGGATTCTCAAAGGCATAGCACTAAAGAATGGACGTCCATCTACTATTGAAATTAAACTGAAGAATCCTGAACGATCCAAGGAACAGGAAACACCTGAGAAGAAAGAATCAGTCTTGTTGCTTTTTACACATAGGGCTGCACGATGTATGACCCTAATACAGTTATATTCATGGTATGACCCTAATACAGTTATATTCATGGTATGACCCTAATACAGTTATATTCATGGTATGACCCTAATACATTTATATTCATGGTATGACCCTAATACAGTTATATTCATGGTATGACCCCAACACAGTTATATTCATGGTATGACCCTAATACAGTTATATTCATGGTATGACCCTAATACAGTTATATTCATTGTATGACCCTAATACAGTTATATTCATGGTATGACCCTAATACAGTTATATTCATTGTATGACCCTAATACAGTTATATTCATGGTATGACCCAAACACAGTTATATTCATGGTATGACCCTAATACAGTTATATTCATTGTATGACCCTTATACAGTTATTTTCATGGTATGACCCTAATACAGTTATATTCATGGTATGACCCTAATACAGTTATATTCATGGTATGACTCTAATACAGTTATATCCATGGTATGACCCTAATACAGTTATATTCATAGTATGACCCTAATACAGTTATATTCATGGTATGACCCTAATACAGTTATATTCATGGTATGACCCTAATACAGTTATATTCATGGTATGACCCTAATACAGTTATATTCATGGTATGATCCTAATACAGTTATATTCATGGTATGACCCTAATACAGTTATATTCATGGTATGACCCTAATACAGTTATATTCATGGTATGACCCTAATACAGTTATATTCATGGTATGACCCCAACACAGTTATATTCATGGTATGACCCTAATACAGTTATATTCATGGTATGACCCTAATACAGTTATATTCATGGTATGACCCTAATACAGTTATATTCATGGTATGACCCTAATACAGTTATATTCATGGTATGACCCTAATACAGTTATATTCATGGTATGACCCTAATACAGTTATATTCATGGTATGACCCTAATACAGTTATATTCATGGTATGACCCTAATACAGTTATATTCATGGTATGACCCTAATACAGTTATATTCATGGTATGACCCTAATACAGTTATATTCATGGTATGACCCTAATACAGTTAAATTCATGGTATGACCCTAATACAGTTATATTCATGGTATGACTCTAATACAGTTATATTCATGGTATGACCCCAACACAGTTATATTCATGGTATGACCCTAATACAGTTATATTCATGGTATAACCCTAATACAGTTATATTCATGGTATGACCCTAATACAGTTATATTCATGGTATGACCCTAATACAGTTATATTCATTGTATGACCCTAATACAGTTATATTCATGGTATGACCCTAATACAGTTATATTCATGGTATGACCCTAATACAGTTATATTCATGGTATGACCCTAATACAGTTATATTCATGGTATGACCCCAACACAGTTATATTCATGGTATGACCCTAATACAGTTATATTCATGGTATGACCCTAATACAGTTATATTCATGGTATGACCCTAATACAGTTATATTCATGGTATGACCCCAACACAGTTATATTCATGGTATGACCCTAATACAGTTATATTCATGGTATGACCCTAATACAGTTATATTCATGGTATGACCCTAATACAGTTATATTCATGGTATGACCCTAATACAGTTATATTCATGGTATGACCCTAATACAGTTATATTCATGGTATGACCCTAATACAGTTATATTCATGGTATGATCCACTGTGAAAAAAGCCAAATATAGTTTGTACTATAGCAAACTATTTTTTAGAATAACCCCCATATAGTTTGAATTTCACCTAAAATATGGGCGAGAATAGTTTCTCCCATATTCCTAAAAACGGAACACTTTAATATAAGTCCTGATATACTCTCCGGTACGCCCATATAAACTAAAATAAGTTGCATATATCATTGCAGAGTGTATATCTTTACTGAACTATTTTCCACTTATACGCCTCAAAGTAGGAATCAAACCTACTATATGCGGTGAAAAACAACTTATATTAAATAAAAACAGACTATATCAAACTATACTTGACTTATTCTTCTCTTATTCTACCTAAAAACAAACTATACGCGTCTTATACGCGATATTACGTAATAGCTTCAGTTCCCGAGTTTGTTGTTTTAACAGATTAAAAGCAAAGTCCAGCATTGAATGTATTTTGTTTACAATGCTAATTAATTCGCTTGTTCAGATTAATCTGGTAATTTCTATAACTGAGGGTTCTAATTTCCATCAAAAAGTCATTTATAAATCAAGCTTTTACTTTAACTAAATTGGACAATGACAGTCGAATTATAATTAACACCGTGTTAAATTTTGGATTCATTTCATAAAGTCTGTGGAAAGTTACATTTTTCAATTCACTTGGTATTGAAGTAAAAATAATATAGAATAAAATGTTCAATATAGTTGCAATAGGGGAATAAGATATGATAACTATTTTTAAAAATTAATTTTTCTTTAATGATATTATTCGTGTATTATTTGAAGGGAACAACATATAATGCCATATAATATAGAATATAATATTCTAGTCAGGAGCAAATAATATGTTGGCATTTGCAATCAAAACCGGATTATATGCGTTTATTTTTGAACCATTAATCCCTAAGTATTCCATTCCTATGAAATGAGTTTCATTCACACTAATTAATCCGTTTGTTAGGACTAATTTCTCTAGCTTATGGTCCTTATTTCTAAAAAAATTATTTGCAAATTAAGTTTTTACATATTTATTTGATTGTATAATGTCCCTCGAGTTATGATTAAGTTTGTGTTAAATTTGGGATTCAATCGATCAATCCATTGGAAAGTTAATTTTTTATTCTTAATTAATGAGTTTTCCTCAACAACAAACAGCATTTAAATCCCCCTCTTACTCAGGTACGAACAACCACCTGTACTATTCACTTTGCCAACAAAAAACAGTCTTGACACGGAACTGCTCAATATTCAATTAATATATTACGCATTTTATACAAGCCCGTACCTAAGGACCCCCTTCCCCTGGCCAACAATTCTTTAAAAAATGCAGTTTTTCACCATTCACATACATGTATTGACATGTCAGAGCAATGTAATTAGTAAAACTTTAATCCATAAGTATTCAATTTCTATGAATTGAGTTTTGTTCACCCTAATAAATAATCTGTTTGTTAGAGTTAATGGATTAATTTCTACAGCCTATGGCTCTAATTTCCACAAAAAATACAAATTAAGTTTTTCATATTTATTTGATTGTATAGTGTACCTTGTGCTATGATTAATATTGTGTTAAAATTTGGATTCAATCGATTAACTCATTGGGAAGTAATTTCTTGATTTTTAATTTTGGGGTTTCCTAACAATTTAACTCCATTGTTTCTCTGTAACATTAAGTTTAATACAACAAACAACATTTAAAGCCCTCTCTTACACACACACAAACACGCATTTGATACAGGTCTGTGGCCATGGGGGAGGGTCGTTGGGTTCCCCCACCCCCTTGCCAAGATTCTTTCAAAATCATTTTCACCAATCTGAGCACTGTCAAGTGATTTTTGGCATTATCAATTTTGACCCCCTTGGTACGTTTTGAAAATTGTCCCCCCGAGCTCAAACTTATTACGAGCCTGTAATATACCAGAAATATTGCTCAGATTTCATCTGACATCACTTATAATAAATTAGGAAATAACATGCTTCATGTAAATGATACAAGTACTATAAGCCATATTAAAACAAAGTTAAAACTTGTAATCTTTCACAATTCATGTGTTTTCTGTTATCCATATGATATCTGAGATAAACACCTGTGATAAACAACAGAGATTAGCCCGTGCAATACAATTGTTTCTATTAGAATTGGACCATTTCTGTTTATAACAGCTGGTTTTATTGATCATTCTTTGTTTTCCGTTTCAATATATACATATACAAAAGGTGCAAGATTCGGTATGTTTAGTTGATAATGTGATAATGCAAATAAAGAAACGGGCGCATTTTACATTTATTGCAAATGTTTCATCTGACAAATTGTTGATTATGTTTTGAGCAAATTGGTGCATGGAAGAACAAACTGATGCAAATAACATACAGTATGGACATACAGCTATGTCAGAGCAATATGATAAGTAAGACTTTAATCCCTAATTATTCAATTTCTATAAAATGAGTTTCGTTAACACTCTGATAACTAATCTGTTTGTTAGAGTCAATGGATTAATTTCCCACAGCCAACGATTCTAAGTTCCACAAAAAATAATTTGCAAATTAAGTTTTTTATATTTATTTGATTGTATATTATCCCCCATATTATGATTAACATTGTGTTAAAATTTGGATTCAATTGATCAATTCATTGGAAAAATAATTTTTCAATTCTTAATTAATAAGTTTTCCTCACATGTTTACTCTATTGTTTCTCTGTCACATCAAGATTACAATAAACGTCATTTAAATCCCCCTCTTATATTTCACAGGCACAACCACCTGTATTAACTTTGTCAGCCACAAAAAACAATCTTGACACAAAAATGCTCAATATTCAGCTAAATACATTACGCATTTTATACAGGCCCGTACCTAGCGACCCACTCCCTTTGACCAACAATTCTTTCAAGATCATGCAGTTTTTCACCATCTCGTACATGTATTGGCATGTCAGAGCATATAAAAAACTTTAATCCCCAAGTATTTAATTTTTATGACATGAGTTTTGTTCATTGATAACTAATCTGTTTGTTATGGGTTAAAGGATTAATATCTACAGCCAATGGTTCTGATTTCCACAGAAAAATAATTTGCAAATAAGTTTTTCTAATTTATTTGATTCTTTAGTGTACCTCTTGCTATGATTAATATTGTGTTAAATTTGGAATTAATCGATTAACTCATTGAAAAGTTAATTTTTTGATTTTTAATAAATGACTTTTCTTCACCTTTAATCCACAGTTATTACCCAAATGTTGAAAAAACAATGAAAGATTAAACTAGGCTCATGAGTATGTTTCAATTTGAGACATAGTATGTGATGTGCTCCAGGTACATCAGTATTAGTCCGGTGGCCAAG